ATACAAAACTGTATGATATTCCTGTAGAGTGACGATTGATTTTTATAGCGGGGTTTCATTAAATCATAAAGAAATTAATCCTGTCACAAAAAGACTTAAAGAGAATACTTAAGTCTTTTCATGGCTTCTGTGAAACAAAAATACACCCTTTTTGGTTCCAGATTGTGTAAAACCATGGTAACCCTTAATTACATGTATAGCATCCTTCACAATAATCTGTGTACAAATCAACACAGAAAAAAACAGAAAATCAGTTTGTGTGTAAATTAATCATCACATTTCTTGATTCTGATATAGATTAATTCATAGATGCATGTTTTTAATAAATGGCCCAGGCACCCTTAACAGGGTGACATAGTCCATTTTCAACCTACATGTATCTGTAATAATTTGGTCTACTTATTTACACAACAAACAGTTACATGTATTAATTACTACGTATAAACAGATAACTTGTACTGAACACAATTTACAATAAAACTCAGTGAAAGCTTATAACTAGATAAAAGATTGAATTCAAGTTCAAAATAAATTTACAATGTAGTTGAAATGTTGACCACCTGGTTTTTTTTTTTTTTTTTTAAAAAAAAGCAAATCAAAAGAATTTGTGTCCATGCTCAAAATAAAACAATTTCAAAATTCCAAAGATTCTGCTTTAATGACTGTGTATTTATTTGGTTTTCGAAATTGAGATGTTGGATGTTGGTTGATGCAAACATCTTAACGAGATGCTTCTAACTTTGTGCTGATAATGATAATATAATTTTACAAATATCTACTGATACAAGTATTGTGAAAATAATGAAATATACTGCATCATACAATTTTTTTGTTTTTCACACAGGACTTATTGATGATGCCTGATGGAAATGGCTTTTTATAATATACAATGTACAGAAATAAACTCACCCAGTAATTTAATGTTCCGTGAAATAAGAGATCCTGAGAGGAAGGGAAACGACTCTTACTGCTGAGGCATGGTATTTACTTTAGAGAGATGGTGTATTTCTCTAACGCTGGACAGGTAAAATCCATGCTTCTTCCCTGTGTGAGATTTCTTGGTCTTGCCCTGAGTTGAGACAAGTTACACATTCTGAAAATACTTTAAGTGATGTCTTCTCGAAGATTATTAAGCTGTCAAATATAAGGCTTGCCAAGTGTTTGACAACCTTATCATATTCCCCCTCATGTTGTGATCCCCTATCCCTGAAAGAAGAGAAATATTCTATAAATGATAATTAATTTTCACTGTTAGAAAAAAGCTCAAAAGGTTTAAAAAGTTTTGTTCCTATTTATCTGCTGTATTTGTTTGATGCCCACAGTTTGATTTTCTACTAATCCTGTTTTGTGTGTTAGCACTATGATAAATCTGTTTTGTGTGTTGGCACTATGATAAATCTGTTTTGTGTGTTAGCACTATGATAAATCTGTTTTGTGTGTTAGCACTATGATAAATCTGTTTTGTGTGTTAGCACTATGATAAATCTGTTTTGTATGTTAGCACTGTGATAAATCTGTTTTGTGTGTTAGCACTGTGATAAATCTGTTTTGTGTGTTAGCACTATGATAAATCTGTTTTGTGTGTTAGCATTATGATAAATCTGTTTTGTGTGTTAGCACTGTGATAAATCTGTTTTGTGTGTTAGCACTGTGATAAATCTGTTTTGTGTGTTAGCACTATGATAAATCTGTTTTGTGTGTTAGCACTATGATAAATCTGTTTTGTGTGTTAGCACTATGATAAATCTGTTTTGTGTGTTAGCACTGTGATAAATCTGTTTTGTGTGTTAGCACTATGATAAATCTGTTTTGTGTGTTAGCACTATGATAAATCTGTTTTGTGTGTTAGCATTATGATAAATCTGTTTTGTGTGTTAGCACTATGATAAATCTGTTTTGTGTGTTAGCACTGTGATAAATCTGTTTTGTGTGTTAGCACTATGATAAATCTGTTTTGTGTGTTTTAGCACTATGATAAATCTGTTTTGTGTGTTAGCATTATGATAAATCTGTTTTGTGTGTTAGCACTATGATAAATCTGTTTTGTGTGTTAGCATTATGATAAATCTGTTTTGTGTGTTAGCACTGTGATAAATCTGTTTTGTGTGTTAGCACTGTGATAAATCTGTTTTGTGTGTTAGCACTATGGTAAATCTGTTTTGTGTGTTAGCACTATGATAAATCTGTTTTGTGTTTTAGCACTATGATAAATCTGTTTTGTGTGTTAGCACTGTGATAAATCTGTTTTGTGTGTTAGCACTATGATAAATCTGTTTTGTGTGTTAGCACTGTGATAAATCTGTTTTGTGTGTTAGCGCTGTGATAAATCTGTTTTGTGTGTTAGCACTATGATAAATCTGTTTTGTGTTTTAGCACTATGGTATTCCATTTGTGGATTTGGATTTTCTCATCTTCTTTTTTAACACATACATACAAGGTAATAAACAATTACACAAACTTGGTTTTGGTCTGTGATATTTATCTTAATTTCAACATTCAGTATTCATGGAAAAATAGAAAACAAGTCAAGATATGCAAATATGAAGTTTTCACACCAAGCACAAGAACAAAACTGAAGTAATTTCTAGCTTACTTTTGATGGTCGGTGATGACTAGCTTTGTATAAATATACATGTAAATCATCTCAGTAGATTTGCCTCTGAGTACTGGTACTTCTGGATATTGTCAGCAAACATACCAATACCATCACTGAAATTTTTTGGGTAATTCTCTTTTCGGAAAAATTAGGGTCTGCAGCAAAAATAATGTTGCCTCCATGTCCCTATTAATATAACTATTTACCATTCCCATTTACTGTTTAGTTTACAACAAATGTGAAACAAACTGTCAATGTATAATTATCTCTCTCTGGATGAAAGTGTGTGAGGGGTCTTACTGAGAGAGGAATGAACCGGTGTCATCATGAAAAATGTGTCTAGAAGTGTAGACAGGACACACATTATTAAATTCAAATCCCTCAACTTCATTTTGTAAATCTATAACACATGAAATTCAGCATTCCATGAATTTATAGAACAAAATATCTCATACTAAATTTATGGCAAGAATGTTTCAATACTATTTGTACTTACCAATCAAACTGTATCAGATGAAACACAAATCCACAATGGTGGTCACCTGGCTTACACAAACCTCTAATTACAGCAAACAGCTTAAACTTGTGCAACTGGAGATTTTTAAAATTATTAACATTGCAGAATTCTTTCCAAAGAAGTAATTACATTTGGATATTAGGTCTCCTGAAATTAGAAAAAAAGAAAATGAACACAGGATAGGAATATCTTATCATAAAATACTCTTTACAATAAGTTAAACAGAAACAAGACTGTTCCGAATTCTTTTGAAACACTGGGTGAGTAGGTGTATGTGTCTACACTGGGCTTTATCACAGCCAAAGTTCATATAGCATCGGCCTCGATAATAACAAATAAGAGAGAATAGCTATGACTTAGGATGTCAATGGACAGCACACATACTTAATAGCACGCTCAGCTTTTGCAAGTGAAGCAGTAACGTAAATATTTTCCCGCTCCACGTGTTTTGGAAGGCGGGAAAACTCGAACATATAGTACAGAAAGGGACATAACTCTTATCAAGCATCGCCACATACAAATATTGGGGTGATGAGATTTACCAGATATTTTAAAACTCAAATATGTGTGTTTGACTATGATATAATGAAATTATTGACGCTGCCATCAAACATTTTTCCTCGCGATGCATACAGTATTATTTTATCAAACGATTACGATAACGCTTGCGGATTATGTCATATTTTAATGAAACAATATTCTAATTGGAATTTCTTTTTATGTTAAAACCCAATAACATTTAAAATAGAAATAAGATTAAAATCAATCCAATTCGTATTGTTGCATTTCATTAGTCAATACGGCGGTGTAAGAAATTATTAAAGAAAAAAGACCAGAATAAATGTCAGTACTCTATAAGTAAACGTTCAACATTTCGCAATAGTACAACAAATATCAACTTTATTGCTGTCAAACAAATATCAAGTTGATAATTTAAAGAAATGATTATTTGGAAATAACACAGATTATTTTTTACCTTTATTGTATTGCCCTTTGATATCCCGATTGATTAAAATATTGATGCACACTGAGTGTTTAACCCCCCCCCCCCTTTTTTTTTTTAAAATAACAACGTGTTTGTAATCATCCGATATTGAAATGAGGTTAGTACTCCTTCACTCTATATTTTCACATTTGTTTTGTGTGTAGATTCATTGACGTGTTACATGTGTATGTTACAGTGACATTTTATTTGGGATATACTGTAATTTTCATCGATGGTTTGTCATTAGTACGATCACAAGGATAATATAAAAATTTGACGAAGTTTAATTAGGTTTCTCCGTATATGCTTTCATCTAAAAAATACTCTGCTTAACTAAATCTCTTTAGAAAAACATTTCGTTTCGTGGCATTCTGTTTTGCAAAGTAAGTACATTGTGCGTTTACTTTTGTTTCGAGAAGAGGCCAATCGGGGGTACTTTTGTATTTTCTATATCTAAATAAAGGTAACCCAAATCACATAAACTGTGATGTTTGATGGCTCGTCTTCTCTTCATCAGACACACCATTGAACAGATGTACAACGTATACTCTAATAATTCTGACAGGGAAATATCTGTGATTGTGTACGTATCTAGCTCCATTGTGTAACATAAACGATACTCGCGGTGTCGTTCACATTATTTCTGTAGGTCAAATTTACCTGTAATATTAACAGTCTCAAGTGTCAAGCGACGAGTAAGCATGTGAACATATTTACGAATAACATGAAGAATATATGTACAAAAAAGGTCGTTTGTTCAAAACTAACTCTACCCATGTTACCGATGTGATAACCTATATTTTCAGGTTATAGGAAAAGAAGGGGAGTCCCCGTCTACGTCCAATTGAGGCCATTCGAAGGGGACATTTTGCAAGTAATTATTCTTTGTGGTTTTCGTTGTGGAATTATAATGAATTTTGTGCTAAATCAGCGTATTTCAGATGCATGACCTTTGGGCATTGACGCTCTTCATCAACCAGGTATATATATTGCAAATAATGCAAGCAGAATTTTCTATAACTATAAATTGCTGCAAATTACACAGATGTTGACCTCTACCCCCTTGCTTTGGTTTGGATTTCTTTGACGATGTTTTCTTTCAGCACGTTCTACACTGCTTATATATAATGATTTATATAATAAAATAAAGTGTACTTTATCTAAAAGTATCTTATACAGTAAAAACTTAGCATTCCGATGTCAAAATTTAATATTGGTTTGAATAGTCAGATATTAGATTTGACATTCACATTTCTGAGTGGAGACAGTGTTCATACGGAACAAACTGTTGATTAAGAATGATTTTATTTATTCTGATTACAAAGAAACTTTATACCTAATCGTGTTGACCATTATATTGCTCCATAAAGTGTTTCTGCTTATACATTCAGTAGTGTTTATATCATAAAAAAAAAGTTCATCGTTAATACTTTTCATTAAAAAAAACACTTACAACATAAGGGTTATAATACCAAAATTAAAAATATTTGCAGAATTAAAGTTTTGACGATACATATATGCATGTGTATTGATTCCTAATTTCTTACTTAATTCTTGTTACACAAACAACTGCCAACAGTTCCGATTTTTTTCAACACCAATTGTGAATCATAAATTAATATGTATCCATGTATATAAGATCGTGTATGTGCATAAGGCAATCTCGGTTGTGTCTGTCTTGCCTGATATGATAAATATTATTTTTAGTTCAGAACAACTGCTAAAACATAGAAGTCGCAGCATGTTACTTTAAAAAAGTTCAAAAGTTTGACCCAACTGAAAATGTGTTAATGACGTGTTTTTTATAGGTTTATATTTAGAACCGATAACGATCGTCGATAGCTGCCATTAGCCAGGATTAATGATATGCTATTGCAACTGTATATCTAACCTTCATAATTACCCTTATGTGGATAATAACCATTTGTGTATCAAAATGTGTACCGGACAGTTAGCAGAGGATTATCGTGTATCACGAAAGGATTCACAAGTAAAGAATATAAAAGTGAGTGTGCATGTAGCAGTGTATGTGATCTATAATCACGTTGTTAGTGCATGTGTTTGTCTCAATCTTTCATTTATAATTTTGTCTCGTGATAAACAAGCCTTTTACTAGATTTGAAATGTTCATTTGGTGGCAATAAGGACACTTGAATCAGCTGTCTTATTCTGTGTCATTTTTCTTTTGTTCACATTTTGCCCCGGTTTCGTTAGATTAGAGTTTGGATTAAGATTCTGTGAACATGTCTGTATTTTCTTTTTTTTTTTTTTTTTTTCTCGACTCTTCACTGATTCGTAAAGTATTATCTATGGAAGGGAAGTGAAACAAAATCAAAATAAATTAGTAAATCTTAAAATATTGAATAAGTAAGAAAATATTTGTTTTTTTAATGAAATATATATTTTTCCTCCAACTGGCGTCGCCATTGTCGGAGTACACATGCCACATATATTTTTGCTGTATTCGGCAGTGACGGAAAACGACTCATATTTTAGCACGTGCGGTAATTCGACAGAAATACTCCCTGAATTTACTTCAATATTACGTTTGGAAGCATAAATAGTTGTTGAAATAAGCGATTTCACATGTTGTAACAAGTTGATTTAATGAAAATTCATAAAATCGCTGTTATATACCGATGAAGTTTGGAACTAAGTTTCCGCGCGGAGCAATTATTTTGGCGTTCGTCATCAGGCAAAATACAGCGTAGCGTCAATGTCAGGTAGACACAGATTGAACAACAAATCTGTTTAAGTTTCAATTGCCTGATTTTCAATCAATGTAGCAGGATGAATAGATTATATGGTCAGCGTCTTCAAATATAAGCTATGTTTTGTCTCGCCACCGTTGTCTTTCTTCACTCTCGCCAAAATACAGCTTATATTTTAAGACACTGACCATGCATTCCCATCCCCGCTCGCCATCTCTCTGTATATCGGTAGTTCCATTGTTGTGTTTGTAAATGTTAATCATCCAGCAGCAGAGCAGTCGCGGTTGGTGTTGAATTGACACACGTGTTCAATCCTCAGATTAATTAGCAGACTTTTATATAATGGTCGTGTCTGGAAGTATTTCACATTGGAACATGCCATTGTTATAATGGAATAACATCGTATATGTAGGCTATATACATTTATTTTCTGGACGTATTCCGTCCAAATAAATCTGTCGTATTGTAAGTTACAGGGATACAAACTGACATAAAATTTATTTAAAATCTATAAATTCTCTTTTTCTCTTCGCTCTCCCCTTCCTTCTCATCTTTTCCTCATTTCGACAAAATGATTTAAACTTGCAATTGTATGTCTACAAATCACATATCTTCATATTTATAATATAAATATGCCATGTGCCATATAGTAATAATATGTCATTTTATTTATGGAGAAGAGTTCATAAGTTGCTAGAACTTGTCTGATCTGTTTATCTGCTATTAAAATATGTTTAAGTCAGTGATACAATATCCAAAATATACTATTCATAGAGCTGCGTAATTGCAGTTCAATTCATTGTTTGGCATATACAATGCACTTAAAATTTAAACGTGCGATTCACTGTGTGTCTTTGTGCAAGCCTAACACTATTATAATATTGATGTCCCGTTTTCTGAACAGAATTCATCCGGAAATAATAAAGAAACACTCACAAATACAATAGCGAATTATTATTTAAAGCACTTTATGTTGTATATTTATAGCAGCAACTCAAGCATTGGTTTTGTTGACATATTTTTTTAGATGAATTGATTCCAAACTGTTTGATGATTAATATACTTAAACTACTTACAAATTCATTTAAATCATCCTACACAAAAAGTAATTATTTTACAGTACAACGTGTCAGGAAACAGTCACTGACACACATTTCGATTTGTTGACCAAATATATTTTACTCTGCCAAGTTTTTCATTCCGACGTACTAAGTCTAGTTTTATTCCCAAGAAGAATGTCAAAATCAAATTCTAGGAGAGAAATCTTAATAGGAAAATCACAAAATATTTGAAAGCTATCTTAAGTATATTACAAATATCTTTTAATGAAATATGTTTGTCTTTAAACAAACATATCTATTTCTATAAAAAAAAATATGTATAAAAATCGAGATCACATGTTGAAATATATACAACAAAAAGAGATTGAGAGAATTTCTATTTCAAGGAAAGGAAATTGGTTTTTTTATGAAATTATACTCAATATCTGTGAAAGAAATAGATATTACATATACTTAGCGTCAATCCAAACTGAAAAATATATGTTACTGATTATAAGATAGTTTACGAAACAAAGATATATAAATAATATAACATGAACTTTTTTTTCTTTCGAATAATAAATGATGAATCGTTTGCCATATGTTGTGTTTTAATGTCCTGTCTCTTAACACGTTTCTTCCTGTTTCAGGGTAAATGTGTGTGTGTAAGCAGATGGCAGATGGTGGGGCGATAGGTAAACTAACGGATACGATTAATATCAATCATATATTTACTGATTTTGAAGCAGTCTTTTCCATGTAAGATATTTAAATATCTGGTATATAAAAATATATCTGTATATGTAATTCATGTATGACTTTCAACATAAAAGTTGAGCATCATTGTTATTTCACGTCTGAAATATGAAACGTTGTTAAAATTTATATGAATTAATATGTTTATGATGTGAACACTTGAGTTTATTCTGGAAATGAGCTGTCTTCTCAGTTGTTGTCAACGAGGTATCTTTTGAAAAAGGGAATTAGGAGTACCCTGGTGGTTTAAGTTTCTCTTGGTGGGTTAGTCAAACCTTTCCAACTAATACTCATTGATGGAACAAACGAAAGAGACAGAACACAAGGGTCATGACCATCAGACAATCGATGAATGGATGAACAAATCACAGAATTTGCAGATGGTGGTCTGAACAATCTGAATTCCCACGATGATATTTCAGACCACATTTGGTATAAATTCATTCCAGCGGTTAGTAAGAATTACGTTTTGAAGCAAAATCATTGGCTAACTTTCCCATTTGGAGCCTACTGCCAGATCCCTAGGGATAGAATAAATTTTCTGAATTTAAGAAATGATAACCCACCTGCAAAAATGATTCAGATCAAATTTGGTTGAAATCTACCAAGACATTAAGAAGTAGTACCGTTTTGAAGCAATCTATTGACTGACTTCCACATATGGAGCCCCGTCCCTAAGTCCCTTGAAGTTGAATCAACTTTCTGCATTAAAGAAATGATTCTCCACTCCCAATGAAGTCTCAGATCATATTTGGTTGAAATCCACCAAGGAGTTAAGCAGGAGTTGTGTTTAAAAGGAAAAGTTTGTGAACGGCGCAAGGCGCACGACGATGGACGCTGCACGATAGCAATAGGTCATCTTGACCTTTAGGGTCAGATGATCTAAAAACTTAATCTGATCAATTGATTCAGTCATGAACTTGATACAAATATTCGGTATCACCCGTGTCACGGAAGAAATATTGTCATACATGTTTGGATAATTAATAGGATAATATCTAATTAAAATCAATGATAATCATAATATTTTATTAATTGTTGCTACACGGACTTAAAAAAATCAATTTTATTGCAATAAAAGACAATAGGATTGGACAAAAGTTATAACTTACTTTAGTCCTTTCCATCACATATCGAAAAGAAATTAAGAAGGTACAATTGTGCAAGAAATCAGAAGTATTTCAGTTTTATTTGGATTAACGCTCCTGAGGCATTTCTGCGACCAAAGGTGAAGTTGTTCCACGGTTCCATGGTTGATTACTTGTTTAATATCATGTAAGGTTTTAGAAGAATGAGCCAGTGTGGTGTCGTCAGCAGAAGGTTTAGAGATTGATAGAAGTGAATTATAAATATCGTTAATATACACAAGAAGAAGAAGAAGTAGTGTCCTAAATCTGAGCCTTTAGGAACTCCGGCTTTGATAGACACTTCTGAAGATATAATGTTTTTAGTTCGACTGACTGACGTCTATTACTTAAGTCGTTTTTAATCTATGTTAAAAGTGTCCCTTTCATTCCGTATTTTTCTTACTTAATTATTAAACCTTTATGCCAGACACGATCTAAAGCTCTAGAAAAGTAACAGAAAACAAGGGCTGTATATTTACGATCTTCTAGTACTGTTAGTATACTATGATAGAGTTCAATTAGTTGGTGAGTTGTAGAGTGGTTAGGTAGAAAGTCAGACTGTAAATGATATAGAAGTATGTTGCCGAAAAAGTAGTTGTAAATGTGTTAATAATAACTCAATAGATTTGTAATTATTTGTTAATTCGGGGCCCCCTTTTTTGACAATAGGTGTGACATGGGCTAGATTCCATGGGTCAAGAAATACAGAAGACAGCATGGATTAATTGAATAGAAGTATTAGAGTTGCCGATATTTCACTGGATAGAAATTTCGATATTTTATAACTGATACCATCAGGACTAGCGGTTTTATGAGTCTCTAAAATATGAATTGTGTAAATTACTGTAAATTACACCAGTTTGGCAGGTAAAGTGGGAAGAATTGACACTTTTGACGAGGGTATTGAAAGGTGGGAGGCATATAAGGAGCGGCTAGACCAATATTTCATTGTAAACTCTATTGACGAAGATAAAAAAGTCCCCGCTCCTCAGCTTAATCGGCGGAAGGACATATGCGTGATTTGACCGCCCCTGAGCCCCCAGCCACCAAAACATACGCCGTGTTGACCAAGGTATTACAAGAACATTATTCTCCAAAACCGCTAGTGATAGCAGATAGGTTCAGATTTCACAAACGGGACCAGCGGGATGGGGAGAATATTAGGAATTACAACGCAGCCCTGAGAAAACTTTGTGAAAATTGTGCGTTTGGGGATAACCTCAATGATGCTCTGAGGGACCGGTTAGTTTGTGGACTGAAGGCAGAACACATACAGAAAAAGTTGTTAACCGAGTCTGATTTAACGTGCCAGAATGCGTTAGAGGTTGCTATCGCCACGGAAACAGCAACAAGGGATGCGGTAGAGCTACAGAAACAGCACGTGAAGGTCCCTGTTCATAAAATACGGAAAAGTAAGCCACAGACTGCAAGGAAACCATTTGTTCATAAAAATAATGGGACAGAGTGTTACCGTTGTGAGGGTGCACACAAAGCAGATGATTGTCGCTTCAAGGACGAATTTGTCACGCGTGTAATAAAAAGGGACATATCAAGAAGGCTTGCAGGTCTGGTAAGCCTAGAAATAGAAGTGCTCCTGTACACAAAGTGCGAGATGATAATGGGTCTGAGTCCGAACTTATCAGTTCACTGGAAATATTTAACATTTCTGACAGATCGGGTGGCTCAGATGTCATCTGGTTATACCCAAAGATAGACCAGGTGGAACTTGCCATGGAGTTAGACACTGGGTCAGCAGTGTCCGTCATCAGCAAATCTGCATTTGACAAGTACTTTCCCAAGAGAAAGCATGACCTCAAGGATACCTCAGTAATTCTTAAAACTTATGGTGGTGAGAAGTTGAGTCCAATTGGAATATGTAAAGTGGAAGTTGATCTAAATAATCAGCATAAGTGTCTGGACATGTATGTAGTGAATAGAGACTGGTTGCGCGAGATAAAATTGGATTGGCACGAGATAAAGTCTGTCGCAGTGGCCAGTGGTTCGAAACCCCCTCTGAGTGTGGCTCAGCAACTTCAGAAATTTCCAAGTGTATTTAAGGTTGAATTAGGCACTCTAAGAAACATCACTGCCAGGATCAAGGTTAAGGAGGGAGCCAATCCAAAATTCTGTAAACCACGGACCGTACCCTTTGCGATGAAAGAGAGGGTTGAGGCAGAACTAGACCGCCTAGTGAGCGCTGTCATATTGACCCAAGTTCAACATTCCGAATGGGCAACCCCCATTGTTCCCATACCAAAGCGGGATGGAAGCATCCGCATATGTGGGGATTTCAAGGTCACAATAAATCCGGTTCTGGATGTAGACCAGTACCCACTGCCCAAGATTGACGACATTTTCGCAACACTTGCTGGAGGCCAACATTTCACGAAGATTGATCTCAGGAATGCTTATCTGCAAATGGTTGTACGCGAAGAGGACCGACATTACCTGACAATCAACACACATCGTGGGTTATTTCAGTGCAATCGGTTGGTATTTGGAATTGCGTCGGCGCCAGCTATTTGGCAGAGATCCATTGACCAAGTTCTTCAAAGCATTCCGCGCGTGCAGTGTATCCTGGATGACATGATCATTACGGGCACGACCGACGAAGATCATTTGGCAAATCTAGAAACAGTACTTGAGCGTTTAGATCGTTTCGGCTTGCGCGTTAACAAGGTAAAGTGTGAGTTTTTCAAAGATTCTGTGGGCACATCATTGACAAAGATGGACTACACAAGATGCCTAGCAAGGTGGAAGCTGTTGTTAACGCACTGCGCCCAGAAAACGTCAACCAACTCAGATCATTTCTGGGACTAGTGAATTACTATGCAAAGTTCATTAAAAACTTGTCATCGATGGTAAACCCATTGAACTAGCTTCTGGAGGCAAACCGGAAGTGGGGGTGATCGGCAGAGTGCGATACTGCATTTCAGCGCGTAAAGGAAGCTGTGGCATCAGAACAAGTACTGACTCATTTTGATCCAGGCAAGAAAGTGCAATTGGCAACAGACGCATCTCCATACGGCATAGGCGCGGTAATATCGCATGTTATGGAAGACGGATCTGAGAGGCCGATAGCCTTCGCGTCACGCTCGCTCTCAAAATCTGAACACAACTATGCGCAGATTGACAAGGAAGCGCTTGCAATTGTCTAGGGTGTGAAGAAATTTTACCAATACTTCTATGGGCGTCATTTCATTTTACTGACGGATCATCAGCCCCTGACATTGATCTTTCACACAGAGAAAGGTATTCCAGTGACAACCGCGGCAAGACTCCAGCGTTATGCACTGTATTTAGCAGGCTTCCAATACGACATCAAGTACAAAAGTACAGCAAAACATACAAACACCGATGTATTATCGCGTCTACCCCTAGACATAAGGCCAGTACTGGAAGAAGATACTGTTGATGCCTTTATGGTGTCTTACATGAACACTCTCCCTGTGACCAGTAAGGAAATCGCACATGCAACGTTGAAGGACCAAACCTTATCAAGGGTGTACACCACCGTACATTAAGGGTGGACCGAGGGTGAAGACAAATGCCACGGTGTTTTCTACAATAAACGCACTGAAATAAGCATTCATCAGCATTGTTTGTTCTGGGGAATACGTGTTATCGTCCTCGAGGCGCTTAGAAGGAGAGTGTTAGACGAACTACATGAAGGGCATTTGGGCGTGGTTAAGATGAAGAGCCACGCCAGAAGCTACGTTTGGTGGCCTGGCATTGATGCTGACATCGAGCATGTTTGTAAGTCTTGTGTAGGATGCTAAGACATCAAGAATTCACCGCCAGCCGCACCTATCCATCCTTGGGAATGGCCATCCATTCCGTGGCAACGCATTCACATCGACTTTGCGGGACCATTTCTCGTACGTAGCTTTAGATGCTCATTCAAAGTGGCCGGAAGTGGTTGCTATGACTTCGACAACGGCAGAGCGAACTGTAGAGGTTCTGAGAGAAATATTCTGCAGGAACGGAGTTCCAGCTCAGGTTGTGAGTGATAACGGCCCACAGTTCAAATCTGAACATTTTGCCAATTTTATGAACCCTAACGGGATTAAACACACAACATCCGCCCCGTACCATCCGAGTACGAACGGTCTGGCGGAGCGCTTTGTCCAATCTTTCAAAAGCGCAATGAAAGCAAGTAAGAAAGACTCTGGGTCGATCCAGAAACGCTTGGCTAACTTCCTATTGGCATATAGGAACAGCAAACATATGGCTACAAATGAGAGCCCGGCAAAACCCTTCATGGGACGCAACTTACCGTCACGGCTGGATTTGATCAAACCTGATGTCCGACGACGCGTTAATGAACAACAATGGAAACAAGAGTCGAAACGACGAGTTCTCTGCAGGTCATTCTCCGTGGGAGAAAAGGTAGCTGTCCGTGATTGTAGAGACTCACAAAAATGGTGAAATCGCGGAAAAGACTGGACCCGTTTCTTATCGTGTTGAAATTGCTCCTGGTGTTCTCTGGCGCAGACACTTGGACCAGATTCGTTCCACCGAAGTAGACGAGAACACATTGGAAGTCTGTTCGTCCGTCATCTCCAAATGTCACTGAGTCAGGAAAGGTGTCAACACCTGAGCGTCGTTATCTGCGTCGCAACATTGTTCCTCCAAAGAGACTTCAAGATTTTGTTAGGATCTAAGGTTCTGTGTTTAGTAGCAGACTTTTAAGACATCTTGAGTTATAATGGTGAGCACACGGTCACAAGGGGCACAATAATCCCTGTGTGTATCACAGGAACCACTTAGGTTCCTTAGTTGTTTTATTTGTAATTAAGTATCAGGCAGATGCTTTGTCAGTCAACTTTTAAGCATTCACGGTGCTACTACTGTTAGTGAATTATATATGTTACACTAGTTTTGTTGTTATGTTAAAGTTCATACAAAACGCTGTTTTCAATTCAAAAGTGCCTTTACCATAATTTGGCATATATCTAAACTAAAAATATCGGTGAATTTAATTAATTAAAACTGATTTTGATGGACATGATTAAATCACTTCAAAATTGGTAAAGGAGAGATGTGATGTATTTTACTATATCATGCATGTAAATCCGGAATTCCCTTGTCCGGCTCCTGAAAATAGTCCCGCCCAGCGCAATAATAAAAAGTAGTTGTTTGTACCGCCATGATGTGTGATGTTTAGTTTGTTCTGTGAAAACCGTTTTGGGTCAAGACACGACAAATTGTATCTTTAACTTCTTGTTCAGTTATTACAACTATAGAAAGGGATTTGTCTGTTTGGTTGCGCACCAGTTTCCAGTATACTTTTGGGTTAGCTTGGCTGTCATTGATGAATTCATCTACATGTGCGTAGAAATGTGATCTTGCGTGTTTAAGCATATTATTAACCTTGTCGTGTGCCCGTTAGTTTCAGAGATTGGTGTTTTCACTCCAATGAAATGTTTTGTTAATCTGTTTCTACGTCTTATATCTCCGTTTACCCATGGTCATTCATTTCTATTTACAGTTTTTCTGGGAATGAGTTTTTCCAAAATAGAAATAAGATTATCGGTAAACAATTTACTGTTTTTGCTTACATCCATCGCACAAGAAAACCTGGCCAATTTACCTGCCCTAACTATGTTTTAAAACTTAAAATATCTGCTCTATTATATAACCAAATATTGGATTTTAGTAGACAGGTTGATAATAACAACAATATCCCTTATAGTTTCAAAAACCAGTACAACAATGGATAATTCGGAGGATATAGTATCATTGATGTAAAAAGGGTTCATAAGGGATTGTGTAGTGTTTGTTACTCTAATTGGATTTGTGATAAGGTTAGTTAGATCGTATTGTTGTTGTTGTTTCCTGTCAGGAAGTCTATGTTAGTATCTCCGTATACCTAGCATTGCACTATATATTTAAAATCATTTTTAAAATAAATGCTGTACAAAGTCCATATCAAAATATTTCAAGGGGCATATTAACTTAATATGAACATTTTAGCTCCCCAATTTTTACAATTAAAAGTTGAGATATAGTTATATATAGATATTTTCAAAACATTTAAGAGAGTTCATATGAGATAAATGTACGAGCTAAATGCATCTAGACGATTACATAGCTGTAGTAACTGTATCATTAATGCTTTAACATAACATGTATCTTCTCTTTAACCCTTGTTTGTCTAGAGGATACAGACCCCCCACCGGCCACACCCACAGACTGTATAAATTGTATGCTACAGAAGACACAGGTCCGCTATTGGAGAAAAGGACTATTTGGCATGTTGAGGTCTCATCAGGAACAACGTTCTTTGCGGGCGGATATTTCTTTCCTCATTTCTAATGTAATTAAGATACTTCGATTAGAGATTCATTGGAATGCAATCATGCTTTTGAAGCAATATATGAAACATGCATTGTTTTGTATCAGTTATAATCCCACCATCATCAGACGGTGAGCTATTTAAATCGCCCAGCGTCAGTGGTCCGTCTGTTCGTCCGTAAACATTTTTTGTTATTTTTTGATGGAACTTTCTCAGATTTCGTATGTAGGTACAATCTGATCTCTAATTGTTACCGTTTGATTTTGGGACTTACCAGAAAAACAAAATGGCTCATAGGTGGCCATCTTAGATTTTGACGGCAAGTTTGTTATCTCTGTTTCTTGAGAAATACTGCATATATCTTTCTCAAATTGCATGCATAGGTTCCTCTTGATTTTTCGTTGTGCATGTTTGAGTTGGGAGTGATCAGAAAAACAATATGGCCGACAGGCAGCCATCTTGGATTTAGCCAAGTAAAGATTATTATCCCTATTTTTTAAGAAGTACTGAATGGATCTCTAAAATTTCATACCTATGTTCCCTTTGGTCTCCACTTGTGTCCGTTTTATTTTGGGACTGATCAGAAAAAAACAAAATGGCTTCTGGGTGACCATTTTGGATTTGGCTGGTAAAGATAATCATTGCTATTTCTACAAAGGAATATTAAAATTACTTATCGTTAAAAGTAAAAACAGAGAGGAGGAGAACAGAAAAGAACAGGGAATGATCCAACTTTCAAAGTGCAAATAAAGATAAACCAATGGAGGACGCCAAGATCCCTCTTGGATCTCTTGTTGTCAATTGCTTCTGTCGTAATATTCAACTTCACTGCTAATGTACATCACAGACATGATATTTAGTTCGTAAAACAAGAGAAAGTATTGAAATCAAAAGTAATTATATACTATATGATAAAAAAACCCATTACAAATCATCTCATATTATGTATATAATCTATCGAGTTAAAGGGTCACTGCACCAAACGAACCAAATTTTGATAACACTTTCTACCCATTTCAGTCGCCTTATAGGTATCAGGATGTATGATGTAGTTACATTTGTTATTTCTATAACCAATTATCAATTTTGTTTCAAAGGGTTCTAATGTATCAATTTTTGTTACTTTCCATGATCATAGTTAATTTTTGTTGTACAATACATTTTGTTCAATACAAATATAATAGCAAATTCCAATGATGTATATCTTAAAAGAACTTCGATTTTGTGTAACGTTGTCGCACGTTTGGAATGGAATGAGTTGCATGTCCTTATGTAGTGGTAATATCTTGCAAATGTAATTATCTTGTGTTGCATTCCACAAGTGAGGCAAACTAATCATGAGAAAATATGTTTACTGGCAGATCCGAAACGCTATCACAACATATCAACGAGGAGGGAATCACTCTGTCATACCCATTAACTACGACCTCAAACCAGACAACATTGACCTTGTGAATTGGCGACGAGTTTTAGTGGGAATGACACTTGTTTTAGAGGAACCGGATACGAATTTTGAAATCCGGAGTATATCTGTCAGTATAGGAGAAACTACGGATTCTCAGTGCTTACATGGTATGCTGATTTTCCTAAAAGCATTACACGGTAAGTAAAAGCGAAGAATGAAACATGAGCTCTAAACAACAATACTTAATTTAAATGTTTGATACTGAATGTTAGTAACAAAAGCAACGGGGATTACAAATTCAATGATGCACATGTTAAGAAATCATCATTAGCAGGTTGCAAGTTTTCCAACATAGGTGCCTATTACCCTAAATTTGTCTGTTAACTCGCAACATACTGGTACCGCCATAGGTCGCTGTTAAAGATAGATGTGTTTAAGGTAGCTTTAATTAAAATGATTGACAAATTTGTTTTTTCGCTATATACATTACAAAACAAAAAGTGTTAAGCACATACATTGAACCTTTTTTTGAATTATGAAAAGTGTGAATGTTAATTTTAAACTTTAGTAGTTGAACGTCTTATACTCAACCTTACTCTATTGATATTAAATGTGATGGGTATTTAATTTATTATATTCAACCTGCCCGTACGAACTAACGAAACATAAACTTAAGCTGTGATACTGAAACATGACTTGAGTGTTCAGATTTGATATAGATGTAATTGTTATCTCGGTTAAAACTACATTTTAGTGACTTGATCTTTCAGAACTTCCATTGAACCTTGTACATTTGGTGCTAAATATTGATCAAACAAAGGGCAGCATTCTGTTCGAAACAGTACGTTATTTGTTTTTCTATTTTTATCCTTTAATACATTTGTCAAAAATGGTCGCTGTATGTAATCAATCATATAATTCTTCAGTATGTTAAACTCGATCGATTTTCGCTCTTAAATGTTTTTTTAGTAGTGGACGATATGTCCTGATCTCGTTCATTCTGTTCGTAACAAGACATTTGCATGAGATATATTGAGTTACTGAATTCGGTGCATTATTAAATCATTTCAGCGTTTGTTTCAATGTCTTCGTTTCAGCTAACTGACACTTCCATGAATTTTCCTATATCGTTGATGTATGTTCGGCATATTCGTGAACTGTATCAAGCAAACATGGAGATAATGCGAGCAATAGGATTTTATAGACGCTCTGAAGTAGAGGAAATAACATGGACGCGACCAGAACGTCGAGACTATACCAAGTCACTGCTGTATGTATTACGTGGACTTCTGAGGGGCCCATCAGGGGTGCAACCAACCAGTTAACAATCTTATCTAACATTTTTAGGGTATTTCTTATAGTAGCATATATAGATAGATATATTTTTTATATTTCCAAAATTTTCGTCACTTCTAATCCTTTAAATTTCATAAACATCGACATTTTTCAATTGTTGAAAGCTTTTTCAATTTAACATGTAATATTACGCAATATCGTCAGGCTATTGGTGATTTTGTGCTGTCTTGAACGAGTACAAGTCATCGCTTTGTATCGGAAATATGGGACAGTGCCATACCGAAACCTCCTTCTAGGATGCCGCAATAGTGAAATGCTTTTATCTGCAGGTTTACCTTTATCATATAACTAGGGAGGACTTCCCTAACACTGTCTTTCGTGCAGGATTGTGAAATTAACAAATATTCAATTTTATGTCATAACATCAGCATACCCTAGTACGACATGTCCTCCGTCATGTAAAACAACGATGCCATTTTACAGCAAACAGAAGTTTTTCAGTCAGGATTTGTTCTGACATTGCTAGTCATCAAAGGGCAGCAAAATATTGATATATAGTTATACATTATACATTTTATTGAAAGAAATGCATACATTATCAAGACGTCTATTGAGCTTGCATGTGCATTGCGTGTTCTTTTGAATGCCTCGAGGCCAGATAGATGTTCAGCAATTTATATTCTTATTAAATCTGTCAGTAAAATCCATACAAGAAGATCAAGATGATATATTAAAGGCACGTGTGTTTTAATCGTGAGTGTAAATGAGTTAACATGAAGTAAATTATTTGGAATGTTAAAAAAACAAAAACAAAAACAAAAAAAAACAGTTCAGTAAAGATGTTTATTTACCTCTTCCTAAATTGCTACCTTATTGTCTTTAACATCTCAAATGACGTTTCATTTCATATGGAATTTCATGATTCCTAGAAGTTAAATTTAATGTGAAATAAAAACATATTGAAGGTACTTTTTATCACATAAGACATTGTTCAGAATACGCTCGTGGTGTATGCGCAAAAACACTACATGGATAACAGCGGCTGATGTGATGAAATATTTCATTACAATTCTTAGAAAATTTAATGCCAAATGATCGATTCTCGATGCAATGTACTAATTAGATTGAAGCAATCTAATACGTATTTATTTATTAAATTATTTCAAAAATTCAGAGCAGACACAAAAAAGCAAAAATGATTGTTAGCAAATCAGGTATTGCTACAGACCAAGAAGAGAGTGAACTGGTTCGGGATCAATATCACATGTATTTGATTCCAATATGGAAACTGTTAATTTAGATAAGTTATGATCGAAACCATTACATTCTATTTACTCATGTACATTAATACGTGGTAAGGATATCTGCGGTATGTAAAGAGGTCTTAAAGAATAATGGTCTTTAGCTCACAGTAGCTTAGTTCCACATCATTTTTATTAGAATATTGTTAATATAAATATTGATATTTATTATATGGCTGTGACTATAATACACTTATACACTGAAAATAATGACATTCCTGAAAATCTCTACAAAGCAACCACTGCCTTTTAGCATTTTTCAGATTGTATTGTAAATGTACACCTGTTAACGATGAGAAAATATTTATAGAAATGACAGTATATATGCTATATTATGACGTATAAATGGTTTGGTATCACCAGCATTGACATAAATGATCACGAATGCTACATATCTTTTTCGTCGACATTAACCATGTAAAATATAACTTAATTAAGTTATGACAAATTTTCTACGAGCACACCTAAAATACATATGTTTATTGTTAATTTACCTACATCATTATACAAAACGTATTTTTATACAGTATATGGATAAAATTTCTCATATCATAATGATTTCTTCAACCAAACCCACCTATAACACGACGACACATCTGACTGTTCATTATTCAGGATCCTTATTTCACTTCCTTAGTATCTATGGCGCCAGTCCCGTGGAAGCGGGAACCGCAAGGTCGTTTAAACCAGAAGTGAGTTAATAGCAGTGTTCGTCGGTAACTATATAAATAATCCTATCATAGATAATACTGTATCATTTTAAATAAACACTAAATACGTCCATGTATAAGTTTTAGATAAGTAGTAGCATAACCTTCTGCATATAAATGGTATAAACGTTTTTCATGATTGTTTCCCCGAGTGTGCATATGAAATTTGCGGTATGCACCTTAATGTAATGATGCGTTGTCCGATTGTGTAATTTATGTATGAGGAAAGTGTATTAATATTATGAAATATACAAAGACAATTTGAAGAACTGCTTTGTTTTTGTTTTCTTTTTGTTTTTAGCTAACCAGGCCAGATGGTTTTTGGCCAAATTAGGTCTGAAGTATTATTGGTTAAGAGGAATCAGTTTTGCATAAAAGGTAGGTCTCGACCACCGTTGGTGGGAGGGGCAGGGTCTAATATTAGCAAATTGTTTGAAATCCTATTTCTTCTGTAGGAATGAGTTTGTCTGAAGTAGGAATGGTTTGGCTGACCCCTTAATGACACATGGTTGGTATCCAATAAGAAAAAATCAGTTTTCTGTTGTGTGCTTGGATATTTAGAATCCCTTTGCCTTTAGTTTTGATGAAGCGATTTCAGCTAAGCAATGCCAGGTGAGCGGTACAGGCCCTACGAGCCTCTTGTTTTTCACTAGTATATTTGTGACAGTTGAAACTCATACCGTACGGCGTTTCATAAAAATCCTTCTGTTGTATGGGATTATTACGGGTAAACTTTAGATGGCAATTATTACGAAAGACAGAAACGACCGAAGGAAGCAAACGTAACTCTAAACGAGGCTTTGTGACTGTTATTTAATAGTGTTTGGTCATAAAGTATGTAGAGTTTTATTGCTAAAAGCACACATTTTAACGGATAATCTTTTCGAAAAAGTGACAAAATTATAACATTTGTCATCATTGTAATCCTTGCGCTGGTATTCTTCACGTTTGAGAGCATGCAGAATAAAAAGCCTAAAACAAACGATTCTCACAGACAAGCTTATGATGTAGAATTGCGTTTTGTACATACGGCGTTTACATGTTGCAGTTCATTAGAAATTAAAGGTCCCGTTCCGATTATCAGGTTGTCAAATGGCGGTCAAACTCAGAAGACAGGGTTTCGAAAGATGCAGGTTGATGAAATTAATGGGAAAGTTTTATGACCGTAATACTACAGTGATCTCATTGAGAAATATTCTGTTTCTTTGTGCGATATGAAGTTGGATTTATTTGATGATCGTCAGTTTGCCTGTTGGTTCCGTTGTTTTATACTTTGTTCTCATCTGAGAACGTGGCATTACCCACTTGAATCGACCAAGATGTACATGGCGGGTGTCGTCGATGAAGCAGAAGACACCTCCTCTTTCGAAACACCTGGTCTTACTATCCCTGTACTTTTTCAGGATTATCCGTGTAAAGCTTCCTTTTGTTCATATTTTGCCCTAGTTTTATCGACTTTGAGTTTGGATTATGTTGACATGCTGGAGTTTTCTTGACGTCGTTTGTTAGGTTGTCGTAAATTTTAATTAAACTACATAGAACATAGCAATCTTGCTATCACTTCATATAATTAAAAGTGAATTTCCGCATACGTTTTTCACATTTTCTAGTTAAAATGTAAAGGCATTATCGTATCATTGGCTTTTCAAGGATATGGGTGATTCTGTTGACATGTTGGTAATTTCTTTGTTTTGTTGCCAACAATATACACCGCCAAACGAAATTTGTTGATATAATCGATAACCAATTTCTTTCTTTTTACATAATACGTATAAAGTTGAAGCAATCTTGTGGTTTTGTGCCTAAACAAATATTTAGAAATGCTCGGGAATCCAACCTTGAAATAATTAATGAAATTATGATAAAAAAAAACTTTGCTCTATCAAATAGTTTTTTTTTCAAATATCATTCTCATATACATTGATATACATGTACCTACAATGTATATAAATATCAAATTGAAGCAATGATGTATATACACAATATTAAATATGACATCTTTACAGAAATACAAAACACCTCTAAAATACACATTCATTAACAGTAATTCTTACTCTAGATAAATAAATATATGAAACACCTTTTATACGTGCGAGTTATCTCTCATCAAGTCGGCGGTACATGTAACACGTGAATAAGAATATAACAAGACGTTACAAACTAATGTCGATGTTCGTTGTAGGACTACAGTTATTTCAATACTTCAGCTAAAATGTCATCACTTTACATAAAAATAAATCAAAGGGAAATATTGCACTTATCCCTTAATATACACGTATAAACTTATATAAATATCAGCATATGAACGGAGATTTGTAAATAGATTTAAAAAAAACAAAATATCTTGAAATAGAATTGAAATATAATTCCTAATTGTATTGCATCCTTGAATAAATCAGGAGTTTCCTGTGCAATGTTATAACTGGAAACTGAGTCACAAGCCGAAAGTCTACGTATGAATTATATCAGAATGCACCCGGGTGAGGAACATGTTAATATATCGCACATCATCGCCAGGTTCGAGCAGCCATTACAACCAGGACGAAAACATATCCTATTTCACAGTATACTGTATATGAATAGCTTGTACCTATAAGTCGTAAGACTTTTGGTGAAATAAAGAACTTGAACTTGAACTACTACTTTCTTGCACACCAGACAGAGGTTTGCACAGGCCTTGTATAACCCCTATTACCGCTTGCATAGAGCCTCGTTGTGGTTGTGTCCATGTGATAAGCTCTCCTAATGATCTTCTATAAAACCCTAAACTCCTCATTTCAGACATATGGCATTCATACAATTTCGTTAGTGCTTTATAATACCAAGCCGGTATGGGAAATCCATTCACGGTGTCGGTCAGCTGAAATAGATAAAATACTTTTCTAATTTCATAAAATATTATATTAATTGTTAAATACTTGAGAACACTGATATCACATAGATCTGTCCAGTCATTTTTTTTCCTTATACGAAAGTTTTTATAAATTTGTTTCCTTTTTTATTGAGAAATGAAATTTCTTTTTTTCTGTTTAGTGGCGTGCATTTTTTTTTTACATAACTTTAAGTGTTTCTTTTATTTTCTATCTGACCGTTTTGTTTTTTTTAATATACGCTGTGACGAAACAGTCCGACAACTGCTGGAATAGTAATGCAGCTGATTTCGATTTGGCGGGAAATGTTGTCAGACGTGAAGATCTGTTTTATTGGCAAGGCCAATTACAGAATACACACCGGAAACATAAATATTTTAATATAAACAGAAGAGCTCTTATCGGTTCGTAATACAATGCGTTGAAAGTGTTCATTGATCATATACTTATATGTTTGTTATTATGTGCGAATTATCTTACCGTTTCATACAGTGTAGATGCGTCATGTTTACCAACACTGGCAAGGAATTCCACTATGTTCCAGGATAACACTGAAACACATTCAAAAAATTTCAACATGTAATGAAATAAAAGATTAATACAAAGCGGTGAAGTTTATTGATTCTATTTCAAAAGAAAGAAGTCACTCGGAAACGAACTTCGCTAGAAATGCAGTAGAGTGCATACAAAAGTCTTTGGTTGTTTTCTTTGAAATTCAAGTCAACCTTCGCTCGCAACTCATATTTTCTTTTACTTGATATAGATGCACCCTTTGCTTATTTTACTTTATATACGAGATCCGTTACACAAAACATGTAAAACGGTAGTAATGCTTACTTTTAACGAAATTCAATACTTCGATAAATCCTTGAAGACTGAGTACTTCCGTACTGTTTGTCACGCTTACACCAATCGAACGGAGGTTACGATTGGTATCCGGTTCTTCCAGTACAAGGTTCAGACCAATCATGATTCTTCTCCAGTTTACAAGATCGAGGTCATCAGGTACTTCCTGATAGTTAATTCTAACTAAGGTCTTCGTTCCAATTTTCCTTGCGGAGATAGCATTCGTTACCTGAAATAAAAAATACAGATTTCTTATTCGATTTGAACGCGCAAAAATACGTCTGGTATAGAAAATATATGAAAAAAAAAACTGATTAACATCTGGACACTACATGTTACTGGTTAACCTTAATTAAAAGTATTATATTGTTTAGAAAGAATGATTATCATCCCATGAATAAAGTTCTATCAAATAAAGTGAAAATCCTTAAATTATATCAGCCATATTGATTGTTAGTCTAAAACATCGGAGTAGTGTGCATACCTTCGCGGTATCTCTGTAAGAGCATCTAAATAATGTAATCAAGTCTATACTTGAATAGTGGCAAAGGAAAAGGTCAAAGACAAATATTATACCAAATTCAAAGTGGTTTTAAAACACATACGTTCGAAATCAGGAAAGTTATTAATTGCTCTTGGTTATCTCCCTTGGTTTGACTTCGTAACATCTCCACTAAACCTCTTCTCCAGTACTTCACATCAGTCCTTAGTAACAAGTAGTTGATACACTGTCGAGGCGAGGCTTCCTCTAGAGAGAAGATTTATAGACTAATTATACCAATAATTTAGACATTTACCACCATATGTGCTATTGGAAATAAAACCAATTAGAATGACATGCATGGAAGAGTCAGGAAAACCATTGCCAACAATGCAGGTTTTTGTCATAAAAAAATCTGCCATCATTGAATGAAAATTTTAAAAAATATTTGACTCATGTTAAGTATTTTCGGGGTAAAAAATGAATAATTAAAAGTTATTCTTACTATATCCAGAAGTATCCATCCGATATATTTTGGAAAGAAATAGAACCAATATCACATTAGACTAGAAATGAAAGTAGGTATTGTTTGATCTAAGGTCTTTGTTGACATTCAGGAGATTTTCTGTTCACATCAAATCCAATACGGCCTATGTGCGTTTCTACATAAATAATGTTTTATAACATTTTGTTTTATATTTTCAGAACATTATGAAAACAAAATTTTATTATAACATTAACAATAGTATATATATATATATATATATATATATATATATATCAAATCCCTTCTTAAACAAGTAAATATATTGACCAGAACAATCATTTCAGAATGATATTTAAAGCATTGAAAAAAAAAGATATATATTCTAACATTTCAAAAAAATGTAAAATATCTTATTGAAAAATAAGCTTACCATTACCACTTGTGAATTCGGGCATTTTGTGGTAATAAATTCGGGTCAGTAATAAGCAGTTGTATGCGTTATACATGTCATGGGAGTGTGTTTTATATTCTTGAATGACGAGTAAATACCAGTCTATTTATAGAAATTTCAATAGGGCTGTTCCTTTCTCCACTCAAATGATTTCATACAAACTGCAATTTCCGGCGGGACATTATGAAGTTAAATTTAATGTACACGTCACGAAAAACTTATTACTCATTTATCTGAATATACATTACGTACGCATGATAATGATATGATCACGTGGTTTATTCACTGGTGTATAAGTGACTTGGATCAGAACCAATTTATGTAGGATCAACATTGATGATTAATATGATCACCTGACTACAGATCAATACCATGGGGGGACACAAGATAAACTTATTTTATATTCTCCCTCACTTTGTTCGTCCGAATATAAAACGATAATTATCTAATAAAAAAAAACGACCCAAACACAGAAATGGAATAAGTACCACTTCATATCGAAATAAGAAGCAAATATTAATATAGATCGCATGTGAATACTATAACCGCATTAAATCACACTCCAGGTACAAGGCTACATGAAAATAAATATCGTTTAAACAAGCCTCAAATATCAAATATAAATCACGCGACCGCTTCTAGAAAAAAAATTATTTGAAATATTTATCAGTTGTACCTTTACGAAATTTGCAACTAAAACTTAGCTAACCCATAACATACACCCTGTACACCGAGACCTCGAATTACTCCATACCCGTGTACCACCCGTGATGATGTCACGAAACCGCCCAGCACATGTATCCTCGCCTTTACCTGGAAACGCCTGTACGGGCCATAATACACACGAAAATAATCTTATGTCTAAAATACCGAAAACACCTAACCTACGGATCGAGTCGGAAATCATATTATATACACCCACTATCTGGTCCTAAAATCATATTGTATACACCTACTGTCTGTTTTGGTCATAACTGATTCTTAGTCAACCTTTACCTGAGAAAATTACTACCCTACATGTGTATCGCAAAAAACAACTTAGTACATGGAACTGTTTATTAAGAAATATACAGCAGACTACAACTCTACAGACACGTCTGTCAATCTGGTTTTCTTGAGGAACCCGGATACTGACTAGACCAGTTGACCTGTTTGTGAACAATTATTTGTCCGAATTTTTTTTTTTTACAATTTTACGGTAGGTATGATTTTTTAAAATAATCCCCTACAAGTATGGAAATTACCAGTATGTAATGGAAATCCCATTATGAAAATAGTGTACACAACACGTAATAGCTGATATCAATTAAATAAAGGATGTATATACCAGTACTGTACTTCTATCCTCCTTCAATTAAAACAATTTGATACATTTTCCATTTCTTCATGACGATAATCAACACTTACATAGCTAACTCTGTCTCTGTTTACATTCTTCACCCCTGTAAATTTCCCATGTATTACCTGTTCTGTTTACCTTATGTTATTATCATTTATGGAATTTTACTTCCTGGTAATTTGTTTTCCTTCGTGATTTTAACGATGGAAAAATAGTTTGTCATTTGTGTGAATTACTTATTTTGAATGATTAATATATACTATATGTGTGAATTTCCCAAGGACCAACAAACTTACTGTCAACAGATCTCTTATAGTCGGCACAAGGTTCCCAAGTACTTGCTACCTGTACAAAGTTACTGTCAACAAATCTGTGATAGTCGGTACAAGGTTCCCAAATATTTCCCGTCTGTACAAACTTACTGTCAACAAATCTCTTATAGTCGGCACAAGGTTCCCAAATACTTGCTATCTGTACAAAGTTACTATCAACAAATCTCGGACAGTCGACACAAGGTTCCCAAATACTTGCTACCTATACAAAGTTACTATCAACAAATCTCGGACAGTCGACACAAGGTTCCCAAATACTTGCTATCTGTACAAACTTACTGTCAACAAATCTCAGACAGTTGGCACAAGATCCCCCAAATCTTTATGTCTGATAGTCGGCACAAGGTTCCCAAATATTTGCTGTCTGTACCAAGTAACTGTCAACAAATCTCTGATGGTTGGCATAAGATCCCCCAAATCTTTGTCTGATAATTGGCACAAGGTTCTCAAATCTTCATGCCTGATAGCTAGCACGATGTCCACAAATCTTTATGTCTGTACAATATTATCGTCCACAAATATTCGATAGATGGCACAAGGCCCACAAATCTTTGTCTGTACAACGTTATTTTCTTAACAAATCTACGACAGCTGGCACAAAGTCTTCAATTGTTTGATAGTCTGTGCGTTGTCTTTAAAAATCACAGGTAGTCGGTACAAGGTCTCTAAATCGTTGATAATCTGTACAAGGTGTACAAACCTTTGATAGTTTTCATTAAGTCTGCAAAAGTTTTCTGAAGTCTTTGACAGTCAATACAAGTCTTGATGTGCAAGGTGTCTCCAAATAAGACAGCCTCTACATTGTTTTAAAAAATGGGGCAAAGCCGACATTGGCCGGGTTGTGGGATGAGTGCAACGTTATATGGTATTTATAAGACAGTTAAGGGTGTTTCATTTGTTGAGTATGTAGAACATTTGTTATAAGAGAGAAAGTTTGGTTGTATTTTATGATTTGGGCATTTAAAGAAAGAAGTTTAAGCCATTTTTTTATTCGGAAATGTTAAAAAAATGAACCCATATTAGGTGCACATCTTCAACATATATATAAACATCCTACAACGTTTCAAGAGTCTACATCAAAACCTCTGGGAGGACTTGATGTTATATACAGGTAGTAGTAGTTTTCACCGTTATATACAGGTAGTAGTAGTTTTCGTGTTATATACAGGTAGTAGTAGTTTTCATGTTATATACAGGTAGTAGTAGTTTTCATGTTATATACAGGTAGTAGTAGAGGTTTCGTGTTATATACAGGTAGTAGTAGTTTTCGTGTTATATACAGGTAGTAGTAGTTTTCGTGTTATATACAGGTAGTAGTAGTTTTCGTGTTATATACAGGTAGTAGTAGTTTTCGTGTTATATACAGGTAGTAGTAGTTTTCATGTTATATACAGGTAGTAGTAGTTTTCATGTTATATACAGGTAGTAGTAGTGTTTTCGTGTTATATACAGGTAGTAGTAGTTTTCGTGTTATATACAGGTAGTAATAGTTTTCGTGTTATATACAGGTAGTAGTAGAGGTTTCGTGTTATATACAGGTAGTAGTAGTTTTATACAGGTGTTATATATATACAGGTAGTAGTAGTTTTCGTGTTATATACAGGTAGTAGTAGTTTTCGTGTTATATACAGGTAGTAGTATATATATACAGGTAGTAGCAGTTTTCGTGTTATATACAGGTAGTAGTAGTTTTCGTGTTATATACAGGTAGTAGTAGTTTTCGTGTTATATACAGGTAGTAGTAGTTTTCGTGTTATATACAGGTAGTAGTAGTTTTCGTGTTATATACAGGTAGTAGTAGTTTTCATGTTATATACAGGTAGTAGTAGTTTTCGTGTTATATACAGGTAGTAGTAGAGTTTTTATACAGGTAGTAGTAGTTTTCGTGTTATATACAGGTAGTAGTAGTATATACAGGTAGTAGTTTTTATATACGTGTTATATACAGGTAGTAGTAGTTTTCATGTTATATACAGGTAGTAGTAGTTTTCGTGTTATATACAGGTAGTAGTAGTTTTCGTGTTATATACAGGTAGTAGTAGTTTTCGTGTTATATACAGGTAGTAGTAGTTTTCATGTTATATACAGGTAGTAGTAGTTTTTATACAGATAGTAGTTTTCGTGTTATATACAGGTAGTAGAAGAGGTTTCGTGTTATATACAGATAGTAGTAGTGTTCATTTTATATACATGTAGTAGTATATGTATCGTGTTATATACAGGTAGTATATATATACAGGTAGTAGTTTATATACAGGTAGTTATTATATACAGGTAGTATACAGGTAGTAGTAGTTTTCGTGTTATATACAGGTAGTAGTAGAGGTTTCGTGTTATATACAGGTAGTAGTAGTTTTCATGTTATATACAGGTAGTAGTAGAGTTTTTATACAGGTAGTAGTAGTTTTCGTGTTATATACAGGTAGTAGTAGTTTTCGTGTTATATACAGGTAGTAGTAGAGGTTTCGTGTTATATACAGATAGTAGTAGTTTTCATGTTATATACAGGTAGTAGTAGAGGTTTCGTGTTATATACAGGTAGTAGTAGTTTTCGTGTTATATACAGGTAGTAGTAGTTTTCGTGTTATATACAGGTAGTAGTAGTTTTAGTGTTATATACAGGTAGTAGTAGTGTTTTCGTGTTATATACAGGTAGTAGTAGTTTTAGTGTTATATACAGGTAGTAGTAGAGGTTTCGCGTTATATACAGGTAGTAGTAGAGGTTTCGTGTTATATACAGGTAGTAGTAGTTTTCGTGTTATATACAGGTAGTAGTAGTTTTCGTGTTATATACAGGTAGTAGTAATTTTCGTGTTATATACAGGTAGTAGTAGTTTTCGTGTTATATACAGGTAGTAGTAGTTTTCGTGTTATATACACGGTAGTAGTAGTTATTAGTGTTATATACAGGTATATACAGGTAGTAGTAGTTTTCGTGTTATATACAGGTAGTAGTAGTTTTCGTGTTATATACAGGTAGTAGTAGTTTTCGTGTTATATACAGGTAGTAGTAGTTTTCATGTTATATACAGGTAGTAGTAGTTTTCATGTTATATACAGGTAGTAGTAGTTTTCATGTTATATACAGGTAGTAGTAGTTTTCGTGTTATATACAGGTAGTAGTAGTTTTCGTGTTATATACAGGTAGTAGTAGAGGTTTCGTGTTATATACAGGTAGTAGTAGTTTTCGTGTTATATACAGGTAGTAGTAGTTTTCATGTTATATACAGGTAGTAGTAGAGGTTTCGTGTTATATACAGGTAGTAGTAGTTTTCGTGTTATATACAGGTAGTAGTAGTTTTCATGTTATATACAGGTAGTAGTAGTTTTCGTGTTATATACAGGTAGTAGTAGTTTTCGTGTTATATACAGGTAGTAGTAGTTTTCGTGTTATATACAGGTAGTAGTAGTTTTCATGTTATATACAGGTAGTAGTAGAGTTTTTATACAGGTAGTAGTAGTTTTCATGTTATATACAGGTAGTGATAGTATTAGAAAACTAAACAGGTACAGTAAGAGTTTTGGATATATATACAGGTAGTAGTAGTTTTCGTGTTATATACAGGTAGTAGTAGTGTTTTCGTGTTATATACAGGTAGTAGTAGTTTTCATGTTATATACAGGTAGTAGTAGTGTTTTCGTGTTATATACAGGTAGTAGTAGTTTTCGTGTTATATACAGGTAGTAGTAGTTTTCATGTTAGTTTTCATGTTATATACAGGTAGTAGTAGTTTTCGTATTATATACAGGTAGTAGTAGTTTTCGTGTTATATACAGGTAGTAGTAGTTTTCGTGTTATATACAGGTAGTAGTAGTTTTCGTGTAGTAGTTTTCGTGTTATATACAGGTAGTAGTAGTTTTCGTGTTATATACAGGTAGTAGTAGTTTTCGTGTTATATACAGGTAGTAGTAGTTTTCGTGTTATATACAGGTAGTAGTAGTTTTCGTGTTATATACAGGTAGTAGTAGTTTTCATGTTATATACAGGTAGTAGTAGAGTTTTTATACAGGTAGTAGTAGTTTTCATGTTATATACAGGTAGTAGTTTTCGTGTTATATACAGGTAGTAGTAGTTTTCGTGTTATATACAGGTAGTAGTAGTGTGTTATATACAGGTAGTAGTAGTGTTTTCGTGTTATATACAGGTAGTAGTAGTTTTCGTGTTATATACAGGTAGTAGTAGAGGTTTCGTGTTATATACAGGTAGTAGCAGAGTTTTTATACAGGTAGTAGTAGTTTTCGTGTTATATACAGGTAGTAGTAGTTTTCGTGTTATATACAGGTAGTAGTAGAGTTATCGTGTTATATACAGGAAGAAGTAGAGTTTTTACAGGTAGTAGTAGTTTTCGTGTTATATACAGGTAGTAGCAGTTTTAGTGTTATATACAGGTAGTAGTAGAGGTTTCGTGTTATATACAGGTAGTAGTAGTTTTCATGTTATATACAGGTAGTAGTAGAGGTTTCGTGTTATATACAGGTAGTAGTAGTTTTCATGTTATATACAGGTAGTAGTAGAGGTTTCGTGTTATATACAGGTAGTAGTAGTTTTCATGTTATATACAGGTAGTAGTAGTTTTCATACAGGTAGTAGTAGTTTTCAAACAACAGAATATATACAGGTAGTAGTAGTTTTCGTGTTATATACAGGTAGTAGTAGTGTTTTCGTGTTATATACAGGTAGTAGTAGTTTTAAGACATGTTATATACAGGAATTGATTTGTCAGCAGTAGTTCCAAAGCACAATGACCAGATATGAATAATAATTAGACATCAGATCCATTATTATTCAGTATCAAGTATTTGACAGATGTTTTCAATAATTGGGCCTGAATCATAAGTACTTGTGAAATAGAAGATACTATAATGTATAGGAACAAGCATATTGAGTATTACATGAATAAATGTAGATGGAAATTCATACCATTGAAAATATTTGTCATGGTGATAATTTAATAGTGAAGTTTATGATTAGGAACTAAAACTGCACAAGCAATACAGACAAATGAAGCTTCAAGACAAATATTTGGAAGGAAAGGGTTTTATTCAAGTTTTCTTGTTATCTCCCTATTTCTTCCAGGTCCCTGAAAATAAAAAAAAATACATAGTTACTACATTTGGCAGATGTCAAAATTGAAAAAATAACACACAGTTATCCATAAGCAATAAATCCATGTGTGTTCATTTGTTGAGGTATTTAGAGAGTATCGACATACCATGCTTTGGAAAAAGTTTAAAGACGTAAAAATTAGCAAATGCTTGATTTTTCATCTCTTCTGTATATCGAATGGATATGCAGTGTAAATTGAATAACATTTTCCATTCTGAAATGACATTTTATTAAATATCTTACCTAAGTCATTTATTAAAAGTTGACTTAGCGTAATCTTCTAGCCTCTCTCTCGGACTCTAGCAGTGTCAGGATGTCTCCCTCACGCACTGGGCCTTTCACGTTCCTGATGATGGAACGGTTACTGTCATCTAGAAATTCCACACGCACCTGCATCAAAATCATTATCCAACTGATAATACATCATAATCAGATTTCATACATTCAGTTTTTAATAAGACAATTTTAGACAGTAATTTAAAGAATCACATATTATTGGCTAACTATGAAGGATGTGAATTTTGTGAGATTTTTGGTACATGTACTGAGGTAACTATTATGTATGGTATATTTTTTGAATAATCTGGAATTTACAGTTTGCTGAAATAGTGAAATATGGCAAACAAGAAGATATCAAGAAATATGTGCAATTATGAGTCTCATAGCACCCACTACATTCAACCTATCATTCAACAACAAATTCTATGATAAAATCTGTCCATACTAATACTAATACTGAAGTTTCTCAGAAGCTAAACTTAACACCAACTTCTAAATCATAATGCTGATGTGGACATTACACATAAGCAATAGCAAAACCCTGGTAAAATACTAGATGCAATACACTGCTCAGCTAAAGAGAACTTCTATTAAGACCAATCTGTTGATTGGAAGACTGTAAACAAAAGGTCTTGGGTTGAATCCCAGTGAAGGCACTGAATAGATAATGACCTCTGTCACACTGCTAACCTTGACTCTGCTTCCCTACTGAGGACAACAACAGCAGTAATTTGACTGATTATCAGATGACTGAATTCAGAAATTAATTTGAACCTATTGCGTCAAGAATCCACTTATTGTACACATACAAATTTTAGGAGGAGTATTCCTTTAAGTGTGTTTCTCAATGAATGAATTGCACTAGAATATGATTTGTGCCAATTGAAAATTCTGTATATGTGTGTTCCCAATTACAATATAACAAATATCATGGATGCACAAATTCTTCGTTATACTTATTTGCGAAAAATGTGATTATGCGATATAATATCATTCTACCCATTTTAGAATTTTTTCTAGAACATTTTTTTCTTGTATGTAACTATACTTTAATGTGATAAAGCTTGTTAGTAAATGTTAGTAACACAATTTATACATTTTTTTATCTGAGCACCTGGTACATGTTTTCTTCGTCAAAATTTTAATGATTTGGATGTTGATACTGTTTTTTTCCCCTGATGACATAGACCTTGATTGTTAAGAAAAGGTTAATGTTTTGTAATATCTTTCATTTGGATTTGACATTTAGAAAGATCAACATTATCATTACCACTAAAATTACCAATAGAGTCAATTAAATCCCACATTTACCTGTGTACATTGTCCCTGTGATCCTGTGCGTCCAAGCACCTTGGTAACCTGTAATAAAAGAATTCACTATGTATAAAAATGTTTAAAAAATGAATATTTCATCATCAATATTTTTTAACGAAAGATTGTAGAGAAGACACAAAACTATGAGTGAATACAAATTAATCACTACAAAAAAAGGATGGATATTATTACTATCATTCAGAATAAGTAACGAATCAAAAATGTTTCAACAACTAGACAATTAAGTTAAGGGCCAAAAGTTTAGAATTTTTCTAAATCTAGAGGTTGACATCTGCAAATTAGAATTGGCTGAAACAAGTTTAAGTGTTATATTACAGATTAGGAGGTGCATTTATCAAGGCCATTATCACCATGACACAATTTGAATACCATTATCAATAACTTCATGAAAGAATAAAAAGTATATGACATACGTGTAATATGTTCTAAAAAAAATCAGTGCCACTTTTGTTAGAATCTGTACCAGTAACCCTTTTAATAAATTTGAACATTGCTGGATTAATGGAAATAATATGTGAACAATGCTAGTAAAAAGTTGTTCTAAATACAGAACGATAGGGAAATGGTCTCTCGAAACATTATTCTAATAACTTGTTCATATTTTTTATCATTTTTTCATGATTTGCCAACATATAAAACACCTCTTAAACAAGATTTATTGTGTAACTTTTATCATCCTATTTTTATACTCCTTCCTTTGTCTAAAATAAGATGTACATGACACATTCAGAGACAATACCATGCATTGGTAATAAATACTTCAGTTTAAACTACAACAAATCACTATGTACCAGTAATATTGTTGAATAAGTGCTATTTCTCACTTGATTATACAGCAACTTATGCTTTCATAAATTTAGATATTATTTGATTTTCGAAAAAAAAAGGTTTATTTGTGCCTTAAACTCGGGATCTACAGTACCAAATCTCCTAGGCAAGAAATTACAAACCAGTTTAACCATTGCACAATCATCCCCTATAAGGATGTTAGAAAATGTAGTAAACAGACAGCTAGAAATCCTCTACACGACCATAGTTTAAAATTGAGTATGACGTGATACGAACACCTATATTTCATAATGCTCGTGTTTGGCCTATATTGTGTGCGAGTTGTTTCCCTTTACAGAGGAAATTCTCTTAATTGTAATTCAATCCATTTCCAGGCATTTCATATTTTCTGTAATCATATGAACATTATTGTAAAGCTACCGTCATTATCAACATAAAAATAAAAAAATCACACGTTTTATGAGATATTCATTCCTTGCAGAATACTGGAAAATCACAAAATGGCGATGACATGCAGAGAGAAGCCACGTGCTACAAAGTATGTCCTGTAAATCTAAATTGGCAGGCCTATTTTTATTCTGGATTAGTGATCCTTCTTAAGAAACATCTTATGAATACAATTTAATCACTTTAAGAACTATAACTTGAGCTAAACATTGATAGAAATGCATACTTTTGCTAACTTGACTGGCTGTAATTTGTCCATGATGGAGGCGCAATTGAAAAGAAAGAAAACGGATTCCGGACGGATATCACAGCGTTCGTTAATGATATTAATACCTGGCCCTTCAGTTGATCTTGGTTTCTTTTTCATATTTAAATGATTTTTTAACACTTGTTTGTTTTTTTTTTATATTTATCTATTGTTTTTATCATGGCTATTAAAATGTTCTATCGCAAAAATTATGGTTGACGGTAAATTTTCCGGATGTACTCGTTTTCACGTTTAGATGTACAAATAAGTCAGTCTTACGGTGACGCTTGACAGTTCGTCTTTGGTGGAGCAAAGGAGGGATTGTTTGGCAGGGCGTTAAGAAAAAAAGCTGTCAGCATGAGTGCAGTAAAGAAGATGGCAGTTGATACTGTCAACAGGACACCGTCTAGCATTATTGGTTGGATTAGAACCACATTAACAAGGGTATGAATAGACGTAATATAATGTTGTTACCAATGTTATAGCTTGCATCTCATTTGCACTCGGGTCAAAATCTTTTCTACTGCAGGTTGAAATTCTCTACAAGTCAAACATGACTGATTTAGCTAAACAATGACAGTTGTCAAATCGCTGTCATTGACTGAATTATACAGCCATAAATTAAAGTCATTATCAGCTATAAAATTTGACATTTATGAGCAGAGGTCATTATTTTTATTTTCTGAACGACAGGATTTGAGAAGATGCACTGGAATTCCAAATCCTTTCATTATACCGATAGATAAAAAAATCGAACCCGGAATATAATAACATAAAACTACAGAATATGGCTAGACTATACACTAATTACAGGTCACATATATATATTGATTATCAAGATAATGATACCCATTTAATTATGTAGAAGTTGAGGGTATAGATAACCTTACTAGTATTGGCTTGTAAAAATCGTGGAAATTTCCCTTTAGGCAAGTGGTAACTTGAGACCGAAAGGTCACTAGTTCAAACTCCATTAATGGCAGAGGTAGCAGTAAACAGTTAATTTGCATTTTTCCTGAAATTATTTGTCATGTTTGAGATATACAGGTATAGCAGATTGGTTATGAAAAATACATCATTACATGTATATATATTTATAAACTGTATAACAATTACATTAACAGTAGAGAGATGAAATTTGTGTAAAAAATAAAATTCCTCTGATATCTGACATTTGATTGTCATGGTTACCTACTGAAAAAATGCTAAAAATGCAAAAATACTGCTAATTCCAATCCAACACTACAACTTTCTAGGAGAAATTTAATTCTAATCACCTATCTTACAATCAACAACACTGTCGTGGTAACAAAGTACTTACATTTCAGCAAATTCCAACTCGGAAATTCTTCATAACATGACCACATGTAAACACTATGAAAATTTCACTTCCTGTAAAGCTAGTTTTTGGTGCGTAGACACAGATTCGAGACTGCCCAAATAGTAATCTCCAACACAAAGCTAAAATATTATCCTGAAAAAAATGAAACCCCACATTGTCCACTTTAACATGACAGGACCAATTTTAGCAAGGATTTTTTTTTTCATTTTTAATTAAAACCTTTATAATGGGGTAATCTAATGAGCAAAAAAATCACCCATGGCCACACCGAGAAACTGTGTACTGCTACCTTATACATCACAATTAGTTTTTTTAATTTCATTAAAATCCCTCTGAGTGTCTAGAAAATGATCACACGAACAAAACAATATATCGCTTTACTGTGTATCTTGAATAGCTATCGAGTAATATGGATTTTCCCGCATGGTGTGTTTTGACCAATTCTGCTCTCAAATTAGGAAGAAAGGGAGGTAATTTGAAAAATTAAAACCTCAATAAGTCTTAAATTTACTTGAATAAAGTTGCAATTGAAACTGAATCAAGTAGTTTGTGCTTCTGTGAATTTAGATAACTGAAAAGCAAATTGATACTACATATATAAAGTCTTATGTTATGACGTCATGGTAACAGCTGATGTCATCAGTACTATGACGTCATCAATTGCTAATGATGGCTTCACCAATGCACTGTGATGTCATAGTGAAGGCTAGAAATCCAACAAAAACTTCAAATTAGCATCTGACACATTTCTCGAAAGTAATTAACAGTGATATGACATAAGATATTCTTAAATGTCATGTGTATGACATCACAAACACCTATGCTTACTGCCCCCCACCCTTCTTCAAGTGTAATATTAGAAACCCTATTACATTGCAATATTGTTCGAAAAATAGTCTTTTTTACAGCAGTAACTATGGAAATGTAATTTTATGACAATATTAACATGATTGTATGCCCAATCTATGAGAAATACACACACATTATTGAGTAAAAATCATCAAAACAGAGAATTTATCCAAAATTCAAAAACTCATACTTTCCTTCTTAGTTACCATGGATACCACACCTTAAACTATTGGAATTGCCCTATAATGCAGTCTAAATACATTCTAAGGTTGTTACTGACTTATTTCATACCTGTTACCTACCGTAGAACAGTTTTCAAACTGATACCAAGCCTTTTGAAAACAGCTGAAATTCTCACCCACAAGAGCACCCAAATTACCTCCCTTTATGCACCCCTGATGAAATTAAAATAAAATCATTATGAACAAGTTTCAGTGTGTTTTTTATGTATTTATAGCAATTATGGAAAGGATTAAACTTAATTAAACATAGTAAAGCACATTTTAAATAGATTAATTTTTTTTAATGTGCTATAAGGTAGCAGTAAACAGTTAATTTGCATTTTTCCTGAAATTATTTGTCATGTTTGAGATATACAGGTATAGCAGATTGGTTATGAAAAATACATCATTACATGTATATATATTTATAAACTGTATAACAATTACATTAACAGTAGAGAGATGAAATTTGTGTAAAAAATAAAATTCCTCTGATTTCTGACATTTGATTGTCATGGTTACCTACTGAAAAAATGCTAAAAATGCAAAAATACTGCTAATTCCAATCCAACACTACAACTTTCTAGGAGAAATTTAATTCTAATCACCTATCTTACAATCAACAACACTGTCGTGGTAACAAAGTACTTACATTTCAGCAAATTCCAACTCGGAAATTCTTCATAACATGACCACATGTAAACACTATGAAAATTTCACTTCCTGTAAAGCTAGTTTTTGGTGCGTAGACACAGATTCGAGACTGCCCAAATAGTAATCTCCAACACAAAGCTAAAATATTATCCTGAAAAAAATGAAACCCCACATTGTCCACTTTAACATGACAGGACCAATTTTAGCAAGGATTTTTTTTTTCATTTTTAATTAAAACCTTTATAATGGGGTAATCTAATGAGCAAAAAAATCACCCATGGCCACACCGAGAAACTGTGTACTGCTACCAGAGTGTTTTTCAGTGTTCCTGCCTGTTATAGGAGGTATCATACATGAGTTGTTGTTGTCTTTGTAAAGGAAAGTCTAGGTACATCTTTTCTGAGATATACAACAATTGTGAAACAAATTTTGAGCTAATATCTTATCGATCAATCAGTCTTGTTGGCTTGGATGGAAATGTGTGGGTCTTACTGAAGTACACAGGGAAAACCTACCTTTGTGGTCGACAGGTAACCCCTGCATATTTTCATGGCTGCTCAGGGAATCAAACCTTGGACAGCTTGGTGAAAGGCAAGTGTGTTACCAATGTCTGACCACCCTTTCTGAGTGAATTGCGTTCTTCAATTTTTGAAAGATTTAAAGCAGTGAAAAAAAATTCATCATCTAACTGTCATTCTGAATGCTTCAGATCAAGCAAGGTAGAGCAGCAAGCTAGGCATTTACACTTTTCTTGGCAAATTTGTACCAACAAGGCTACATAAGTAATGCAGCTTTGAAAGCATTTTTTTTTTGTGATTTCTAACATTGCCCAACTTTACTGTTTGGCAAACGTTTGAAACCGTTCAATTACATTAGTGCCAGTATGAGATGTGATTTGGAAATATGCCTTACCAATAATCTCAGTTGACGAGTGTCAAGAAAAGAGAGCAAGGCAATGATACACCTGTTTTCATTCCCCACAAAACACATGTTACATGTTGTTGGGATATTCATGTATACATGTTTATAGTTTCATGAACATATCTCTGAAACCATCTGAATATCCATTAACATACAGTTTCATTCTCAATTAAAATTTGATGACCGGGACTGCTACAAAATTGCCTTCTTGACAAATTATGGGTTATTTACATGAACACCCCAGAAATTACTGCAATAAAAAATGTATGATTGTTTTTATAGGTAGTTTTTAAATTCAGTTATTGTATTATTTCTTATGTCTTATACAAAGTGTTATGTTTTAGGAAGAGAAACAAAATTTATGATGGATATTTATACAATGTTGTTTTATTATCTTTCTTTTTATTTATGCTGATTCAAAAAAATCGTTTCAGAAGTCAAACTAGGAAATCTTATCACTGTATTTTCAAAAGATAAAATAATCCACTGACAAACCATGGACAGTGCAGAAACTGCAAATCAGAATCTTCTGGATTTTTATGTATTAATACTTTTCAATGTCTTTTATTTACAGAATATAATTTACAAAGATGCAAACAGATACCCTAATTCGGAGTCCTCTAGGTTGGTACATTATATTACTCATGTTTCCATTTTCTGAAGAATGTCAACCTCAGGTGTAGATCATATGTTTGTGGTTTAAGCCACACTCTGGGGAAAGTTTGTGTTCCTCAGGCATATGAGATCAGGCATTGTCCTGTTCTCTAGTGGCAGGACCCTGCATGTCCTTCACTGAGGTAACCACCATATACTACAGGGAGACTCTGTCTCACAATTTTCCCTAGTTGATCAAAGTGATGGTATAAACTCCCTTCCAAAACGAGAATATACATGATCATTTTTATGCTTTTAAGGTTGACTGTTATTAAATTAGTATATTATAGATCTGATACATTGTGCTTGTTTAATGTAATAATATGTTTTATATAGATTATGATGCTGTATGGTTAAATCCTATTAAAATTATGCAAATATTACAATATGTTTTATCATAACTGAAGTGATCATTGTTTTTTGTTTATTTAAGATACAATAGATTTAATATTTTTGTATTGTTTGATGTGCAATTGATGTTGCTATATAAAGTACCAGTGTCAGGATATATCTGTAATTCTTGGTGGTATGGAAGGAATGATATGTATTGTCAGATTTGCAGTCAAACTATAATTCTCCTAAAAATTGTGCTGTTTGAAGAGTTTATCAATAAGTACACTTTGAAATAGAACTGAATTTTATTTGAACGTTATTTTCAGGTCAGTGATATCAGGTGGTGTAGACTAATGAGACCTGAATTGTTTGTTACAGAGAGCAGCCACCTCCAAATCTTCCCGATGGTCCATCAGCCCTTCTCTCTGATAACTATTACTACACGAGGGATGCTCGGTGTTTGGTGGAACCGGCTGAAGCTTTGTACACAGCTACCCCAAAATATCAGACCCTTGCAGCTGGCAATGAGACCGAAAAAGCAAGGTATGCTCATGCAGCAAAACTTCAATTGTATAATTCTCAGACATTGGTCAGAGGGTACCAATTGATTTTGATTTGTAAAAAGAATTTTCAATTGATAATTATACACTTCCTACAATCATGTTTGAACATTTTAGGAAATTAAGTCCTCACTGACCTCCTTATTATTTAATGGAATTTAAAGGAAGTTAATAGTTTTGAAAGTATTTTTTCAATTCTCCTTTACAAGTGAAGTATTTGGGAAAAAATTGTCTCTTTTAATTTCCTCATGAACTTAAAAATATTTTGTCAATGTTGTCAAGGTTTTTTGGGAGGCAGTGCATGTGTTATTGGAAAGATTTAATCCTCTTATTCCTGATGTCAAAATAAATTGCTTGTCCATCTTGATATAACATTCATTCTAAATGAGGTTCCTTCAACATTTCAATCTTCATTGTGATGCCAACATGCTTATCTAGTGATTGTTGTGGAAATCAATATTGTCAGTAGGTACATATTTTCTATGTTATACCGGCGCATGTGAATGAAAGTATACATGTTATTTATACTTGACAGTTCTGACACTGGATCTGTAGCTCAAAAGAAAAGACTTGGACCTACTCCTCCAGGCTTCCGTCCCCAGGCAGAGATGACCCCTAAAACTTTCAACCCTAAATTGGTGTGAAACGGATAGTTGATCTAGATTTACAAGACATTTTGATTTGATTATATTTCATGTGTAAATAAAAATTCTTAATATGTATTTCATGTGTTGATATTTATCTCTAGCCCATCATCATCAGTTATTGTTATTCAAATAACCATATGTCTGTCTGGTCCGCCTGTAAATAAATTTATATTGCTGTTTCTTATGAAGTATTGGATGGATCTTTCTCTCAAATTTCTGGTGTTGGTCATTAGTCGTGCCACCTTGATTTTGTGACTGACTATAAGAAGACAGGCAGCCATATTGGATTTTGACAATGAAAGTTTGATATTGCTATTTTGTGACAAACACTGGATTGATCTTTCTGGAGTTTTTTTACGTTGGTTCCTCTTGGTCCAAAGTTTTGCCCTTTTGACTCTCAGGCTGATCAGAAAAAATTGCATAACAGGTAATATCTAATTAAGAGCAAGAATGGATGAAAGAATAGAAGAGGAAAAGATCCAACTTCAGTTAAGACCAGACATTGTTGGGTGTAAAGATCCTTGTAGGATCTCTTTGTTATTTGAGAGTTAGAAGGAGAATCTGGAGATGTCATTAGCCCACCATCATCAGATGGTGGACTTTTCAATTTTTCTACATCTGTGGTCTGTCCAGCCCACCTTTCATAACAATGTGATCAAAAGTTGTGCCCACTGGATTAATTTTGAGACTTCAGGAAAACAATATGGCTGACAGATGGCCAGATTGTATTTTGACAGTTGAAGTTTTAATGTCAATTTCTTGGAAAGCAATGAAAGGATATTTCTGAAACTTGGGTAGGTTCCCTTTGACCCCTAATTGTGTCCACGTTATTTAGAGGCAGGTCAGGAAAACAATGGTCATTGGGCAGGCAAACCTATTGGATTTTGACAAAGAAATTTTGCTATCACTATTTATTGAGAAGTACGGGATGGATCTTTGTCAAATTTCATATGTTGTTTCTGACTTGTCCCTGTTTTAAGGACTGGAGAGAAAAACCAAAAAAGCATTGTTGGTGATCTTTATGTTGTTTGTGGAATCGAGACTGAAATGGTATCTATATAAATGTGCAAGAGATTTTGGTGTCTGTGTTTAAATGATATCAGTTGAAAACATTTAAACTGTTTAACAGTTGGTAGAAGGCAGTGATGAAAAAAAGCAACCTGTGACTAATCTCGTGTTGAGACTTGCTAGATTCAACAGCTTTATATACAAATATTAACACTCCAACAATCATATATTGTACTTCTTAACTGGTGTTTCCATGAAACCAATGATAACAAAGTCAGTATAAGTATTTTATGAAGATTGTTTAATGTGATTTTCCAACCAATATATTTCATATTAACACAAGATTATTTCTTGACCAGCTACTCCCTCCCATGTCTGCAGTTCATTAATATGTATATAGTGATGTGTATATAGTGACCACAGCCCATGTTTGTGGTAAGTAAAGAGTGAAGTATTTATGCTTCTTCCAACTCCCTATGTATATGCATTATATTTGTATTAAAGTAAGTGTTTAGCCTTTTCCTACCTCCTCAGTCTGAGGTAGAAGGCATGTTTACACTCGCGTGAGTCCTCGGGGTAATATTTATCATAAAAATCCAATATAAATTCCTCTGGTTTGAAGCCATAATGTTGGTATAGTAACATGGCTGAGTTAGTGGCTGACACATGGAGGTTAACATCCTTACCCAGACAAGTCTGTAACAAACATACATTACAGTCAGGCATTGGGGTGATATACAGAACAATATCCAACAAAACATCATTTTACCAAGAAATCAAATCATCACAATCATATTTCAATGTAATCGATGTATCATCTAATAAGCTCTTAATCTACAACTGAATGATACTTTAAAAACCATCACTTTGTGATATTTTATAAAGGCACTTTCTGAGGAAAAAACGAAAACCACAATTTCTTCAACTCTTTCTCTTCATGAAGAGACTACTGGTAACCTTTGGCTTATAGAAATCAAGAAATACCAAATCGATAAGCAAAACACTGTTTATTGTTATTACAATCAAACTATTTATTTCATACGTTCGAACTGAAATCTAAGAAGTTGCTATGGCACTGCTCTGGAGTATAACTCTGAAAGTCTAGGTAGATTTGAACTAAATTTTCCATTAATTATCACCGCTAATTGCCAATTTTGACCACTTTCCTTGAATTTTAGGACATGAAAACAAATATTTAGGGTTGTTTCTTGTTCTTGACTATTAATGTAAAAAATGCAAATATTAAAGCACAGCAACCCCCTTTCTTTTGATCATCATAAATATCCTCCAAATTTTCTCTATCTAAGCATCTAAGAAAGAGGAAGGTTTTCCAAGAACTTTCTATATACCTGGTCAGTATAATGCTTATTTATTTGAGACCCATCATTTATGTAAATGTTGTATGGCTGCACTAGTCCTTTGGACTATCCATGAACTAAAAATATATTTGTTATTGCTATTTCATACATGTTTATCAAAATTCTAATAAAAACTGGAAAAAATCAATCTAAAACTGGGTACAGTAACCATAGCTACTCTAAAAGAAGTAAAACCAGGATCTAACTGTTGAAAATTCATTTTGTAAAATATATTCAACAATTACTATCTGTATTCAAATACTTCACAACTCACCTGGATGAGATGGTATAGCATGAACTTGGCAATGCCAGCCCGTCTCCACTCTGGATGTGTAAAGAGGAAAGATATATAGGCTTCATTGTACTTCACATCTGGCACCATGAAGGCAAACCCTATCACTATTTTCCTGTAACATAATCAAATCTTGAAAATGTGTAGTTTAAGTTACTAAAATACTGACAACATTAATTTAAACGAGAAAAAAAAAGATCTGTTCATGACTTTATTTTATTTCTAAATAGTCAATCAGGTACCTGATATATATACAAATTAATGTGAAAACAAAATAACAAAGCATATTAGGCTGTGAAACTGTGATCAAGATTTTAATAGATATAAACCTTATCCACCAGACAATTTGAAAAAAAACTGATGTTTTCATAGTGACAGCTTCTTCCAGATATTCAATGTTTCTTACCTGAACAATACCACACAACTGAAGTCTGGATACTGTAAACACTCGGACACTGTAAAAGAGATAAATAATTACAGTTTAAAAATTTCTTTGCTATAAATGTGCAGTGAAGGTAATTATCTCAAATCAGGCTGCAAAAATGTTTTGAACTTGTCATGAGATTTGTCACATAAATATTATAATAAAGCTACAGAATAATAAACATAAACAGCCTCGAATTACACTACTTTGATGTATTGTTAAAAGGCTTGTCAGCTATATATCCTTCATCAAATAACTTTTATAATGAAACTTCTTTAACTGAACATTAATCATACATGCATAACAACATCAATCAAGTAGTGATTTGAAAAGATATTATCAGTATCACCACCCCTTGGTTAGATATTTTCTGACATTTTGTGCCATAGAAAATAAAATAAACTTCCTCTTTCCATAACATACATATACTTACAGTCAATGCCAGGCCAGAAGAACTCGCGACAAAGAGTATTAACAGAGGGGATGTGCTGAGGTCTCACATAGCAATAGTCTATGGATGGTGGGGGAGTTGCTTTCCAGGTCTTGTCATTTCTGTTGAAACACACACACATATACATATATATAAAGCAGAAGAAATAAGGGACATAATTATAACACCAATCTTCACACAATCTGATCCAATTTCATCATAACCTACCTGTAACATGTTTAAGAAGCTTGCTTACCTGTGTGGATAGGCTTTGATTTCTTCAAGTAGTCTCATCTTCAGAGGTCGGGATTCATAATCACGTCGTATGAATGGCTTGAGAATTCTGTAACAAGGAGAGCACAATTGATAAGTTAACGTGATTTCTAAATAGGTTGGGAAGTTTGACCAAATGAAATAAACATACACTCAATTTTATATTGCTACTCATTTTATTGACATTATGCAGGTCTCTCCACAGTATTGAAAGCTACATCTAATTTGCCACATATCACCACTTACTTTTACTGATTTCTCTCAAGTAAATAAGTATTTGAAAAAGGTAATTCTCGATATCCCAAAGGGATCTTCATTCTCCAAAATCAGTCAAGCACAACTAGAGACCAAGAGAAGCAAACATATGAAATTTGAGAACCATCTTTCCAGAACTTTTCATGAAATAATGATAACAAACTATAATCCAAGAAAGCTATCTAATAGCCATTTTTAATAAGTTTTCCAGTTTAGACCAAAGATAGACTTTGTACAACTTGATATCAAAGGAAACAATATTATTTTCTATGAAATTTGAGAAAAATCCATCAGTACTTCTCAAGAAACCTCAATAATAATCTGTAAATGTCAAAATCCAAGATGGCAGTCTGACAGTCATTTTGTTCTTCCAATCTGTCTCCCAACTGACAATGCACAACAAGAGGCCAAGGGAAACCTACATACACAATTTGAGATTTAACAATAGTGCATTTCAAAGAGACGCAAAATAAAAGGGAATTTACAGAGGAATTACTAGAGACAAGCAGACTAAGGACAAAGGATGACTTTGAACAACCAAAATCTGATGATAATGATGCACTAACAAGAGATCCAAGAGGGATCTTGGCGCCCACCATTTGAGGATCTGTTTTCAGTTCTTGAAGATTTGTGTATTTTTTTTTTTTACAGGTTTTGTAAATGTTCATGAACTGGTTTTCATTGAATGTACTCAGTGATGGCACAAGATATTTTTATTAAGCACCTATTAGCAAATATCATTTGAAAAAGATCCCAAAGTATTATTAGATAGCAGTCAGTTACAGGTGGATAATGGACATGGTCTTGAATCAATATGATAGAATATCGAAGAAAATATGCTTGTGCTGTATTACTGTCGACGTCCAAGATGGCTGCCTGTGGGCCAACTTGATTTCAAATCAGTCAAAAAAAAGTACAATGCACAACTAGGGACCAAGGGAAACCAATACCTATGAAATATCAGAAGTATCCATCCAGTACTACCTCAGAAATAGCAGTAACAGGATTTTACTCTCAAAATCCAAGATGGCTGCCTGTCAGCCATCTTGATTTCAGATCAGTCCAAAAAGGTACAATGCACAACTAGGGGCCATGGGGAACCTGCATATGAAATTTGAGAAAGATCCATCCAGTATTTTCCCAGAAATAGTGATAACAACCTTTTACTTCCAAAATCCAAGATGGCCGTCTGTCAGCCATCTTGAATTCGAATCAGTCCAAAAAAAGGTACAATGCAAAACTAGGGACCAAGGGGAACCTGCATATGAAATTTGAGAAAGATCCATCCAGTACTTTCCCAGAAATAGCGGTAACAAACTTTTACTTCCAAAATCCAAGATGGCTGCCTGTCGGCCATCTTGAATTCAAATCAGTCCAAAAAAGGTACAGTGCACAACTAAGGACCAAGGGGAAACTGCATATGAAATTTGAGAAAGATCCATCCAGTACTTTCCCAGAAATAGCAGTAACAAGAATTGTTTACGGACGGACCACGGACACAGGGCGATTTGAATATCCCACCATCTGATGATGGTGGGCTAAAAATAGAAGGATCCTATCACACTATCAGTCTTTTTTATTTACAAAAATAGCTCCGCAAACGTGGGCAAGGCCCCACAGCCTTATCATAAAATTGGAAATGTGTAGTTGGGGTGAGTGGAAAGTTATCTCAAGAATGAGATCCCCAGAGATCACCATTTTCACTGAGCACTTTGGCTCTATGGACGTAAATAAGCCTGTAGATTTTTGTTGGCATTTGCTTTCTGCTCATTATGTCACAACATCACTGCGAATTTCCATTTTCATTGGAGATGTTGGGCCTATGGACCTATCGAAGTTTCAGTTCTTGTTCTCATCCGACATTCTTGAGATAATGAGCGGAATGCAAATTCAAGATGGTGGCCGTAACCGCCATATTGGATATCGGGCGACGACGAAAAACAATAGGGTTGTGTAGGTCCATAGACCCAACATCCTCAGTGAAAATGGTGGTCACCTTTGATGTCGTTCTTGAGATAATGAGTAGAATGCAAATTCAAGATGGTGGCCATAACCGCCATATTGGATATCAGGCGTAACATGCCCAGCGAAAATGGTGATGACCAGTGATGTAGTTTTTGAGATATTAAGCGGTATGCATTTGTGGAGGGACAGACAGACAGCTAGACAGACGGACACTGTGCATGATCGCAATACCCCACACCCTTTCGGAAAGAGCAATACAAATACTACATGGAACTTTTAAGCCATGGTCTATCCTGACATTGATTAAGTTGACTCAAATAGACTGCAGCTTACCTAGCAGTATAAGGACTACTGATACACTGTAGCTGGTCGTCCTCTGTACCAACAAGACGATTGAGGAAGGAAGGCTGTTGTTGGTGCCATGCCTGGTGTGCCTGGACTGTAGTCTGCAAAGGAAATATAGACCATTACCCAAATATCTATCAAAGGTGTCATTTTCATGGATTAAGAATATCAATCCAAGTGAAATACATTTGTACGTCTGTATTAGGATATTGTTTCAAACACAATAACATTCTGTATATCAGATATAAAATATCATAGCTGATGCAATGATTATACATCTACACATAACAAAACGGTAAAATTTAATCTAATCTTATCTTATCAGAATAATTGATTTACTGGGATAGTGAACTTTACAATCTAGGTTTTGACATTTCTTTCAATCACTTTGGATTTTCCTTAGTCATATTATAGTCTTCAAAATTTCAGCCCTTAGCATCACTTACGAGTCCTTGAGGACAAAACAGCTGTATGATGCAGTTTAATTCAATGTTTAACTCTTGGAATGCAAACTGTTGAGATACATTATATTATCTATGGAAAAGTTTTAATAATTGTTTCGAAACAGTGAGTTCAGTATGCATATGTAAAACTGGCAGCAATTAAACCAACATTTAGCTTTGAGCCTATATGAAATACCCTTCAACCTGTCCAAACTATTTACCTGGAATCTGTCCAGAATTCTGACATCCCCTCGTTGTAGTCGGTGGGAAGGCAGGCCATGATGGTTCAGATCTTTGTGTTCCTGTTAACAAGGTAATAAATAAGCAACCTTTTAGTATTGTGCATTGAGTTACCTCCCTTATGTTGAGGTACATATGGGATCATGCACGTGTGAGTCAGCCACGTTGTGAATTAACAGAGCCAATCCTAAAAACCTGCTTTTCAGTTAAAACAAACAAAGCCAATATTTTGGCCAGGGCAGGGTGAAAAAAGAAAAAAAGTAGTGAGCCCCTTGGGCCTTTCTATCCCGAGCCAAAATACAATTTATATATTTACACTGACCATGTAATATATTCATCCAGCAACATTGATTGAAAATCAGTCTATTGAAATATAAACAGTTTTTTGTTCAATCTGTATTTACCTGTCATTAACATTACCCTGAATTTTGCGTGACAACAGATACCAAAAGAAATGCACAGCACCAAAATCTTGTTCCAACTTTATGGGATACTTACCTCCCAGTCTCCTCCCCAACATGTACGAGCCAATCTATTCATCTCCACATCAATATCAAATATGGGCACGCCTCTTTCACGTTTTAGCTGCAATTATCATTCATATTTCATGGTTGAATTAATTATTGTATTTATTTGAACAATCATTGCAAAGGTTCTCATTCATAGTATTGTCGCACAAGAAAAAGTGTGAGATAAATGAGGGGCATTGCTCCAATGTTTACCAGTGAGAATTAAATAAAGAATACATTACTATTTGACAAAAATCATGCATTGTTGTCTGTGATACCTACCTATCTGACAAAAAACTTGTGTCCTAGTCTGTGATACAAAACTATCTGACAATAAGCTTGTGTCCTAGTCTGTGATACAAAACTATCTGACAATAAGCTTGTGTCCTAGTCTGTGATACAAAACTATCTGACAATAAGCTTGTGTCGCAGTCTGTGATACAAAACTATCTGACAATAAGCTTCAGTCGTAGTCTGTGATACAAAACTATCTGACAATAAACATGTGTCGCAGTCTGAGACAAATACCTATCTGGCTGTAAATGTGTGCGAAGTCTGTGATACAGTCCTGTCTGATTCAAAACCTGTGTCATAATCTGTGATACATACCTGCCGGACTATAAGCTTGCGTCGTAATCTTTTTAACTTTGGTTCCAGTTCTACACCATCTGCCACACTGTTGATCTTTTTCAACAATTGTCGCTCCTCATACAAACTCATCAAGACCACGCTGGAAATAAACAGGTACAATACTCACAAACATGCATATAGACATAGTATCGCTGTCTCCTTTCAGCTCTTTATATTGTTGCAACACGTACAAGTTCCGAAAATGCAACATGACTGTTCTATGAGCAAGTAAATACCTACAGAAGGGTCTATCTGGACATGTTCTTTATAGAAATATCTGAATAATGAAGGACAACTTTCTTTCAAAGACTTTTATACATGTTTCAGATGACAAAGATGTTTATATGAATTTGAGGAAGCATATTATTGCTATTTTGACATTTTCATTGACTCATGTTTGTCAGCTGAAGTGCTCATTTGGGTATAAATACTTTATACCACAAATAAAATGTTTTAGGTAGATTGTCTGTGCAGTATTAAATCTGTCACTTACTTATTTGTGGGTGAAGTTTCTTCCTCTTTCACATCATCAACTGCTTTTGTCTTTCTTCGCTTTCGTTTATGTTTGCTTTCATTCTGCAAAGCAGTCCCTGAATCTGAACCTTCGGAAGAGCTGCTTTCACTTTCACTTTCTTTTTCACTCTCAGAGTCCACTACAGATTGGTCATCCTCTTGTTTGACTGCACAGCTGACAGCATTGTCTGTCTGACCACCATGTATGTCCATGTTTGCATCACTCAAAGATTCAAGCTGGCCCACACCCCGATTTTCTTCGGACTCCACTTCTTTGTTACTATGACTACTGTTAGATATGTCTTCCTTATATCCTTGACAACTGAGAGAATCTTCAGAGGGATTTCCAAAGTTGGCACTACAATCCAGGTCCATATCTGTATCTAGCGTGATGAAATTTACTATATCAATTTATGGTATGCTTCTACTTTTATCATTCCTTCGAAGGTTTTGATTATTTATCAAGAAATTGTTCTAAAACTTCTTCCCATCCCTTTTTCATTTTTACAAAATATTTGTACCTGAGTAAAAAACAAGCATTTTCCTTGTAATCAATACATGAATTGCTTTTGTCTACAAAAGACAAATCTTTGTAAGTAAAATTTTGACCAACAATTATTTTCACAGATCACAAGGAACCATTAAACTGATTTATTGAACACATTGCCTGACAGGGATCTCCATTAGACCTATGTGTACAGAGTTTTCTCCCTTGAAAATTTGCACTGACATGGCTCCAAGAGCTGATTTTGATGATAATTCAAATTTTCAACACAGAGATACAGTCTGCAAAAATAATTAAGAATCGACAGGACAGATAAGTAACATGATTACCATCAGTATACAGGTTCTAAAGGAAAAGTTTCAAAATGAGCAAAGAATGTTCTTATTTCTCTACATGCATGAGTCTTACCATCCCTGGAGCTTATGGACATTAGGATATCCTGGAGAGTTGGCGAGTCTGGTTGAATCTGATTAGATGGTGACCCAGGAGGTGGAGTGATTGTTCCAGGATCAATCTCGAGGTCACTGTCTGAGTCAACATTATCCATATCATCCGTCATGAACAAATTAGGAAGGCTGGCTGTGAATCATTTTAAAAGTGTCATTACTATAGTCTTTTTAAAGTATAGTTGAAAAGACACAATATCTCTATCATACACAAATATAAGATAGAGTTTACACATAATTGAGTCATATAAGTTTTTTTGCCTATGTTGAATAGAACATTGTGGAAGTGGAAAGAATCGTCAATAAGAATGACTGGATTTGATTTAAACATTAACATAGCAGAATTTCAGTTCTGTTAATTAACCACAATCAAATTTTTAATGAATAAGTTTCACATTCCCTTCCCTGTTAACCCTGTGAGTATGAACTTACAATCAGCTTTGAGGTCATGTTCCGTCAACCACATGTCATTCTTGCTGCTGCTGTGAGAGAACTGGCTATCCTCATCAATGTCTCCCTTAAATGACCCGCTTACTGATCCAGATGATGATATGTTACTAAGGCTTGTGCTCTGGGTCAAAGAAAGGTTTGACACCTGAGAAGATCCAGGTGAGAATGTGAAAGAATTCTGACTTTGTGATGAATTAGGCCTTTGTGTTGACAAGAAGATTGGATCAGCAGGCTCCTGTTTGATGCCCTGAGCAAAGACTGGCTGGAAACTTGGGCCAGCCACTGGCCCTGAAGGAGTCAACATACCAAGAGTACTTTCCAGAGGGATAAACTTTCCAGACCCCTCCCCTCCTAGCTCCTGTTTGATATCCACATGAATGAGATGACCAGTGTGACTCTGTATGGGGGACTGCTTGGCCTTTCTGATTTCCTTAGCTTCCTATGGAGTGCATAACAATAATAATCTTTATATTTCGAACATTTTTCATAACAAAAAAGATCTATTTTCCTTGAGAAAGACTGATTTATGTAAAGAGATTAAACTTGAATTTCATTATGAAAGTTGTTTCGAGTTTCAAAGAAGTTCAAAATTAGAAAATATTTCTTGATTTGATATGCAGTGTTCAGATGGAGAACAGGTTCAGCATACAATTTTAGCTTCATATTGGTACATATCCCCTTATCCCAAACTTGACAGATGTATGGTGCATAACTGACCAAAAGTGTTTCTCTCTTGGCCTTCAACTCCATGGCAGCCTCAATGGACGTTTTGCCTCTTCTGTTTCGAAGTCCCTCTACCTTCATCATGGTTGAGTGATCTTGTGGAGGTAAAGGGTGACTCACACGACGTCGCCCCGTCTTGCTGGAAGATGTCACTGTAGTGAAAAGATATTAATAAACGACCAACTAAGAAGAGTTCAATCATTTTATTTTTCTTCTCTATTCTAGTCTTCTCAGTTTGTTTCATTTTTTAAAAAATGTCATTTAAATATGACTTTTGAATTTTGAATAGTCATTTCAATAAGTAACAAAATGATTACTCAGTTTGTGATTAGGTGGTTTCATCTCAGCAAGCCTCCACCATCCAGATTCTCCCAACTCTTTGGCTCCTGACACAAAGTGATGAGGGCATCCTGATGACAGAGTTCCAGCCACAGTACCATGCCACAAGTTTGTCTTCTTTCTGAGAAGATAAACACAACACTCTTTTAATCAATATCATAACAGAAGTAACTTTATTATAAAAACACACCATGGAAAGACAGACTAAGAAAATACATGTGAATATTTGATCTCCGGAATGGAGGAACCAAAATTTCACAATGCGACAAGGAAACAGTGTCCTAGGAAATTTTCTAGGGAAAGACTTTGCAATGACATCTTTCTTTCTGTAAATAATTGATGAACTTTCTGTTGAATAAATAAAAGAAACAAATAATTTTCTTTTCCTCCAAAATCACAGCTCAAATCCACTTGGCTGTAAATGGGGTGTACCCTTGCAATTTCAAAAATAACATTTTGATAAAATTGGATGAAACGTTTATCCACAGATTAAGTCTCCAAGGGTTGATAACTAGGGGCAATCATGGCAGCATAAATGTAAGTGTGTTTGGGCTTCACTTTCGTGTCATTATTGATTGCCTTTATGTTGTCAGCTGTACACCAAAATCTCTACCAGTGAAGACACGGAGTGGGGGCACACTTCATTCAAGGTCAAGTTTCCTTGAATATATGTTACTAACAAGCCTACATCTTCTAAGGTCTACATACTTTACTGGAAATTAAAGTAACTGATGAATAGATAAAGGACAGCCAAGTTATGTTTTTAAATAGGATCTAACTTAGGCAAAATGAGTGAACGACTTGCATGCAATACCGAGTGGGTAAACCTTAAAATGAAAGATTCTTGCAATTGGTTATTAATTGTCCAGAAACAGATACTTTACTGTGATATTTTCTGCAAGTCTGTAAATTCATTGTTACCTGTGATTCCCAAATAGAACCAGCCAATACTTGTCTATGAAGGCACAGATATGTTCCTTCCATCTGTAGTAGCCAAATTTCCCCACCTTACCACTCAGCTGTAGGTTGTACAGTGCAAGGAGTACCACTTGTGTCCTGTAAACAACAAATACATCTCATGGAAATCTGAAATACAATCATTGTCCCATCTAACGAGAGATAACCAACTGAAATACTACCGTACCATCACATAGTCAACACATCTAATTGGAAATGCATAGTATCTAAAATACTCCCATCTGCCAGCCAGCACATCCAACAGGAAACAAAGAAATGAGATAATTCTGTTCCATCACCTAGTCAAGATATCTCACAGGAATTACTCACTGTCAAAATAACTACATGTACTATTACCAATAAATTTTAATATCATCTAACAACTTAATTTAAATTATATAAAAAAATTAACCAGAACAGCTAGCAACTAGCCACTAGCTAATTATAAATGTTTCTGGATATCAATTTAGCTATAAACTTTAACAGACAATAACACTATGTGTGTCATTTTCTTATTTAAGTATGTAACAACTTTACAACTGATCTTGGCATTAAACAAAACAAAATGTAATGTAATTTATTGACATTCTAGAACTTACCATTGCATTTTCATCCGTTCCACCACTTCTTCATGTTTCTCACCACAATTTGAACATGTGAAATCAAAGAATACATCTCCAACCAGTGAAGAAGGAGAACCTGACTTCAGGCACTCTGAGGGTGAAAAATTCCATATTGCCATTAACAACGTTATTAACTTTAATATAGATGGGCAAGTGAAAGAGTTGCGTTCAGTTGATAATATATGGTACTTGTACCTGTAGTTACTTTTTTCCACATCAACTTATAGTTTAATTTCCTTTATAAACTACACGCTATATGAATTTATTATGTTTTCCTGATTTTGAGGTTTGAGGTTTCTCAAAAAAAAAACACTCTTTTCAAAATTTTACATATATTATTGATGATTTATTTCAAAATCCATATTTTATTGGTTAAGATTATCAGCTAGTACATGCACATTTGTTTTGTTTACATGTATGTGACAGTAAGTACATTTTGTATGTTTTTGTATTGCTTATTGTAAATGTTGATATTTTGACCAACCTAAATGGAAGTTTCCTCGACATCGGGCACAGACCAGTGTTGGTGTGTCAGCTTCAATGTCTTTTTCACCACAATAACAAACACCTTTCTCTTCCTTTGCCATTCTGTCAAAATTAATGCCATGATGTTTCAGTGTATGTGACTGTCAAATATATAGAAAGAAATTGGGAACTTTAAGTGGCAAAAGAGAAGATGCAGAACATATTACATGTTCAAGACTGCTGGATTTTGTGCCCTCATATAAAAAAATTGATAAGGCTTTTAATTTTGATGGTTTTCATACATAACAGGTCCAAAGTAAAATCTTGTTTACAAACTACTGCTGTTACAGATCTAGACGTTCAATATCTGTATTGACATACCAGTATCTAAAATAGCTCTGTTAGACTATATTTCAGAACTAGTTTTGTTAGATTAAATAAGTTGAAACAAAATTGCGTAAAACAGACTTTCTGTGGAAATACATGATATAGTTAAATATTTGTTTTTTTTATTTTTCAAAACTGAAAATGTTCGATACTTTTAACTAATGTTCATTAACATTGTTTAAAAGAAAAACATCTGTCAGTAATTTGGCAGCTTAAGTGCCATTAACATAATGATAAAAAAAATCAGTCGATATAACATTTCCGAAAATAGATCTGAATACAGCTACTTGAGATTGAGAGAAGTTGTTACAGAGGCAGATCGCCATATTATACTGGACCACATGAACTAGTCCTAGTGACTAGTCATGCACTAAGGGGAATGGTGCAAAATTCCGACCCAAAGATGTACATTATGTATACACTGGATCTATACGTCCTAGATTTCCAACTAGGCTATATAAATGGAAAATGTAGCTTATTGCATCGAGCTTAATATAAAACCTACAATATGAGAAAAATATTCCTAAAATATTATCGGTTATAAAGTCATACAGTTAAAAACGTACTGGGCCTAAGCTTTTCTTTTATACCACATGATCGTCAAAACTGGTGATGCATGTGACATAAATCCATGTGTTTACGTATTAGGTAGCAGTAATAAGGACGATAAATCACAAGATTATATCGTATCTACGGAATGTTTGTTCATATTTGTCAACGCAAAATGGACAATATTAAGCACTATCAATACTTTACCCCACTAAATGTATCCAATTTCTGATTGTTGCACACACTTTTTACTTTCACTGTTTTCGTTTTTTTTTTGCAGGGAAGTGTTTGTACGATGCAGATGCGCGCGGGGAATACTGATTATAAGTGGGAAAAGGAGCCGGGCATAGTTTCCGGATTACTTTAAAAGACAGCATAGAAAAAAAAATGTGAAAACAAAATGCACTAATGTATTATAAGAATTATCTATAAGATTATCAGAATTTAGATATGATTCATCTAAAAAAAAACCCCACATTTTCCCGTTTTATCGTTGGTCAGAACTATACCTCTCTATGTATGTCCTGTTACTAGAAAGGGACCTATTTCAGATAAACATAAACAAGAAGTAACACAAGTGCGCGAGAGAACGTTTAATACAGTTACCTGTACACTGACATGGGGCTTTGTTGTAACTTTATGTACACCCAAATGTACTTATTTTAGTGTGGTGCCTTGTATCAAGGTTTCAAGGTTTTATTTAGTCACTCTGACACTTATGTGTGTAACAAGAGGTCTGATACATATACTTTATATGGTACATGGCGTGTGATAACAAGTACAAAATTACAACATTTTCTGTAAATAATGATAATTCAGTTTTGCCTAATTACATACAGAAAGATCACAACCGGGTACGGAAATTAACTCAATTTATCAAGTTTTTCTATAAATCTACAATTTTTTGTGAAGATTTTTACATTGAATATTTCAAACAAACCTTGCGTTTTAATTTCACTTGAATAAATGAAATAATATTTTGGTAAATATTTCTCTCTTAATTTCAACTTTAGAAAAGGAACATGTAAATTGATAGTACCAAACATAATTCAGGCCAGTTAGGAATAGAATTTCTTTAATATTTGTGAGTCATTTAAATGACGTGGTTCCATTTTCTTGTAACGTATACATGAACTTATAGATAATACTTGATTACTTATTAGCGGTAATCAACTTATACCAGAATACTATTACTCTACATCTGATTTCAGTGTCTGGTGGGTATCTTCCCAGTTCACCACGAACAAAGAAATACGTTAAGTATATTTTTACAAAATTGCACATGGATTTTTTCTGTAATATTGATATTTTCAAGCTCCCATATAATGAATACAGGAGAACTGGCATGATTACTGAATCATATATTTTCAAGAAGATGGTTTGTTATAGTGACTACCACAGAGGATTCTGAGGCTGAGGGATTTGCACGCACAAACTAATACACAGTGATATAGAACTGCAGCCAAAATCAGAACAGAGTCCATCTTTCTACCACAATAGGTGGAAGTTATTGAACTCCCAAGGCACCAATTAATCATTCCAACTGTGGTATTAACATACATTATATATATGTACCACATGTCGTGTTTGTTCAATAATTTGATTTTTATTTGAATTTTCGTCTGTTTTAGGTTGAAGGTAACAATGGACGCCTACTAGTACCGGAGTGGTTGTCACTTGTTTATATGGCTGCCACTAAAGAATTTCCGCCAGATTAATTAAGTGGCGACCGCTACATCAGATATTTTCACTAGTGGTACTTACAGGCTTCCGAAGGTAACAATCCAATTCATGTCACCTTATCTGTAATGAGTGATATTACTTTTGCATATTTATTAGCGGCATTTTAGTAGTCATCTCATTACTTACCAACTGATAACATGAACAAAGCACACGTAGGTACAGTAAAATTAACAATTACAGAAATAAAAGGAGACGATATGAAATAAGCACTGAATCACTATACACAATACCATAAAGCGCTTACTATTATCATGGAATGCAGATATATGATAATTTTCTTCCCTCTCGGAAGTTAATTTCCAAAAGTTACATAACATCCGCTAGTGCTATTTTTTAAGTTCTGAAAAATAGCTAACTCGAGCGAATTGTCTGGAGACGCTATTTCTTTGATAAGATTATTCATGGTGTTGGAGTGGAGTGTGTGAGGGCGTGTGCGTGTATGAGAGGGGTGAGGGGTGGGGGTGGGGGTGGGGGGCGTTGGTGGGGGGGAGGGTGTCACACAATGGCTATCTTAAAGAACAATGATTAATAAGCAAGAGACCAGTCGCACGCTATCCTAAGGTAAAATGTTATGCCCAATGACAGGTCATATATTTTCAAATAAAGGTGAAGCGCATGTGATGATAACGTGTTAATGCATTCGGCGTGAAGCTTTTCACGGGCTCCTCGAATCTTAACTGTGTTTCATTGTGGGAGGTTTGTCTTTTTAGTGGATGTAATGTACAATATATGTAAATATTGTTCTGGCTTTTATTAGTTGATCGATTGATGTTGTATTTTTATTGCCGCCGTGTATAGTGATTGTGATTGCCTCTTTGTGTGTAAAACCACAGAGACATATAACAGTATTTACTAGGGAAAGGGTTGTGTAGTGTGCGCAGTAGAACATGTAAAACATTATTTACGTACGTCTGTCCCATAATAAATTCATATGTATTTTAGTTTAGAACCCAATGACGTGACGTAACGTTTGCCTAAAGCTTTGACTTTTTTATGGCAGTGGTACGCATTGACGATACAAAATTTGCTGTTTTAGGTGTGAACACCTTTCAATATAAATCTAGAATTTGGTATAGCAGAGCCAAATAATGAATTAGACTGCATCATACAGCTGATTCGTTCCTCTTAGACTCGTCAGTGATGCTAAGGGCATAAATTGTAAATCCATGGAGGCGATTGAGGAAAACCTTAATCTCTATGGCGAGATACACTAGCTCGATAAATGAATATATCGTAATATTCATATATCTGATAATAACAACAGAACCTCAAGTACATGTGTATATACTCCATCTACGAAAATAACGAAAGTAGAACCCCTTGACAACAATAACCTTTACAGAATAATAATTTGTTTTTGCACCGAATTGTCTTGTTTGGCGGACATTTATTTATCTATCTAAAACTCCCGACACTGGACTTGAAGGCCGTTTCCAGTCCCCTCACAGGTAAGATATTCCTGAAATACCCATACTGTTTCAGTCTTAATTCGTTTATGTAAGATATTTCTGGTATGGTCATATAATGACAATCCTTCCCAGTAACAACAAAAGCGTCATTCCATCTCGATGCCGTTACAGTATATGTTGAATCTTTTCCTGGAATTTGTTGACAAAAGAACGCAATGTCTCGTCGTAAACGTCTGAAATACAGAACCTCCTCGTAAATATCTGGGCCTTGTTCACGTAACTGAAACTGAATTCTTTTAAAGAAATGGTCATAAAGTGAATAATCTAACTCATCCCAACGACTGTGTCGATAGCCGTCGCCAGGGCTGAACAAAAAGTCCCCTGAGCCTTTTCTTCTCACGTTGTGCTTCATATACAACACGTCTTTGATTTTCCAATTTAGGAGTCTGCGCATCAGAATCATAGATTCATCAAAACGTTCTACAACAATGATTAACTGGAACTCCTTCTCTAATTTCATTATGTATTGTTGAATTTCAGTTTTATTTCGAGTTTTGAACAGGTTAGGTGGAAATCCGTATTCGAATGCCATACTGTTGTCCAGAAAACTTGATAACGATCCATTGTTGTAAAATTCCGGATCTTGCAAGAATCTCGACTCTGGAAATGCGTCATCAATTTCGAAAACTTGTTTTGGTCGAAAATAATTAAGTATAGACTTAAAGTGATCAAATGGATCTCTCACGATTCCGATATAGACGGTGTCCTGTGGCATGATCCGTTCAAAAGCTGTCCTATTGTAGAGAACATGACAGCACAGTATTTCGTATGATCTATTCCTGGGCGCGGGAAGTATGTTTCTGTTCGTCACTGTATTATAGGTGCTTATAACATTTGGGTAGAAAAAATTAGGAACGTGAGGCATAACCACCAGTAGGTCTTTCTGCATAGCGAACCTCAAGAAGATATTCTGCACGGTTGTACTGGCAGCCTTGTGTACTTTCACGAAAGCAATATGACGTTTCTCAGCCCGTCCATTTAAACGTTTCATCTTCATAAATATTTGCTCCGTGGACACTCCGCCATGACGTCGTACTCGTAAGGTGTGTAAAACATAAGACGACCATATGATGTACAGGGTCAGCATCAACAGAAACAGGAAGTACCACCTATTAGAGAGAAAAAGAAAATCTTAATACATTCAGCTAATATTTTCTACCCCATCGGACAGAAACTTCCACATTTCCGGCGAGGGTAAGATATCTGCACGCACAGAACATAAACACGTGCTAAACCGGAAGGTGAAAATTTGAGACGTGACTGATTGATGTTGACAGTTTAATATAAGATTAATATTATTGGATGACAGTATCTGATCCTCTTTGATTACTAGTATTAAGATCAGTCTTTTGACAATAAGTTTCCTTTACAAATGTCTTGTACAATGTGTAATATAAATTACAAAATGGTCAAAATAAAAACATTAGTCGTTATTTGCCTGATGTTGTTGCCATATTTGTCATCATATATTTGTCTCGTTATTCTGCTTATAGCATGTTGGAGATTAGGAGTAGAAAAAGTATCATTCCCTAGTATGAGAAATCTCTACCATCATAGTAGATTTCCGTCAGTCTAACCTATCGACAAAGACTCGGGTTAGATAGTCGTGAATCTTCTCCTCGGGTAGAGTTTCTCCTGTGCTACCCTCAATATTCTATTTGTCTGATAGGCTGAGAAAAACACAAATAAAAACATTCCTTTTGTTTTCCTTTATAGAAGTAGTGCAGTAAAAAGTTCATGTTAGTTTTAGTAAAGACTTGATGGTCAGATGTCTTTTATGTATTTTATAGCATATGGACGTGTCAAACGTTTAGGATCTAAATATTTATTCTTGAATATAGTTTACTGAACATGTATGGGGAACTTGCAGGAATATTTCTTAATCATGAACAAGCGTTAGCTATTGTTTATAGTCAGCCATCTTCCAACCCAGTTAAGCTTATATAGAATGAATGTATAATCAGTCATAAGAGAAAATGAAGTAAGGGATCTCATCTTTGGCGATAATTATCATATTTCTATATATAGGAGTATCAGTCTAATAATAGCAGTTAAATTTGTTATTTGTCTCTAATATTTATAAGTATATAATAAAAGGGACCTTTTACTTGTGTTTCATTTGTATGTATAAAGTGTATTTGTATGTATAAAGGTCAGAAGGCCTCCCATTGATATGGAAATACAAATATAGCTTCTCAAAGATCAAGTGAAGAATGACAGAAACACTCCTATTTAGAGTAACCGATATGGAGGACAACCTTAATGGAAGTGTCCGATTAGGATACAGTACAGAGGAGGGATGCTGATTTGGGCCATTCTGCGACTATTCATGAATATTTTGTTACAGGAAGATGCTCTACAATCAGCTACATAAAGTCTGCTATTCAAAACATCACATTTGTATGTAAGCTCTTAAAATATGTAAGGTAGGAAATCAAAATTTTGATATTTAAATTTTTTATAAACTCAGTGTTTGAGTGCAAGTTGTAAATGTAATATTTTCTGTTGAATAAGTTCAAGGTTTTAAGAATGGAGCTAAGAACAAACGTGAAGTATGCTTATGAAAAATACTTCTAAGTAAGAGAAGAAATATACGGAAGAAAGAATTGTCTAAACGATTCCGTGTTGACAATATTTTCGTCGAGTTTGGCGGTAAGAACTTCCAACATAGAAGTTTGTGGTTGTTTACTTTGTTCTCATTTTGGAAAGCGACAGTATCTACTTGGATCAATTTATATTTACATGGGTGTGGGTAATTGATGAAGCAGAAGATGCTTATACTTTCTGAACAAATGGTCCTATTTTCTTTGTACATTTTCAGGAGTCTTCTTGTTACTCTCTCTTTTGTTTATTGAATATAAGTTTCGACTATGAATAAGTTCATTTGTTGGTATTTTATATTTGTTGTTTTCATCACTGGTTTATTTTCACAAATCTTTGAAAATTGTCTAAAATTTCCGTTTTATAGACCTCGAAATAAGTGAACTTTTTATCTATATGCTGTGTTTTCTAATTCCCAACGTTTACCATGTTTTCATTCTTTTTTTATCATCATTTAATACCTGACATCGTTTACATAGTGTTTCAACTCAAACGTAAATTTAAAAGTCTTTAAGTTGAACCATATTTTCATTTTAAGATCTCATATTAATGTATAATCATAGTGTAAAATGTAGTCTATTGAACTAACTACAACTAGAATACTAGTTTCAACTTTCTATGTACACTGTATAACGATGGATTTTCCTATAATTTTTGTTAATCGAAATATCAATTAATAAGACTTTCTGTTAAGTTTTGTTTATTCGAAATTAGGTACAAAAATTATTTATTGATCTAGCATAAAGTATATATACTTTTATAACGATATTTACACTGAATACATTGCAACATAATGATATACAATGAAATGAAAGACCTTGATAAATGAATACTTATATAAAACATAACATAGTGTACATCGTGAAATAGTGACACATGATTCAAAACTTTTAATACTATAGCACTGTAGAATAATGTAATACTGTAATGTTGATATATCATAACATTGTTACAATTGTCCTGAGACATTCTAGCATTATGAAATACAATATAGCACAATATGTATTTAATATAGTACAATAAGGAAGCAACATAATACAATATTGATACATTACAGTACGATAAGTATACAACAGAGTACACATGTATAATGACCTGTAAACTATTAGAATACTGATGAGTTATAAGCTAAACCTGATATCAATGGCAAATTAGGCAAATTTAATACTTCGTGTAAATTAAGTATTTTTTTTTTATATTTACTACCGTTCAAGTCAAACAGACATTTCAAAAGTTTGTAACCCTGAAGAAGTGATTGTAATGGAATAAACTTTGGTCTAGTAGTGTACCTACCTTACTTTCTTCATTGTCTCGGAATTGTTTTCCCGGATTCCAATTGGCTGTGACAGAGTTTACTAAATACACTATGGTAACCAACTGAATGAATTTTTGTTCTAGAAAGTATATGTGGTTTAAACTTTAAAAAGCACAAATACTGAACGAAGCTATACAAATGTTATCTTGACAAGTCAAAGCAATATCTGTTGTAAAGTGTACATATCTTTCATTTAAACACCACACCACTACCAACACTAGTAAGGGAGCGTTCTGTGTATATTTTAACTGTATCACATTATCCTCAATGGATGATACCATTTCCTGCGAGACATTTTCCGGTCACAATATAAGTCGGGAAATAGACTTTGTTGAATTGTTGTAAACCTCACACATTAATAGAGATCCAGCATTTAACTACCTTGACGAACTATAACTTTTGAATGGACTCTGGGGTATAAATTTTATACCTACAATGAGTCATTGTAATTGATAGCGGTATAGTATATACTGGGCATAATGACATATTGGGCACAATGAAGAGTACTCTTTATTGACAGGTTCATCAAAACTGAAAACACAATAAACTTCTTCAAGGTCTTCACACTGTAACAAGACGTACATGTATTGTAATTTTTTTTCTATTCCTTCAAAACAAATGGTTTTAGAATCCGCATTTGATGCAATACGCATGTGTTGTTCGTAATGTCACGGTTACTTGTGTCATGATAAATGCTGATAGCTATAAATTTTCAACATAATAACCTGTTTGTTTTTATACAAAGTACAATATTTATAAAAATATCTAATATTATGACAACGGCTTTCGAATAACGTCATTAATATAATACTATCATAACAAAACGTATATCAGTCATACATATATTTTTCACTTTTACAGACACAACTAGACTAAACACGTAATCATGACGTAACACTCGGTTAAGTACACAACATATCCACCATCTTTGGTTGCCAAGGTTGGTCTGCTGGATTAGATACCGGTATCTTATAATGTAAATCAGCACGAATTTCATTGTTAATGTTTTACCGGAAGCGAATAATCCGCCATCAATCGTTAGCGTAAATGCTTGCTGTTTCCATATGTTCTTTCATCACATTGTAGCAAAACTGGTACTGTTCCTAGTAAATAGAAAACGTATTTAGATATGTCATTTCATATCTTGACAAGATGTTAGCCAATATATTTCAAAGCATAAAAGAGCATATGAACATTTACAATTGTAAACAGGGATTGTAAAGCTATATTGACAGCTTAATGATATGAAACATAGTACTTTTTATAATGTTACAATTTTATAGAAAATTGCATTCAATAATATCATGAAACGAAACTATTTTTAACTAGTTGTTGCATTAGGATAACATGGTGTTTTCAGATCTGTACAATGTTACGTATATATTTTAAAGAGAGAAATCACCTTATCAGACAGACACTGCGGTCTTCGTATCTGAATTTGTCGGACCGCCGCCATGATGTCTATGTCACCGTCAACCTCCAGACGTTCCATCACGTTACACAGAACACACAACAGACCACTGTCTGTGGCGCCATCACTATAGGAATAAGTATAAGGATGAAATTACATAGTCATATATTACGTAAGAATACTGTAAACGTTATGACGAAACAATGATAAATCGTTAGGGCTTTACCTTAAGTGTAAATGGTATTGAAAAAAGGACTAGTTTCAGAGATGTCATGACTAGACAAGTGATTTTAGGAACTATTGAAACGGATGTGCCGTAGATGACAGATGAATTAAATTGTGTATGCCGTATGAAATATAGATATGTGTTGAAGGAACAGAGCATGTTTCCGAAGCACCATATTCGGAGTTATTCTTAAATTCTATCGACAATTTTTTTATATTGATTCGGATAGAGAGCTATCCAGAAAGAGGATGGGGTGGGTGAGGGAAAGGCGGATTTCAGCATTCAAACTTCAAATATAAATGATGATTGTGAAAAACATTGTCATTTTCACATGCAGTACAGGATTTATTAAACTGACACATGTTACAGTGCATGCTTTGTAAAACATGCATTTGTAAGCAGAGTTCCCTTAACAGATTATAAATGCATACATAAGTGTATATATTCTGAAAATTTAACTGACTACGTGGTCTGAGACCTATGTTATAGCCTCACAGAATCTTTTGTTCCTGTATAAAATACTCACGGACAGGCTAGGACAATTGTTGATGACACACTGCTTTTTAAGGTAAGGACATGTTGAATTAATTCCAACATCGACTTCATAGAGGGAAGTGAACCTTTGCCCTTCCAAGATGATGTTTCGTGAACGGTTACAACAGTTTCGGTCGTAGTTCTCTGTAAAAAGGTGGGATACAGATAATAAAATGTAGATAGTAATTAAATGATGCATCAAGGTTTACAAATATGTACTTAAATATAGACAATTGCTGACAATTTTGACCCGATGGACATTTTTTTTTTTTTTTACAATTTTCTTCTCGAAATAACAGAGACTTTATACTACACGACTAGTACTTTAACAATTACTACTATGATACCAATATATTTAGCGTTTTACACAGTAACGATTTGTTTTACATCTACAGTCAATGTAAGAGAAGAATTATCTTCTTTTTCAGTGAATATTCAAATATTGTAAAAATCACCTTGTCATGAAGTGAAAGCTTCCGTTCCACCAAAAGATCTGAATCCAATGCTTTGGACTGACTTTTGTCATACTGAACAGTGAAGTCCCCAAACGTTTCAAGATGTGTTGTATCCGTAGGCCAGGGTTTGCCATCCTTTAACACATTAAACACCATGTTCAACAAACTAACTGTTGTATTGGTAGAGTGTCAGAAATGAATGGATCTCAATGGATTCGACTCATTTTATTTCAAAATATCATTGATTGTTGAATTCAAACTAGGCATCAACATAAAGTATGTTAGAATGTTTTTAAGACTTTTTTTTTTATTGTAATTTTGTTAAATACGAAATCAGATGCATAATTTGTACTTGTGGTGTGCCAATGGACACTACAACCTCAGCTGACTGCTGTGACACCATGGACCAGAAGTCACCGACTGTGTTGCTTAGAGGGTGTTGTGTCAGGATATATCCATGCGGATCTCTATAACTCTGAGGGACCATGAAAATGTTTTAAAAATTACCGATGATCTTTAAACATGTATGCGACTAATCAATCAAAGACTAATGTAATGTAATGTGATAATCTTATTCTTCGTCAGTTTTCGGTCTGTTATTTATAAGAAAACAATATGGAATTTTTAATACATTATGTTTTACATTTGTACTTTACTTTAACATCTTCGCCTTCATCAATATTTTTTTTTCATTTATTTGTATGATGTTGAACAATCGAACAATATTGAATAACCATAATTTGCCAAATGTGTCAATGACATTACCGGTATATTAACAGCGTTGATATAGTTCGATTCAGCAGATGTTAGATATATTCGGTATTTCTCCACTGTAAAAGCAAACCATATAGTCATCCATAATATATCTATTACTGAAATACAATAGATAATCTTATTTGGTGCTTATATTCATGTATCCATGCAGCTTACTCAATTGCAGTTGATCGTTACTCCCCCAGCTTCTCTACTATATGCATGAAGGTTTGTTGCAAACCTCGATGACTAAAATCGACTAGTAGAGTTTTCCCCTTTAAATTTAACGATTGTGCAAAACAATACAAAGCGTATCACATTTGATTAAAATTAGAATAAGATACAGTATGATTAATGAAGTAAGATTTGTCATTAGTCTATCATAAAATACCTTACCTGCTGGTATAGCTATGTCCTTGTTCTTCTGTTTGTTACTTCTGGAAAGGGCAGTCTCTTTTACCTTATAATTAGGTTTGTTTTTCTCCAAAACCTGTATGTTTATAAGTCTTAATGACTGACTGTGCATACAAGGAAATACATGGTATCAAGTGATTAAAAGGACATTGCTGGCTATTTTAAAGAGTTAATCATTTACTAGGTTTTCTATTGATACTCAGAAACACAAACGAATTTTAATCAGATTACTAAAACTCAGACTTTCACTGATATCACCGAGTCATTGTCTGTCCGGTTCAAAATTTGGTTGTGAATTTCGGTATAAAAAATTAGGGGTCATTCAAAAGTTGTTAACATTGCATATCTGCAGCCAAATTTCTGTAAATATGATGTCATTCATTATATTTGAATTTTGAACTAAAATATTACTGTTACAAATACATCTACATGTTCAGTTCTCACATTTAACAAATTTCGAATTATATATATAATACTATTGCAGAATTACCTAATCTTGTCCATCCTTTTCCTGTTCATAATAACACTTACTTTGAACTGTGCTTCGACTTTGCCTTCAGCAAAAAGACTGAGGACTTTCTTGCTGAATTTAGAACCTGTCATACTCTCAGATACAACTGTAAGGCCCTCGGCGAGAACTTCGTGCAGGACTTTGTACTGATTCTGTAATTCATGTAACGATTTACTGTGATATCATACTTTCTAAAATTTTGTACTTGTTCTGTAATTGATGAAATGCTTTCATTTGATATTTTATAACTAAGCCATTTTTACTTTTTACAAATTGTGTTATGCAGCTTACCTAAAACTAGTTAGTTATTGATACTCTTGATGCCAGTGTGACTATATATATATATATATATATATATACAAGATCTTCAGTTAGCATTTCAAACGAGATTTTATAAAATGAGCCATGCCCAGAAAAAATCGAGAAGAGATTAAAAACAAAATCAGATATAATGAAAACTAATTTAGGATACAATTGTTAAATTAAGGTACATTCTGACAAGCTTACAAATCAGAGGCGGTGATTTGGTTGAGCTTTTGTGAATTCATTATGTCACGCCATTGTTCATAACATCACAATCAATTTCTGAATGGCGTAGCCATTGAGGAATGCTCCAGGGTATAGTACACTGGTGACATGCAAATGTAGTAAATGTTTAAGTCCTATTTCTTATTTACCAATGTTTGAATCATGTTCATTCTATCCTTCCGCATTCTGTTAGTGTAAGCAAACACGTCGATTTTGTCGTTGTTTTCCCCTTCCTTCAACAAGGCGTCTAGTCCTATGTATGTTCCTGTTCTGCCGATGCCAGCACTGTGAAAATTTAGACTAAACTGGTAATAAAGGTTTACACAGAGGATTAAACGAATGTCGCTATAGTTATGTTATATTTCACATTTGCAAGATATGACACTGAATAACAAGGCTGTCATGTGATATAAAGACTATAGAAATATATTGATCTGATTTATCACTAAATGCTATTGCTTGTTACCTGCAGTGTACAATTATTGGCCCAGTTAGGTCTGTTTGACCAGATTGTACCCATCTGTGGAACTGAAGTAATTCGAATGCTTCCGGCACACCGTGGTCGGGCCATTTGGTAAAGTGGTATTGTGTTATCTGTCTCCTTGCATTGGTCTTGAGAAAAAGTATGAAAGGCTGCTTTACGATTCAGAAAATTAATAATACTTGTATTTCCGGTTTAAATACCACTACATGATATAACTTGTGGTAATTTTAAAATGAAGCTCTATTTAATGTACCTATGCATTCTATGTATACATTTTTTATATAATATAAAGTATTTTTACTCTGAACTGATGTTTTGAAATGTTTTTCTGATGGATTTCCTTATAAATTACCTGTTTGTTCTTCACCGAGAGATTTCTGATAGTATGGAATGCGTATGTCACTTCCTCCTGTAACGTCACTTGATAGAGTCCGAGCTGTAGAGCTTCTCCGTCATTTCTAGCCCAGTAGTTACAGCACTTTTTCTAATGAAAATAGAATTCTTTGAATTAGAATTAAAATGTCTAAAATGACATAGCAATACCTTATCATTTTGTATTGCGTTAGGGGATTTTATGCTGAAAATCTGAGCGCTGTCGGTAAAGTTCGGACACACTTTCGTTATAGACTTTCGTGAACCGTCATTCGCCATAAATATAGATTCCAACTTCCTTCCTGAATTATAGAACTTTATTTCTTGCCCTGTGTTACCTGCCTAAAACAATTCGTACAATTTAACTGTTCAATATTGGAAATGTAAATATTTACAAAATAGGACCAAATAATATAGCAATCACATAACATCAAGTGAGTTAAGAACATGTTCCTACGTTACTGCAAAAAGACATTGTGATTGGTTCGTTTCTCCATATGGAAACATTGTATAGAGATCAGCTCTGGTAGGACACATTTTTGACATGCATTGGATTTATGACTAACTTTCATGTGAAATCACATTTATTTGAAATAATTATGTTTTATTATCTCGTGTGTCAATTAAACCATTGGGAGATTATAAAAAATCTCTGACAGCAATTTTTCTCCCTTTTTCAGGAATTCTTATTTCTAAAACGATTTTTTAACGAATCCGAAGAAGATGGCGATAACACAAATAACTGGAAAAGATGAAACTAAGTACGCAGATTCAGAAGTCTTATTTTTCTTTTGTGGATCCCTAATATCGCTCTGATTTACTTCTTTTTACAAAAGCATTTTCGTTGTTTTTATCCACTTGCGCAGTCATGATTGTTTTGGATAGATGTGCGCTGTAAATTTGTGTCCCTAATGTGAAATAATACCGGCATATTAGAAGTAAAGCCACGAGGTTGACAAAATGACCTCTTAATGGTTTGCGATGCCAATTCCAAAGCACCACTCTACTACTGTTATTTACCTTTCCAAGTTCTACAAGATTTGCTAACATGACAATCTTTCCAGATTCATTCTGCCATGCCATTCTCCAGAAATCCTCCAAAGTCGTCTCTTTTGGACCTATTCATTACAATATACAAGGTAATCGATCAAATTTTGTTTCGATAAAAAAGTTGTTTGTTTTCGAAATGAAAATATATTCATATCGCAAACTAATTGAAAAGGACGTAGATAACACAATTTCAAAGTTTTTTAAAAATGAAAATAGCACGTAACTATGGATATATAATTAGGAAAATGTCTTACCTTGAGTTGCGATGTATGCCTTCACACCCTTTGTATCCTGTAATATAATTAAGTCATCGATTCAAAGTAATGAGAATTTCAAACAATTACAAAATCGACACTATTTGCCCCGAGATGAAAAACAAATACTGTTATTATATTGATCCAGTGCAGATACACGTATAGCATTACATTTCAGCGGTAAATTATTTATGTCTTAAACTTATAGCAGGTTTTTACAGCTGTCTACCTCTATGTAGTTAGCATTGATGTAGTCACTGCAGCTTTCCTTTTCTTTACGTAGGATTACTCTCGAGTGGTCATCTGAAATGATACAAAAATCTTCTCTTATTTTGAAAATGTTAATAACATTGTTATACTTTTGAACATATTCATTGATGTTTCAACTAAAACAATCTTAGCAGTATTTTGACATCATATTCTTTTTCTCTTTACTTCCTGATGCCTTTGTTGTTGCATTTGGTATGTTTATTAAAACAAATTAATTACACAGTCCACTTGATGATATTTTTCACGAGATAATACGGTAACGGATTTAAAAGATATACTCACATGCAAACGTCGTTTTGAATCTGTTCATGATAACATTTTCAGGCGCCTTGGAAGTATCGTGTGGATGGACCAAACCGTGTGGTAAATTCTGTAAAAAGAATATTAGAACATTTCGTTTTATTAATTCTTATCATTAAACCACAGAGGACTGTTGTATTGTCAATTCATTTTGTTTACAATATGGAGAGTGGCCTTGACACATCAATTTCACGTGGTTTGCCAGATAATTTGATATTAATTGTATCGTTATTAACCTAATTGACACGTGTTTGATTGATATTTAGTGATAAATGTATCTTTAATTTACTTATTGGGCACGTGTTTACCTGATATTCAGTATCAAATGCGTCGTCATTTTGCTTTTTCGCAATGATTTTATGTAAATCTGTCACTTTCAGCTTTGTATCTTCAATGACAGGACTCCGTGTCGGATTGTTGACGTAAATGACCTCATCGTCTTCTCCATCCACTTCCTGTGTATCATCCTGTTGTTTATGTTGCACTTTATGTTGGTTTTCACTATCACATGCCAGCTCCACACCCAAAGACGCAGTATTGACGTATATACTTTCGTCTGTGTGAACCAGTTATAAAGTAATTTTAAATAAGATTAAAAATGCAAAATGTTTTTTTAAATCCTGTCAAAGTTGTTCTAATAGTCAAGAAAATTTTAGCAATAACATCATACGGTTACTATTCCTGCTGCTCACTCATATATTCCTTGTACTATTTTATCCACCCTCGTACAGACTCGTAAGGTATGTTCAGACAAATGATTCCATAAATGATAATTGTATAATGATAACAAAATGATATATATAAAGATATCTTATTTATGCTATACCACTGTAAAAAGGCCTTTGTACATGAGAAGAAACAAGATGTATTTAATAGATATTCAACTATACGTTGTACAAAAGTGTTAAAACCTAGCTAATCTAACGAATCATCAATCAACAGAAAACATTTAATATAATAAAGACGACATATTTATGTTTCGTACTTTAAAACACAATTCAATAGTGTACGTCATGATGTACAAATTGTGTATCTAACTGAGCATATTACATACAAACCTTTCTTTTTATCGATTATAAGAGTTTCTGGCCTTTTTCTTTTTGACATGAAATCGTTTCCCTTGGATAAGGTCTGCCGCCTTCTCCTTTCACAGGCAATGATGTCATATTACAATACAACATATTATTTTTTTTGTTATATGATTGCTATACATGCATTAAGATAAAATATAAAACTAAACATATATGTCCATTCGATTAATCTACAGTTTAGTATTGATACACAAAGGGAACAAAATTTCTTACTAATGGCTATTCAAAGCTATGTCAATCTATCAAACAACCTGGTGTACATCAAAAGTATTTCAATTTTAAGGTTGTGAGTCAAACTGTGTTAACAATGAACAAAGCGGCAAGTGAGGATAATCTTTAATATTTCCAACAGAGATTTGATTTACCGCAACCCATTGAGAAGTGCATGCACATAAGTATGATCGGAAAGTACTTTTAATAATAAAGGACATTTATATTTATGTAAAATGTAAATTGTAAATAGCTTACTTAATCAGTATCAGTGTGACGATAATAGTTATGATGATTATAGCGACAGCTGCACACACTCCACCAATAATGCCAGCCAACTGTGAATCGACTTAGCGGCGAAAGATAACAAAATATTTCTTAAAACGATCAAAATATCACTTCTTATATGATATCCTTAAACAATACAGATGAATCTATACATGCTAGATAATATTGGAAAATGCGAGAAATAAGTTACATACAAGATACAATGGCACAAGCCGATGTCATTTATTGAAATATTAAACATCGTATCTTGATAGAAAATGATATCATGTCAAGTACAAATAAAAATGGAATATAAACGAATACTATCATGCAATTTTTAAAGTTGTGTGCTAAAATGTGCCTATTGTATTGACTCACCTCCGTTATCATCCACTGAAAAAGTATGTAAATGTATTAAATTACAAACGTCAATGAAATAACGATATAAAAGTCTTAATGGCAGTCTGAAAAGGGTTGTTCATAATGCCATTTATTAATACCATTATTGTCAACACATATTATGAAGTTAATATATATATTGAAATAGTTTTGTTTTGAAGAACAAGGACACAGTTTTATCAAACCCTAAGTTATCAATTACATTCAGAAAATGATAAAGTGTGCGTTAAGATAAATTTATTTTAGTAATAAATCATAAATACATGACAGCTACTAGCTTGAAGCAGCATTTACATTTTTCCAACTCGCACAGCAAAGTAATATTTTAATCATTTTTCATGTTTACCAAAAATGATTGCAAGGTAAGACAATACCTTGAGCACATGTCGGCCCTGTCCAGCCAACGTCACATCCTGTCACGTTACATAACCCGGTAAATCTGTTACATCCTGGTATTGTACAGTGACATATCTGATCACAGTTACTGCCAAATGTGCTGATGTTGCACGCTGATTGGGTAAATAAAACTCCATTATAAACAACTTCTCCAGTAAAATGCTACAGAGAAAATAACATCAGAACAGAATAGAAGTTGTCTTATATATACATATTTGGCTAATGAAATTATGTGAGCGGCTTCCTGAATTAAAACTAAAAAAAAATAAAATTAGAATTAAACACCTTATTAGAAATGACACATTATTATCTACCTTTGTTACAAGTTGAACTTTGCCATCCGACTTCACATCCGGATACGATACAGTTACCGTTCATAGCGTCACATCCGGGAGTTGCGCAGTTGCAGGTATATCTACAGTCTTTGCCATATTTACCGACGCCGCATGCTATTATTCAAAAGTGATGAATGATGTATACATGCTAAAATATTTATTTTTGTATAGCATTACTATGGTGTAACCTCACTGAATTTAGTTGTGTATTAAAAGCTCATGAGCTGACAACGGAGTAGAAGTAGGGTAAGTACTGTAAACCAATAGGCGAAATAAAAATTGAAAATAATAGATATAACTACTTAATGACATAAAGTTTGCGTTCTGAATTTAAATACGCTTTCAGTTTGAATTACGTTTAACGTTATGTATCTTAAACTGTTAACGGCAATACAAACGTTAGCACAAAACTATATGTAGGACGGATCAAAACATTCCGCTTACACTTACACATCTTGTTAACATTGGAGAAATGGAATATTGGAATACAGCATATAGTCGAATTAAGCTTCAATGTAAATGTAAATTTGGTATTTTATACGATAATAAGCTTTTGAGTCTTATACAGTGACGAATTTCAGATTGCAAGGAATGCAGTATTACCTCGATCACAAGATGGCCCATTCCATCCAGCGATACAACCTGGATAGGTACATATTCCATAAAATCTGTCACACCCAGGAAAAGCACAATGGCATGTATGTTTACAATCCATACCAAAGTGTTCTCCTGAACAAGCTGAAATGGAGCAATAGTAAGCCTGTAAATAGTGAATGAGGAAAATACTGGTTTTCCCAATGGAAATACCTAACATAGATGATAAAAGGAAAACTACATATAATGAAAATGTTTATTTAATATACTTATCGACATATTTGTTTAAGGTATTAATGAGCTATTCCTGTTTGTTAAGAGTGGTCTTTCCCCATGGCTTTACCATGGCTATCTGGTGCTAAACAATTTACCGTGATTACAAGCCAACCCTGTCCATCCGGCTGCACATCCTGGCTCATTACAGATGCCATGGACATGGTTACATCCCAATTTAGCGCAGTGACATGTCTGTAAGCAGTTCCTGCCAAATGTGCCAGGCCCGCATGCTAAATTACAATTAAAGAAAATTATGAATATGATTAAATATCATAATTCTATCAATATGTAATAGCTTTTAAATGTCAGTAAGGATACAGTAGGTATCATTCAATGATTGACCAAAAGACACACAAGTAAGAGAAGCATTAGTTTAGTACCTTATTCTTCTAAAAATAGAAACTCTCATATCCTTCTCATCAATGTTAATCAGCTTGATAACAGGTCCACTCAGTAGCTTTCACTTGTCTTAAATCAGTCCGAAATGTTCACTCAGTTGAAAGTTTCACATCAATGTCTATCACTTACGTACACACGTGATTATGTTAAGGTGTAACGTACTCACTATAGGATTTGAATGCAGCATGTCTATGGTAGGAAAGGTCAAACTCATGTTTTACATAATTTGAGTTGTATATTTACATCAAAGAACGATGTAGAGGAATGTATCAGAAATACCTGCATTGTTACACATCATAACTATATTTCCTATTTTATCCAAAATAAATAATCTCTCAGAGACTTAATCTTGTGTAAAATGCTGCCGATATCAATGCACTTAAAGATGAAGAGTAAGATAATAATGATAATAGTCGTTGTGGAAGATATAACAACACTGATTACAAAGAAAATATATCTACGAATGGTTAAAATATGAGGTTATGGATTGGCCTATTCTGGTGCTGATTGGTGTTCCTGGCAAAACCAATATGAATACCATTCGAATAATAAATTAATGAATGAATGGATTAATACATATGTAGATAATTTATAATAATTCAACATTCATAGTTTACGTTATATGAACTTTCATATTAGCCTCGAAACCATTGTTCATGTCTTAACATGTATACTGTCCTTAACCCCGAGCTGCAGGACCCAAACCGGACAATGTACACTACGGTGCGTAATTAAAATATTTTTAAAAAAATCTAAACATCATCAAACGACAAGAAGAAATAAGATTAGTTTTCACGTCATCCACAGGGCAGTGAAAAATATGATATATTTTACCAGAATCACAGGCATTCCCTTTCCAACCTGCTTTACATCCTGGTACTGTACAAGTTCCTGATGTTTTATTACACCCTGGTATTAAGCAATGACACGTATATCTGCAGTCAACTCCAAATAAGCCAGGCCCACATTCTGATTCATGAAAGAAAAATAAAAACAAATTTTCAGTAATTCAAACAAATGTTTGATTCTGTTGATTGCTGCCTAACAATTTTGTTATCGATCACTTTGTTTGACATCGGCATGCTGTAAAATAGATTAATGCCAAAGATCAAAATACATGTTAAAACTAGCATCATTCCAAGATTGTACAGACGGCTGACAAGTGAACAACGTCTTTCAATACAAACCTAGAATAAGATAGAGTTAAACAAGGAAGGAAACTGGATCATACGTCTACTTCGTCCTTCTAGGACTCGTCAGTGATGCTTAGGGCTTATATTTTGAAAGCTTTGAAGCGACTAAAAAGTAAATTTGATCAAAGAAAATGTCAGAATTCAGGCGGAGAGATGCATTGGCTCCAGGATTCGATAAATTTTGTAATATTCAGATATGTGATAATTAAAAAAAACGATAAGTTGATAAGAATATTATGAATCCTGTGATTTCTTCATGTTTAATCAACACATGTTTGTAACAAAATCATTATTAAATTCACCGTCAGAGCAGGTTTGTCCGGTCCATCCACTCTGACATCCAGTGACGTCACACAGGCCGGTGTCCGGATCACATCCACCCACACCACAGTAACATCTTTTATCACAGCCAAGTCCAAACCTATTTATTGGACATCCTAATAAAGTAAAGAAGTAGATACATTCATCTTTAATAAATGCTTTTAGGCAGGCTATTTTTCATTGCTCTGATTTTCATTTTCATCGGTACATAAACGTGACATATATTTTCTTTAACTATATGCAATATAAATGTATTCAACAACGACATATACCCCATCTGGTTAACTTACATTCGAGTCCAAACCTATTTATTGGACATCCTAGTAAAAAAGCATTAAAGTTTTTTGTTTAAAAATATCCAACTACAGATGTCTTTCATTTCATTTCAGATTGGAAGGTTTTATTTCTGTATTGTTATTCAAGACACATGATGTCTTACTACATGCTTACCGACAATAAAACAAAATAAGGTCTGTAAGAGTTGAATAATTACCAAACACCTGCACCTCACACAGCTCTACAACAGCATTTGTTGACGAGTAGTATCTATGGTTCTTGGGTTCGTTATCTGCGGGACGTTTGTTGAAGAATATGACATATCGTCCGTCAACGATACAGGGACGAGATTGGTTAAAGGATGGAAGAAGATCAGGATCCTTGATGTCGTCATGGTAACAAAGATGCCATGTATCTCGTTGATCGTGTAAAACAGTCGTGTTGGAAACATAGATATAGAATCCAGACAGCCGAAAGGGATCTGAAAGGTATTTATTTCACACAAGTAAAAATTTATGAGCAGCGTGAAAAAATATCATAACTGAACTGTAATGAAGTACTTCATTGTGATATCATCTATTTCCATACGACAACAATAGATATACAGTATACGTAGGAATCATCCTATAACGAAAGTGTAGCAATGTAACGGTCAGCTGATATATACACATGCATGAATGTTTTACCTAAAATATACACTTATCTCTAAATCAAAATTTCCTAATAGTCCAACGATATGTCTAATGATATTCCGACACAGTTGATGGCATAAATGAATCTATTTAATTTTCCGTCTGTAGCTTTTGAAAAGGAACTCGTTTTGAGAAATTTTCAAGGCCTTTAGATTGGTATGAGAGGGAAAGTATGACTCGATATCTGTACGATTTTTTTTATTTGAATGGATATCTTGTACAACTAGGTATAGCGATACATGCGAGGCAGTGACAAGTGTTTTGGCGTGTATTTTAAGGGGGCACCGGACATATGCACCCAGGCCGAATGATTAGAAAAAGACATCTGTTTTGATGAATGTCACATTCCCTTGACCAGAGGTACAGTTGGAATCTCACTACATGCTAACTAAGGTAAGGGTTAAGGTATTAAACATAAAGCACTTTCATATTGAAATATGTATGTACAATTATCTATATTGTCAACATAAATAACAAACATTTGATGACCATCACTTATATACTACAGACGGAGGTGGTAATAACTGGACGTAGCAAGGTCTAGACATCGGACGGTACACATATCGTCATAAACAGTAATCACCAGGAGAACATAGAAAGAAAGATACAGCTTGAGGTGGTGAAGAGGGTAGAAACGTAACAATTGAGTGGAATGTTCCCTCCTGTCCCTCTAGATTTTATTTACATTGCTCTGGCATATTTCCCTGGTGCTACTGGCACGACACAGTCAATCCTATCAACATCGAAAAGCAAGGAAAAACTTGAACTCGACAATAACAGAAAAAGAAAAAAAAACCTTTATAGCAACGACATAGAAAATATGTATTATCGGAATTCAGGGGGCCTTTAAATATTTCATTTTCACAAACTAACAAAGATGTTTCCAGCCATAATTTCAGTGGTATAACTATGCAACAGACCATGGAGAGGACAGGCGAGTGCTCTAATTTGGAGTACTGTCCATCTGGAGGACTCGTGGGGCAGGCAGAAATTGAATTGAGCAAAAGGGTTGCGGGGCTTGGATTGCCACCACTCTGTATGCACGGAGGACTTATAGTCTATCTCTTAGATACCAGGAGTTTAAAACATTCGGTCAGGTAGTATGTGATGGAAACGGAGAACCCCTTGTGGTCATATTATTGCAATTTTTTTAGATAATAGTTTTAGACTATATCAGTTTAAAACTATGAATGATTTAAACCAATCTCTTTATATTGTTAAAAATAAAAGATACACAAAAACTATTATTATTCAAAATTAAGGAACTGTTATTAAGATTGTTAATTAATTTTAATACGAAAAAAAGAGAAAACGACACGCAGTAAATACACGTACACAAGAGACGTATCAATAATCAAATATATTTCCGCTTGCATATTTATTATTTTACATTCACATACAAGGCCTACACAACAATTCTGCTTAATTTGACGAGTTCCTATCAGAGCCTGTGCATTTCCCCCAACGACTAGTTATTCATAAAAATGATATTATATGTGAATTTATTTAAGACACTTTCTATTGTAATATTTCGGCATTTATAGGAGTTTTTACAAACATAGTGGGGAAGGAGGGTGCCATGCATGTATGCAAGAATACTTTCCTTTAATATTTCATCAAGATGATCCAATCATTACTTCAGTATGGAACGACATGTAATCTAAATTTATTATGATAAAACTATATATAAACTGACTTATTCAAGTAGGTTTCACACTATTCAAAATTGAGAATACACTACGCTACAACTGTAACAATCTACACAGGGTAAGTATTGCCTTTTTTTACTCCATTCATCGGAAAATCATTTGATACATAATTTATTTCAATTAGTACAGAAGGTAGTCTTGATATCATGCATAAATATACTTACTTATATCCGATATACAATATTTTGCAATCGCAATCGCTTCATTTTGATAATCTCTGAAGTCTTACATTGAATAGATACAAAAAATGCAACTATTCTTCCATTATCATTACTTACATAGTTCTCTGTATGTGACATTTATAGATTTTATCCTTGACATATGTTGAAGATCAACCTCCCACCAGGCCTCACGAGATCTTTTCGGGTTAGTAGAGCTACAGCTTCCTCCATCAACATCTTTCCCTATCACACCGTCTACTGCCTTGTCAGCACCCCATCCACTATAAACAGTACTTTGTGATGCTGGCTTTCCTTGGGCGATATTGTCTATCAAACCACAATAAAACAAACATAACAGTTGTTACACATAGCATTGTATATATTGTTCGTCTTCCGCGTATAAAGGGCAGCTAAAGCTACCGCAAAGAAGATGTAAATGAAAGAGATGTCTCATTATATACATTTCTGTATATTGAGGAGATCGATATTTTGTGTCCAATCTACTAACTGAAAGGTAATGTGCAAGAATAGTGAAAACATACATCCATAATTCATTCTTTACACATGTCATTGGTTATTCAATCTTTCGTTCTCTTGATTGTCTTATGGTGAAAAGGACTTAATGCTTATACTTCAGTGTTAATTATTTATACTGACCGTGTCAACCTTTCCCTTCAAAAGGACCTTGCGCTAATACGTATAACCCTTGAACGATGTTTAAACATCGAGCGATGTAATCTTTCGACTGGCAGCAGTTTATCAAACCTAATGCAATAGTATACTTCATCTTAGTTCCAACTTCATGTACATTTAGATTTTCCTTACAACACGCATTTTTCCTTTGTCTTCCTTGTATACTGAACTATCGTCTGGGATATGGTTCGGTAATGCCAGTATGTTGCCTTATTTTATTGTACCAGTTTTCCTTAAATATTTCTACCAAGTAATATCAGTGAATAAAGACTATGGTTCTGTTACTGCCGGTATTTTCAAAATTGATGTCGATCAGTCGTTTATTATTCCGAAATGAACATGGACATTGCGATTTGCAGGGACTATCGTCGTGCGTTATGAACCGGTTAAATGATACAGTTTGATTTTATTTGGCTCTTCTGTATCTAATTCTAGATTACTAAAGACAGGTGTTATTATGTGTCATTTGCTCTTTCCTTAAAGATTACATGTGGTACATAGTGCTGGTAGACTTCAGTTACAAGGGAACACCTTCTAATCTCTTAGAATTCAACAATTTAGGGCTATGGTATCACTGACCAATTCTAAAATGACGTATGATGCATTTTTATTCTGTATTTGGTTATGCTTAGACCTCCTGTTTGTTGATATCAATTTGTTTTGTTTGTTAGAGTTTTAATGTTCTCGTGAAAAAAAGATGTCCTATGGTAAAAATGCTTGGCTAGCTCACTACCGAAAGAAATATTGACATTTTCAAGAAAAATATATATGCTCATCACCGACTTAGATATTAGTACGTAAGTGGTGATATATCATGCCTTTTTATTTTTATTTTATTGTTGTCTTAACTCACATTTTTCCTTACACAATAAAAAGAGGTAGATCACAGTGGACACAGTGATACACCATCCCTATCTTTCCTTTCATTTCCTTTTACATGTCTGTCAAGTCCTTGCTATTTTTAGCGTCTGGTCTGTATTTTTAGCTAATTAAGAATATTGTGTGCAGATGAACGTGACAGTCAGCACCTATACCGCGCTATGCCAGTAATAAGTTAACTGGACGGTGAATTCACTTGGATAAGATAGCAGTTAAGAGAGAAACTGTAATCAATTATATACAAAAATATTTTCTTACTAACGCACTGCGTTAATAAATCAGTAGTTTTATTATGTGTATCTGCGCATTATTTAGCCGTCGATGTTTGCACAATACTAAAGCGTTACAACAGTCCAAATCCATTTCGGGCCTTTAATGCAGGGGCGTATATGGACAACACCTTATCTCAAACCGAATAGTGTGTTTAATGAAAGCTCTGATTGGTCGAATCTCTTGCGATCCCTATCTGTACACTGAGACAATTTTTTGCGACATTTTGTAATGTGGAAAAGCAATTTGAGTGGGGTCAGCTGACCGAGCCTCGGTCCAGAAAAAGTGATAGGGTACATTATAGGTACTGAGAGAGCAGTTACTCGGGGAGAAAAGAATGCAAATGATGGGGACATTCGAGGGGAACTTCTCATATCACCTATCAGGAAAATGTCGACAGAGGGTCGGGCCATTCAAGTGGCGTTTTTATATCGCCATATCTCTAAGAGGATGGTAATAGGCGTTCTGATACCATCGTACCAAAATATTGTCCTCATAGGACTGGGACTATGAGGAGGTGTTCTGATACCATCACACCAAAATAGTGTCCACAAAGGCTGAGTGCACTGAGGGGCTGTTTTGATACCAGCGTACCAAGGTGGTGCCCAAGGGATATTTTAATACCACCGTACCAAGATGATATCCACAGAGACGAGGGCACGGAGGGGGTTTTCTCATACAATCTTAACAATGTTGTGGCAGAGAATTGTGCACTGTGGGGTGTTATGAAACCACCGTACCACGATAAAAGATAATGATAAGGGTACTGGGAGTGTTATACCACCGTACCAAGGTTTTTTTTTCTACTAGGAGGGAGGGGCTGTATTCTTATACGGCCTTACCAAGGTGGTGCTCATATAGGATAGACCACAGGCGGGTTGTTCTGATCACATAGACATGATAAAGGTCACATTCCTCTGATGACATATACATCTACACTATTCAAATGAAAAGGGTAAATCTCTGGAATGTTATCTCAGTAGCCATACTCGACCCGTAAACAGCCGACATTGCCTATATTATTAACCCAACCAATGTAATGCTGTAAAACTCGAAATAAAGGCATTTTATTTTGACATACAACTTTGTCACAAAAATTGACGAAATGTTATTGTTCATGTACGAAACACACACAAGTGATATGCACATTCTAATAGAAATTAATATGAGTAGAGTTAATCCAAATAGAAATTTATATTTGATTACAGTTAATTCAAATAATAAATTAAGCTGAGTCGTGCAGCCGTTCTGTCCTTCTACAACGCACAATTGATGTAAAGGGTAACAAGTACTGATACCTAGAAATTAAAATATAATTGACAGAAATTGACTTCAAAATATTGATGGGAAGCTACAATAACACCATATATCAGGATCTTATTTCCGTCGAACGGCAAATACTTGCGATTCAAGATTCCTTCCATATATAACATCACCAGGTTAACGACATGATTATGACTGTAAGTTATAACAGTTATTATATTAAAAACTAATCATGTATGATATTAAATAGTTTTTATAGGATCAGATTATTGATGGTAAATTTTGATACTTACATGATGACGAAACAGAATTAGGAAGAACAGCAACACATACTATGATAGTCAAATAAATCATCCTTTGTTTGTTATTGTAGTGGTTCATGATGAACTGAAAAAAAAATTCCCCTGACTTCACTTTCCTCTACACCAGGAAGTTTGTTACCGAGGAGAGATAAGAGATTAGTTGTGTAGCGTAAATACTTGTTATCGTTGTAGAGATATACAAGAAAGGTAAAACACTAAGTCATACTGAACCTAACCGATGTAACTTTAGTACAAACTTCTATGCGACAGAGTATTGAATTAAATACATGTGTATCAATGGGTATAAAACTATATGTAAATAGATAAAACATGATTTATAACCTATGTGATTTATCGATTTGTAGGATGTGTAAATCCAGCTTGAAAGTTAAAACAAAATATTTGGTTAACAACATCACATATCTATACAAATGCTCTCTTGAAAAGCTATCAAAGTGGGATCGGTATAATATCGGAGTTGGTTATTTTACAATACACATGTACGTTGCTAACAGTATGTTATATTGTTAGTAATATATTGTTTGTTACATATCTTGTCAATCGAGATATGGTTCTACCTGCTAAAATAACCTTTTGAAATGAAATAATATGTATTGGTATGATATTCTGTATGTTGAGTTATGAATAATTGAGTGATATTATAAACCAGAAGTGTTTAAATAAAGGGGATATAAGAAACAAGAAATGGCTCTAAAACAGATTTAATAAGTTTAATACATCTTGAATATTGTTTGTTAAATAATCCCAAATACTGATAAGTATATATCCTGAACAGATGTTACTATCTATAAGAATTCAGATGCATTGCTTTCCTCGACGACAGGAATATTCCCCAAAAGAGCTGATACACCAGAACAGAAAAAAATCAAATTATAAATTGTGTGTTAAAAATTGGGTTAAAATGGAGCATAGATATTAACCTTGAGACTGCATGCCTTCAACTTTAACGTAAAGCGCACTATGTGTTTATGGTGATTAAGGGATAACATTCAATGCAAGTTGTTCGTGCTTTATTTGATATGTTTCCAGTTCGAAAAATCGCCAATAGCAAATAGTAATGTATAGTATTTATTATAAATCTGAAAAAACCTGTAGGGTTCGAAATCGTGGGGAAATAAGACTTAAACTCGGTCTTAAGTTCCGTTATCTGTAATATTTTGACCTAAGTATACCTATATAAAACATACTTTGCTATTCGCTTACCTGTTTTCTCATCCAAAATATGAACAAAACAATTATAATACCCGTGATTTATTAAAAAGCACGAAGAGTATAAGACCAGTAATAAGGTATTAAACCAGACAATAGAAAATGAACAAATTGATAAACTAAACGATATGTGAATTTGCACGAGAGTAGTATTGTTTAATGTAAACTTCATTGAATAGAATAGCAAACTTTACATTGTCAAGAAATGAATACTTGAACAATTTTCATTTTTAAGACTAATACAAATTTTAAATGGTTTCCGTGTAAATCTCTCCTTTGTTCTCAATTAGCTCTTTTGTTATAGAATTTTGGTTTCAATAAGAATTTCACTCGCTTTTTGGTATTTTCTTTTTGTTTATCAAATAATATAAAATATTACACATATGAAATTAAGATTTTTTTTAATGATTTTAATCGGTATGTGTAACAGACACTACCAGCAGACTTGTTGACATGTCAATAAATTAAGACGTCATAAGAAGATACTTATATTTATACCTAACTAAACGACGGCTATTTTCTGTCTACTTGAGTACGTAACTGCTGGTGAATGATATATACCCTTCAGGTTGATATCACTTCATTGGTAGACTTCGGTATCAGGTACAAAATCCTCGAGATGGTTTAATTAGTTTCCACAAAAACAAATATTTTATAACTATTATCATTTGCTTAAAAAAGAAACATTTAGATCGTAATCCAACTTTGGTTCGTGACTTTAAAGAAATTAGATGACAAAAAGTTTCCTTTTGAAAGTTTCTTTTTTCTATTATATCATTATATTTCCTTTAAACCTTCAAATCTTTCTTTTTCCCCATTGAGTTAATTGTAATATCCTAAAAGTTCTTTTTTAAAATATCTCTAAGTAGTGTGAAACATTTTCCTATCAAAAGTCTCTCAAGAAATATCTGGCTTTTCTCTCCACTGTATTGTTATCCCCATATCCAACCGATATTTAATGTGAAAGCGAAAGAGAAAACGAAATCTGCTTCTGAATGTTACACATTGTTTTGATGATTTCTTATGAACAGATTTCATTGAGTCTTCCCACCACGTTATCTGATAGAATTACCACAAGGGAAATAGATCATTATAAATGACATGTTTCTCTAAAGAGTTCCTAAGTAGTCGACTTTGTGCTCGGTTTGTTACCATACATAACATATCAAAGGGGTATTTTCTATCCATTAAGAAAGATGTAAGAGAGAAAGTGAGCCGAGGTTTCTTTTGACGCGTGGAATGTTGTTAACAACAGATTACTGTCATTACGATATCATTTTCCATTTTCTTTTGTGACATGCGGTTGGACATGTTCGGTGTCTGGAAGCTCCTTTGTTGTTAGCATTTTTCTCATTTGGGAATGTGACTTGATATACGTGATTGACAAGGATTTACAAGGCCCCTGGTCTCCTTGTACATTTACAGGTGTCTTTCTTTAGTAGATAGATGTTTTGCACTCGTTTGATAGGTTTTTACTCTGCATTACACTTCTGTTAATATATTGTTATCAACTGATTTGTTTTTGTACATTTATCTATCCTAACAACGTTAGGATAGTGGTTAAGTTGTTGATGTTGTTTATAGAAGTGTCGTCCAGGTGTTGACGTGTTTGACGGAACGCATATTTAGCTGTAAAATCCTTAAAACATGTTATATCACAAACATGTTTGATTCAATAAAGGACAAAAACATATAGCATATTGCTATATCAGTTGAAGCCTGAGCAAATTTAGGTTTTAGATGTTATCTTACCGGTCTCTCCACAATCACGACTTTTCTTTGGTGACTTATCAATGTGTTTAGCTGCATTTTCCACAAAGTATTTGTTTAGTGTCAATAGTTGACATTACTGTGACAAGGTAATCTGTTGTTCTTGCATTAAATTATACTTATCACTAAAAATATCCTTCTGGAGTAGAATAAGTATCGTCCAGGCAAAATCAGAAATCTGAATACTCTATTTCAAGTTTTCTCTTTACTCTTTGATATCATTCCGAAAATGATTTTATTTATTGAAGCAGAAGACACCTTATCCCTCCGTAACACCGGATCTTATTCCTTGTAATTATTCATAAGCCTGGAATCTAAGGACATGGCGGTATTTTATATTGATTTAGGAAACGGTTGTTGTTATTGAACTTGTTTTGATTTGAAGAACGTAACAATACTAACATGAAAAGACGAATATTTAAATGGCGAGTAGTGCAGTTAATGAAACAGAAGATGCTAACCCTTTCGGAACATCTGGTCTCAATCATTAGCTTTGTAGTTTCTAAATCACAACAGGTCATATGACTGTATCGTCGATGAAATGCAATATTTCTGGAAGAATATAGACCGATTCTTCAAATATTGCAAACCTATCATATGTCTATATCTAAAAGTAGAAAAAAAAGTGATCGTTCAAATTTTTGAGACAACTCCAGTAGTCAAAGTTTCATAGCTGAATAGATCTTTGAGTCTTTATCGTGTGAAATAGTAAAGGCTGTTTTGTTAATATGTATGAAGTAAGGGGATAGGTAATATATGTAGGAAACGATATCGGAACGAAAAGGAGAATGTAGATACAGCAACACATGTAATTGATGCTCTTCTGAAATTGTCGGGTGTATGAAAATCAAGAAACGTATTGAATTACGAGGTAAGTGCATCTCTCAATCGTTATTTTGTCATCACATTCGAAAGCACTTCTTATCACTTACGGGTCCTAGAAGGATAGAACAGGTGTATGATGCATTTTAAGTCATTATTAGGCTTTACCAGATTTTACATTTTTATTAAAAGGACCTATTCGTTTTTGTGTATCTTGTACAATCTTCAATTACTTTTATGAATCCTATTGAAAAATAAATAATGATAAAAATCTTAAGCATTTCATGGATTAGTTAAATGCTGAAATGGACAGAGATTAGACAACATCAGAAGAGAACGGAAACTTTTTGCTATTGAAATGATGCAAACATTTGCCTAATTTTAAAATTAAACGCCTTATCAAAAATACAAATTGATCCTAAATCACATTGTTATTAACCTGTATCACGAGCTGAACTTTCCCATCCGACATCACATCTGGGTACGATACAGTTACTGCTCGAAACGTCACATCCGGGAGTTGCGCAGTTACATGTATATCTACAGTCTCTGCCATATTTACCAACGCCGCATGCTATTATTCAAAAGTGATGAATGATGTATACTTGCTAAAATATTTTCTTTTTGTATAGCATTACTATGGTGTAACCTGACTGAATTTAGTAGTATCTTACCTGCTCATTAACTCCCAACGGAGTAGAATTATGGTAAATAATATAAACTAATTAGCGATAGTGATAGGCATTAAGTTGGCGTTATTGGCATAATGCTTTATGATAGCCTTTTGGATTTAAAGCTCCGTTTAACTTTAATTACGTTTGACATTATGTATCTAAACGACAATATCAAAATTAGCACGAAACTTAGACATCGTAGACATCCAGGGCGGATCAAAGCATTCTCTTTTAAACATCTTTTTAAAATTGGAGAACTGGAATACTAGAATACAGAATATAGTAAGCTTAAGCTTCAATATAAAAAAATGTGAATTTTGTATGTGATACGAGAATACAGTGACGGATAGACTTCATTCAGATTTACAGTATTACCTTGATCACAAGACGGCCCCTTCCATCCAGTGATACAAGCTGGATGGGTACATGTTCCATTGGATCTGTTACACTCAGCAATAGCACAGTGACATATAAGTTTACAGTCCTAACCAAAGTGTCCTTCAGAACAAGCTGAAATGGAACAACAGTACGTCTGTTATTGCCGATAGAAACATTAATAATCAGTAGCAAACTGGTTTTCCCAATGGAAATACGTAACATAGATAAAATAGATACTTGCAATGGTATTGTATTATACTGTTAGGGATATTTAGGGTTACTGTGTAGTGTTTTTGTGAAATATTAATGAGGGATTAATGTGAGTATTGTGTGGTGTTAATGTGTCATACTGATGTGATACGTGCAGTGTTATTGTGTCATATTAAAGAGATTTTTTTAACGTAATTGCTGTGCGCTGTGTGATGTATATATATATTATCCTTAATATTTGTTGAAGATCAACACCCCACCAGGTCCCATGAGATCCTTCCGTGTTAGTTGAGCTATAGCTTCCTCCAGTAATTTCTTTCCCTATCATCTATCATACCGTCTACTGCCTTGTTAGCACCCCATCTGTCATGAGTAATATTTTGTGATGCTGACTTTCCTTGGGCAATATCGTCTATGAAAAACAATAGAACAAGCATAACAATCGTTGCACATGACATTGCCTATATTGCTCGATAGGTAATGTATTTTTTAGAAAATAAGTCCTTTCCGTATATAGGATCCCATTTTTGCGAAAACACACATCCATATTTCTTACTTGAAATATGTCATTTGTTACTTACTACACCTTTCTTTACTAATTTGTTCATTAAAGATTTGTACTACCTAAAAGAATTGAACAAAAAAAAAAAAAAAACAAACAATTTGTCTGTTCGGAAACTGGGAAATGATAAAAGTACCTTCTTCAATTTTATCATTTAACTGACCGTATCAGCCAGATAACATTGATTATTTCCCTTCAAAACGATCATATGCTATCATGTACATCCCTTGAACGATGTTTAAACTTCGAGCGATGGAATCCCTAGACTAACAACAGGTTATAAAACCCCATGAAATATTACTTTTTATCTTAAAACTGTTAGCATGTAAATACACTTTTTTAATTGATGTTCTTGTATATTATTCTAGATTTACAGTCAAATTGTGGAAGTGAGTAGCAGTTGAGCACTACCTCCTTGTGAGAGCCAGCCCTCTATCAAGTGAGAAAAAGAAACCTATTTCTGACTTTTTTTCAAAAGTGATGCCGATCAGTTGACCGAAATGAAAAATATGGAGATTGAAAGAATGGTGATGGCTATATAAGAATGTAGTGCGCTATGAATGCATCATGTTATCTTGAATATATTGAAAAAAAATGCCAGGACAGCATTATAAACAAAGTGCTTAAAAAAAACAAAATAACAACTTACGGTAAACCCAGTTGGATTATGCCTGTTCAACACTTCTCAAATACTTTATCTACTTTCACTTGATGTACGATGTGTATTGTACATAAAAACAAACAACAACAAAAATACTATCATGGCAACTAAGTAAATACCTATGGCATTGCTATAATCACCTGAAGATGGCCGCAAGGCTTGAAAACGTTGGTTTTTTTGGTGATTTGGAATAGTAGTTGCCATGTTCATTTTTTGTTTTTATATTTATACATATATATATATATATTTAAAACCTCGTAGGTTTCATACAATTTAGGCCTCAATATTTACAAAATACAGGTAGTACAAACTGCTGATGAGCTAAAGTTCCAGAGGATTGCCGGAACCTTCATGACATGTTTTTATTTCTTTGAATAGTTCAGAATATACACGTGCTCGAAGACATTCCTGTGAAGCTATTTAGTGTTGAAAATTATTGAATTTTAGTGCACCTTCCAATTTTACTTCTTTTCTGGACAACATTTTTGATTTTCTACAGTCATCACTTAAATTTCAATACTCTAGCTCTAGGACTTAAACATCGATGACGAGTCCTAGAAGGGTCGAAACAGCTGCATGATGTAGTTTAAATAACTATTTGGTTATGGTTGGATCTTCGACTTATCTAATGAACATAAGAAGTTCGGTTTTAATGTCCACGTAAAGACTAAGGTCAAATCAAAACAGTGTCCTCAGATGATGGGGCCATTTAAGGGGTATTTTGATATCTTTATAGCAATGTGGTGTTCACATTGGATGGGGCCATTCAAAGGGTGTTTAGATATCAACACATAGGGAGTGGTGGTTTGGCAATCTTATTTCAAGGATTTTTCCAGTAAGTAGAATTACCAGGCTAACAACATAATTATGATTGTAAGTTATGACAATTATTATATAAAAAAAGATTATGTATGATATAAATAGAATGAAATTATATTGGTTTCATAAATGATAATACATTTTGATACTTGCATGACGAAGAAACAAAATTTGGAAGAAATGCAACACATCCTACGAAAATTAAATTAAACATCCAATATTTGTTACTGTTATGTTTCATGTTGGACTGAAAGACAAAAAAAGCCTCTGATCTCGCCCTCCTCTATAGCAGGAAGTTTGTGACCGAGGATAGTTAAGAGATCAGTTGTGTAAATATTTGCCACCACTGTAGATATAAGCACGGGCGGTGAACAGTATATCATACCTAAACAAACCGACGTTACGTAGTACAAAATTTTATGTGACAGAACAATAATGAATCTAACATTATCTATAAACGTTGTGAATAGTAAATTGATCAAGAGAATATTGATGATGCGTTGATAAAGTATGATAGTTGAAATTAAATATCCTCTGTTTACAATATCATATAAACATATTTTCTCGTGTCTTTGCAATATTATTGAAGTACGATAGGTATATCGTGGATCGTTATCTCGGCTGGACCATGGTTATTTTACAATAAAAACGTACGGATTTAACACTATGTTATATTGCTAGCAACACACCATTTGTTTAATACAGTGTATATCAAGATAGAAATGTTAAAATAACATTTTGAAATGGAATGGAATCAACAGGTATAGTTTACTATATAATGAATAATGGAGTTAAAATTAGATGTATTTAAAGAAAGAGGAGATAGGAAACTCAAAATAAAAGTTTAGATATATTATACTAAGACGTTACTATCTATAAGAATTCAAATACATAGCCATCGTTATCACTTTCTTTGGGGACAGAAATATTCTATGAAGAGCCTTACGACAAAGTTGTATCGAGATACATGAGAACATGTTTCTTCAAAACGAAATACATTGTGTACTAGATATTGCGTATACATTAACCTTATGACTAAATGTCTTCCTTGATGACTGAAAGCGCACTGTGTGTTTATGGTGATAAAGAGGTAGCATTGGATATAAATAGTCAATGTTTTATTAAAGCATACCTTCAGTCAGGTTCGTCGATATTTTATAATAATGTAACGGTATCAATATCAATCTGAGGGGGTTATAAAGTCATGAAGTTGATCTTTACACTAATGCAAATGCGATTTGAATCCGGTCTCACGTTCCGTTATGTGTAATCTGTTTATCTAAGAATATCTAAATCAAACAGACTTTGACATTGGCATATTTATTGTTCTCCTTCAAATTGCATCGGTACTTCAATGACATAATCATCACTTGCCATCTGGTTCATAAGTTAATAAAACCCCGATATACCACCAGAATCTTAACTCAAGTTTAAATTCAATAAATGTTGGGCAAACTATCAAGATGTGGATTGTGCTCATGTAAATTTTGTTTACTGTAAAGTTCAGTGAATAGAACCGCAAACATTTGCAAAGTACACAAATGAAAACTAAGATATTTTTCCAAACCAATGCAAATTTTTTGGATGGCGTCCATGTAAATAATTCCTTTGTTCTCAATTTGCCCTAATTTTGGTTTGAATGATAATTTCACTTGCTTTGTTTTGTTTTGTTTTGTTTGTTTTGTTTTTATCGGAGGATATCTGATTTATCATACATTCCTACATAAAATTTCTAACGAATTTTGGTCAGCGTGTATAACCGACATCACTAGCTGACTTTTCGACATGTGAATTAATTCAGATATCATAAGTATGCTCTTATCTATGCACCAGAGTCACCGACGACTATTATCGGTCTTCCTGAGTACGTAACTGTTGGTAAATGATATATACTCTCTCAGCTTGATAACACTTTAATGGTAGACGTCACCTTCAGATACGAAACCAGTGAGGTGGTTTATTTAGTTTCCTTGTAACACGTTCTTTTTTGTTTTTTGTTTTTTTGTATTTATAAGCTGATAAGAACGACTAATAACAACATGTTTATGCTTTTTATAGGAAGATTAAGGTCGTAATCTATTTTTGGTTTGTGACTTTGAAGAAAATAGAACCTTATATATACATTTCAACCTTCAAAACCTTGTTTTTTTCCTTGAGTTATTGCAAACGCTCTAAAATCATTTGCAAGGTATCTCCTTATTATTATACATGTGTATCAAAATAAAATCTTATGCCTGTCTTTTCTCTCCACGTTATTTGATAGGACCACCACAAGCGAAATGATCAGATCAGAAAATATCATGATCAATTACATTTTATTTTAAAGTGATTTTACGTTGTCGACCTTGGTTTGTTACCATACATAACATGTCAAAGAGGTTGCTTTGTCTGGAAAGAAATGATATAAAAAGAATAAAAATAAGCCGAGATATGTAGATGAATAGAATGTATTTCTTGAGACATGATGGTTACTGAAGATTTTTGGAGAGAAGTTTGATGGTTGTCACTAAGTTTGTTCGTATCTTAAATTTGTATTAAAATATGTTATTCGCTTTTTGTGTCTTTTGTAAACTCTGCCATCATTTTGTGATGAACATTGTCATTCCCACCGAAAAATAAAAATTTTAATGACTTTCATGCATAAGTTAAAAGCTGGAATAGGCTATCCAAGATTCAGATAACTTAGACATGCATTATTGTCATTTTACCATCCCTTCCCGACGACCGTATGAGTTTTCCTAAGTGATAGGTTTGTTTTACTTAGAAACTTCCGGTCGTGTAATTTCTGAATACGATGACTGTCTGATATGACATTTAACATATTAAAGTGTTTCATTTCACTAGCCTTTTACATGTATGTTTCTATCAATCTAGATAGTTCTTACTTGTATTGAACTTCAGATATTCATCCTATTAGCGGCAATGCTAAGTCATAACATATAGTGATTGATTCATTACACCATTCGAAAATCGTCTCTTTGCATGCTAATAAAAACCGTTTGGGTAACGTGTTCTGTTCAAAGAGAAAAACCGGAAGTCACTGATGTCAGGCACACGAATCAGCACATACGTTGGAAACGTATTGGTAAAAGGTCACATTCGTGTCGATCCTATCCATACTACTTTGCTAGGGTATCGTAAATGCTCTTTGCCTTTTCAACTTTGTTGTCTAGTTCTTCGTAGATGTTAGTGTCTTTCAGTGTATCTACAAGATAAAAACACCTTACCCTTGAAACCTTAAAGAGCACTACGTGACGTCAAATATATACCCTTTATGATGGTTTATACAAATATAAATTAATATCCTGAAAGACAAATTGAAAAAGGAACAAAACCGAAAAGAAGGGATTAAAAAAAAAATAACTGAAAACATGTTCTAAAATAAGATTAATGAATTCTGACCGCGTTTGTATATGTATTTATGTTTGTACGTAAGAGGATTTTTGATACTAACTTTGATATTGCACTTTATCGTCAACTTTTTCAGGCTGGGACTTCTTCCTTTTTGTTCTGCAATGATCATTGTATATGTTAGATATACATAGATACAAGATAGTTGAAAGTATTATCACAATGTTTCATCGTTCCCTGTATCAGTGATATACTTTTAAATGTAATCTATATCTACGCAGAATAAACCTATTTTTTCATCATTCTTTCTTAATAAAATAATTTCCATTTAGATAAGGATTCTTTTCAAGGTTTGTTTTCATATTGTCTTTAACTTGAGATAGAGAGATATTGCACTTAATAGGACGTCAATGAGCTGGAGTACAGTATCATGAGTAACTCAGTTTTATCCAAATTTCTTTCATTTGATCACAACATACTCTTGTACTTAATTTGAATATGTATATACCAAACAACTATAAACATTTATAGGAATATATTAAATTTAATTCGTGCATTCTCCATTTTCTCACATAGTCAACCACAAGAATAATGTGAATGGCTATGGTTACCGTATGGCGACTTTTATTGTATTTTCCAAACACATGTATACGTAGACATAATGATGACACTCATGAAAAAATACATCTTGGTATTTATATAGATATATGTAAAAGTATAATTATCACCGATGAAAAGCATGAGTAGGGTTGCCAAACCACAAATATATCCAATCTAATTTACTAATAGTCTTTGAAATGTTTGCGACATCATCACATTTGCTGCGTTAATTTTTTATGTGTATATGATAAATCCGAAAAGAATTGAAGACCATCGAAAATAGAATTATAACAAAATGCGTTGAAATTTTTAAAAGCCATATCATAATACACTATCGTCATACCTTAGACGGTCAATGATGAGTCCTATATTGAAAAAGATAGAAATAAACAGCAACGTTCCAAGCAATGCGTATCCGACTGAAGCACCTGTTGTCGACATCTGAAATTATATGAATTGTTTGTTTGGCAGCTGTAAGAGCTAAACCATTAAACATAAGATGTCATCCTATTACTATTCTGAGCACCTGCTTTATCAAACGTTTTCTTTAAAAGTTAGATTTTCATGCGATTTTACTTTGATTCCCGACAAAAAGTTAAGGTTAAAGATCACTGTTGGTATCTGTTAAGGTTTTCATAAAATTTCATCACATATTGCGATACACGAAGTATTTGGTGAGTATTATTTGCACGTACTTACCACAGCCTTACTGTCCGTCTGAGCCGCTTTTACGTAAAAAGAAGCAGAAAAACATTAAGAAAAATACAAGAGAAAACTTGAAAAATGATATTGATATATTTCTATCAAAGTTTTATTATTCTGGAAAAAACTTGTTCCTATTATATTAAGAGGGACAAGCAAGACTTTTGTACAATCAAAATGTAGGTACCTTTGTCACATGAAAGACCAGTCCAGCCAACGTCACACCCTGTCACGTTACATAACCCGGTAAATCTGTCACATCCTGGTATAGTACAGTGACATGTCTGATCACAATTACTGCCAAATGTGCTGATGTTGCAAGCTGATTGGGTAAGAATAATCATTATAAAAATAACTCATCCAATAAATAATTCACAGATAAACTACTCCAGACTATCACTGTTTGCTTATACGTATTTTGCTAATGAGATGGTGAGAAAACTAGCACAATTTTAGATAAATGCGGGATCAGTACACACTTGGCAATACAAAACACGTATATGCCTCTTCAACAATACAGATGGATCCTGATTCATATCATTACTTACCTATGTTACAAATTGAACCTTCCCATCCCACCTCACATTCGGGTACTATACAGTTACCGCTGATAACGTCACATCCGGGAGTTGCGCAGTTACAGGCATAGTTACAGTCTTGGCCATATTTGCCAACCCCGCATGCTATCATTAAAATTGATTAATAAGTTTTTATGCTAAAGTATTTACTATCGAATGGCAGTGATGCTATGTGACCTTACTTAAGTTAATTGTGTATTGCCTACACATGAAATGCAAGAATATTTTTGCAGGAAATGTAAACCGGTTGATTATGAATATTGATAATGATAGATATAAGATATAAGCGTTGAACGTCATTAAGATTGCGTTCGTAGATATAAGGCGAGCCGAACACTATCCAGATTAAAGGCGCATTTTTTAAAAATAAATATCATTAAAAGAATATACACAGAAAGGATCCATTTCTATCTTAATAGATTTTACGAAAGACATTCAAATAAAAATACATGTAGATTCAGCATTATCAAATAATGAATTAAATTCCATCAGATAACTGCCAATGGTTCCGTGAAGTGATTTCATGCTAATTGCAGTTACTTACATTACTTTTAATCTCAAATACATAATTTCGCAAAAATCATCTTTTTTCTTTCTTTTTCTTAATTTGAGTACAATTAATTAACATCAATTAATTAGACTTGCTTTCAATGTAAAAAGGGAAAACAATGTTTGAGATGAACAAAGTTTTGGAGCTTTATTTAACGACGGATACATATATTTCAAATTATGAAGAATAAACGATATATTACTTTGATCACAAGACAGTCCTTTCCATCCAGCGAGACAACCTGTATAGATACATTGTCCATTGAATCTGTCACATCCAGGAATAGAACAGTGGCATGTTTGCTTACAGTCTAAACCAAAGTGTCCTTCTGGACAAACTGAAACGCAGCAATGGGAAATATAGCAGAATCTATATCCAATGTTAACACAAAAGTATGTAAAAAGTACATGTAAAAAAGACACACAAGAAAATATTCCTTCAGTACAAATTTAGATAAGAATAAGATTCAGTCCATCTTTATGATGAATTGAATTGTATTATACATCTGTGGCGACCTTCTGGGATTTATCAGTGGTGTTGCATATAGTGCATCAAAAATCGAAATTGGTGAAAGTGTCAAAATCAGATGGAGATATGCACAAGCCAAAGACTTTATTAAAATTCAGAAACGTCAATATTTTATAATTTCAAAATAATATCAACTAAATGTGTATATCAACAGTTTTTACTCGCTATTAGAAAAACATCACTTTACTTGATGATAACTATGGCCGCTTTATTTTGCTTTTTAAAATTTTTATTTGAACGGCCTTACACTTTCAAAACATGAGTTGCAATGATATACATAAAAGTTAAATGAACTGGATTTACAATGCCTTAACAACAAACTGTACTTCATTTCACTTCCAATTACAATTTCAGTAATACAATTATCTGGCATATTGTATCAATTTCATCGCAGAATATTTTATAAGTAATGTTGAAACGGAAAACATACCGCATATATGTATTAATGCAAAAGCATTGTACAATTGTGCTTTTCATACCAAAATGACGAAAATAAGATCTGAGATATGATTATGCGACTTTCGTAACTCCGTTCATCAACATTGCCACGTCGTAAGTAGCATGACGTCACCAGTTTAGTAATTTGTTACATTATATATTTTGCATAAATAATGTTAATGAGAGAAGTTTTGGGGTGAATATGGACATACATGTGATTGATGATTTATTCGTCATGAATCGTTTTGATTTCATCGTTTTTCTATCTTTACCTGATACGTACCCGTGTCACAAGCCACTCCTGTCCATCCGGATGTACATCCTGGCTGAGTACAGCTGCCACTGATGGGGTTACACCCCGATTCAGCGCAGTGACAAGTCTGTGCGCATGCCCTGCCAAATGTGCCAGTGCCACATGCTGAATCAAAATTTGTCAAAATAATAAAGGTAATTAAAACCAACAATGGCTTTAAATAGCGATAAGGAAACAGTGTCCTTCAAAGATCAAAAGAGTAAACACAAGTAAAAAGCAAAATCAGATTATGTATTTAAACGGTACCTTATTTTTCTAGCTAAGTCCACTCAACTGCATTGATTTGTGATAAGCTAGTCTTAATTTGTTCCCTCACGTTGGATTTTTTTTTTTTTATAGAATTTCCATCACTTATGTCTTTATGTATTCATGTAAAGGTAATTCTGGGATCAATTAAAGTGAAAATTTCCTTGTTATATAATGTAGACGTTCTTTAACTATCGTAAATGACAGTAGAGATACAATAAAATGTAATCCAGGATTCATTTTAAGAAAAAATATCTTATGTAGCATGTCAGTGGTAGAGATTGTTAAACTCAATAAAGCTTAACACCGTATTTAAGGAATAAGTTTATGTTTCGTTTAGGTTATTGAGGAATAACTACAATTGAACTTGAGTAAATTGAATAACATAGTCAAGTAAAATCTACACGAATTCAATTGTACTTATCCCACTATAAACAACACAAAAAAGAAAGTTAATCATGTTATTCGGCAAGCACTGAACAGTCTATTGTTTCCGTCTTTCTGATACTACACCAACAAAACGAAAAATTAAAATGTATTATTTCACATATACTTACATATCATATGCTAAATACAAAATTCCAGTGTTTATTCTATCGATATTTCGTTAAAGAAAACTTTCAAAGTCTGAAATTTTGCATTAGGACCATATTTAAAACAGGTTTCATTTTGCTGAAGATTTTAAAACACCCCAAAAGTATATACATCAGTTGCATTGTTAAATATTCCAGTTAATCAATAAAAAATACTACATTTTCCAAACTGTAACATTTAATGTATTTTGTGTAATTATATGACGAACTATACATCAATATGAAATGTTGACACAACACAATGTTGCTCTGGCTTTCAAAAACACTTAGCAAGGCGTATAGCTGGTACGTTTCACTTAAACTGTGATTCTTAACGTACAGACATTAAAGGGCCTACCTCATGGTCTATACAGTCTGACATGAAAAAGGTTGTATGCGACAAATTATAATGGCTTCTATGAAAGATAAGGGGTAGTACAACACTTCCAGAAGATTGTGGAGAACCGGTAAAACACAATAGAATACCGGCACATCTCACATTGATCAAATTAAAGGCGTGAAATTATGAATGATCTCTTTCGAGGTAGACTTTAACTAAAGAAAAACATCCAGCTGGTAGAAAATCAATCTTTGGACATATATTTCAAAGAAATACATTCACTCTGGTAAGGGATTTGATGCTGCAAGATGAAAGACAAGATAAGCACACTTCGTAAAGGTAAAGAGCTAAGCAAATAATTGTTATCAGTTTTGTTATATTATGTTCAGAATGATAACATTTAAATATGTATGTTTTCACAAAGTATTAACATATGAACTGGAAATAACAGGGAATTCAACTTTATCAAGGCATCAACATATTTGCAATTTCACTATAGCTATATTTTGCTTCAACATGAATATTCTCATGATTATCTAGTCTTAGGTTAATAGCTGTGTAGTCGAATACGTCAATGCACAAATGAGTTACTAGAGATAGTCTCTAACGCACAGAATAGAAAGGTGTGTAGTGTGCCAAAACGCACAAAATCATATACATGTATTCAAAGATTGACAGGCAGACGATAGGGTATAGCTCTTCAAAAACTGGGAAACGGTTCATCAAGTATTGCCTCCATTCCCATGTGTGCTACCAACGATAATTGTCTGTGCCTTAAATAGGAATCAGTACTACACCATGTGAAAATTGTCTCGCTAAACCATCCCTTGAACATTTCATGGAGAGATAATGTGGTTTGATAATCGAAATAAGAGTTACCTCCCCTGCCATATAAGAACGAACCACAAATAATATTGTTGTACTCGAGCTGTATCCCGCGTTTACTTGATTACAACAAGTCGGGACTTCATTCATTAATACATAATACATAATTTCATTCATTTAAAGAACATTTCGCGTTTAAACTATAGTTTGCAGAATATTTGTTATTTTGGTATATTCTTGAATTTATGTAAATGACCTCAAATCAATTAATTTTATTTTGTGGTATAGTAACACGTGTCTGGAATTAGATTAATTAGTACATCCGTTTGGCCACATTTTTACCAAATAGGTTGTTCCAATGATAAAATATTATTTAAAGCACTGTTTGTATAATTCATATCCACTAGTTGGGAATGCAGGTGTAAACTGTATAAAGATGGATTTAGGCGGCCTTTCGTCTGAGATAATGTTAATGGAACTGGCAGTTAATACAAAGGAGGTCAACATTGTATATTTGTGAAGAGAACATATCTCGGCCATATCGAAACCTCGATCTGTTCTCTCTTACAAATAATTTCAGTTTTCGGCTTATCTCCATAACGTTCACCAGTAAGAAAAATAATCGCGGAAGTATTGGCAAGAGAATAGTTAAACAACGGAAAAGAAGGTGATGAAAATTGAAAAAAAATTAATGTTCTACACTGACAAGCAGGCAGACAATTTTACGTCGTACCTGCAAAACTGAAAAAATAGGGTATAATTACCAGAATCACAGGCATTTCCTTTCCACCCTACAGCACATTCTGACAGCGTACAACGCCCTGTTATTCTATCACATCCGGATGTGAAGCAATGACATGTTTGACTACAGTCAACTCCAAACAAACCAAGTCCACATTCTAATAAATGAAATTGAAAGAAACATAAGCACGTTGTTGTTTGAAACACATGTTCAGTTCTATTGATTTTTTTTTTTTTTTTGCTTTAAAATTTTGTCAGATTTCCGTTTACATTATATTAGACTACATTGAAATAATTTTTGTACTCAAGCTTAGAATTTATGCCAAATGTAACGAGAGCTCATCTAATTAAAAAAAAAAACATCAACACATGCCTACAGCATGTTTTATCAATGTCACCTTCGGAACAGCTTCGTCCGGTCCATCCTTTCTGACATCCAGTGACGTCACACCGACCTGTGTCCGGATCACATCCACCCACACCACAGTTACATCTTTTATTACAGCCAGGTCCAAACCTATTTATTGGACATCCTAGTAAAGTAAAGAAGTAGATACATTCATCTTTAATAAATGCTTTTAGGCAGGGTATTTTTCATTGCTTTGATTTTCATTTTTATCGGTACATAAACGTGACATATATTTTCTTTAACTATATGCAATATAAATGTATTCAACAACGACATATACCCCATCTGCTAACAGTTTGTTATATTTCCGTTCTCATATATCTATAAAAAAAACAAAACAAAACAAAAACAAAAATAAAAAAACGAGGACTACGTCATTTAAATTTCCCATCTAACCAAATACCGATGTCATCAAGTTTAAATCCGTGAGTAGCCGTTATAATATAGTTCCTTGTGTCATTATCAATAGAAATTGTATGAGATAGTAGTGTAACCATTTAACTGGATTATTTAAATAAAAGTGTACACCCTCGCAGTTAATATTTTACTAATATCAATTTAAATGTTTCGTTCATTTGAAATAAAAACAGTTGATTGTGAATTAGCATTTTCTTAAAAATCACAAAACAAAACGATGTGTCTAATTTTTCTTTGGGAACTTTTCTCGTTCACGTGTCGAGGATTGGATGGATGTGACTTTTCAAAAAGAATAATCGCGAAAATTATCAATTGAAGTCGATTCTGCCAGTAAGTGACAAAATTATGTTTGTAACGGATTCAACATTTGTAATTTGGACTGTCAGGTCGACGTCTACTGTAGCAGGCAAAGGTGACAAACTTGGTAATCAAGAATGTTATGAAGATAGTAATGATTTTGTGGCAAATGTATATATTTGACAATAAATTTCTTCTGTTAAAATTTGAAAACGTTATAAATTACATAATTTTTATGATAGTCTTACTAAAGTCCAACAACTTCGGACAAGTCAGGATCCTGTATATTGATACCGAATTGAAAGTGACTGTTGACCAGTTCTGTTTACTTTGGAGGCACCTAGATTTATTAATTTCAACACTGAGAAAAAAATCACAAGAAAATGTATTACATAGTCTCATACTACAATTTAGCGTATTAATGATATATGTGGGATTGCAACACAAAATGTAAGTGTTACATTTACATCCACCAGGATTACATTTTGGTGGACGTCTCGCCTTGACCACCAAATATGTATTCATACGCTTGACCAGATGGACGTTCACAACCTGATATACTCCCATCTGTTTAACATAGAATTAAATGGGAAGTTGGTGGCTGAGTGGAAATACTGATGGATGAATCCTACGAATATGTTTTAGGTGGATTAAAAATGAAAATCAACAGACAAACGAATAATTTTCATAGACTTTGTTGTGTTGTTGTTCTGACAGTTCCTATGTCGATACATTATATACGTGAATTCTCGCGAAAGGTATCGCTCTCTCTCTTTGACGTCACTCCAAATTTCAAACGTAAATTGTGGTAAATTTATACCATGTGTATACTGGTTAGGTTCGCCGATAAATTGTGGATAAATCATGATGTATAATTATATTACCAAACACCTGCACCTCACACAGCTCTACAACAGCATTTGTTGGCGAGTAGTATATATGGTTTTTGGGTTCATTATCTGCGGGACGTTTGTTGTAGAATATGACGTATTGTCCGTCTACAATACAGGGACGAGATTGGTTAAAGGATGGAAGAAGATCAGGATCCTTGATGTCGTCATGGTAACACATATGCCATGTATTTCGCTGTCCGTTCAAAACAGACGTATTGGAAACATAGAGGTAGAATCCAGAAAGTCGAAAGGGATCTGAAATGTATGATTACGAATCAAGACTATACATTAGAATGAAATTGATAAAAAAAGCGCAATTGAGATCAATCATTATGAACGTTCTGAGCTATTACGATCCCAATTTCAAGACACTGACCATGTATTCTTTTTATCTTGCAATATTGATTGAAAATCAGACAATCAAAACTTCGGTAGTTTTGTTGTTCAAGCTTTGTTTACCTGTCGGTGATGTTACGCTGAAGTTTGCCTGATGACTTACGCCAAAATAATTGCTCCGCGTAGAAATATAGTTCCAAACTTCAATTTACATGCCAGCGATTTTATGAATTTTCATAAACAAGCAAATTTATCACAACATATAAAACACTTATTTCAACAGTTATTTCAAAAGTAATATTAAAGTTCATTCAGAATGTAACTCTGTCGAATTACCACACGTGCTAAAATACAGCTGTTTTTCGCCATTGCCGAATACAGCAAAATATATGTGGCTGGCGTATTCCGACGATGGCACTGCCAGTTGCAGGAAACATTAGTCTATTTTGCTGCTTTTGTTTAGGTATATCTGACACAGAAACGAGAGCTATTTCAATTTTCACAGGGCTATTTGATTGGTTGATCTTATTGATTGACCAATCAAATATGTCATCGTTGTTTCTCTTTACTATATATAATGTTTATGTACTTACTGTAGTGACATTCCAATTCTAAAACACTTCTTGCTTAAGTCATTGCCCTAATTCAAGTGCAGCACAAACATTTATACTTCCTGTCACTGGTATGAAAAATACTACAAAAACAATACTTCGGTTCTAAAAACTGTGTAATACAAACAGTACTATTGGTCAGTTAGAACAGTCACCTCAACTGTATGGTGAAGCATATTTTATATCAAATATGGCTCCGTAATAATCTTTCCTGTCAAATGTTAAGGACACATGGAAATAAATAGGATGTATCAGAAAAATACTATTATCGCTTTTTAGAAAAAAAGGAAAATTCTTTGTCTTATTCTTTTAAAACCGCTAAAATTAATGTGCGCTAATTTAAATACAGTAACGTGGTATACTGGTATCCTGCCCCGGCCCCGGGAACATTGTTACGTGCCCGTTTAGTCATTTCATCACGAACGTATCATACAGTTATCAGTTTTTATCAGATGGCTTTCATGTAATCTTTTGTCTGATTTTTATCTTATTTTGTAGAATTGACCCAAAGAAGCAGAGATCAGAAAATGTACACGGAAAAATGCTTGTGCTAAAGGTGCCGTCCTATATTTCTCGTTCCTTCCCCCTTGGTCACTAAGAATTATCCCTCCTCACCCCCCTCCCACCCCCCCTTGTCAGTAGGTAGTGTCTCTCGTCCCCTCCCCTTTGTCAGTAAACAGTATCCCTCGTCCCCTCCCACTTGGTCAGTAAGCAGTATCCTTCGTCCCTTCCCCTTGGTCAGCAAGTAGTGTCCCTCGTCCTCCCCCCTTGGTCAGTTAGCAGAATCCCTCGTTCCCTCCCCCTTGGTCTGTAAGCAATGTCCCTCGTCCTCTCCCCATGGTCAGTAAGCAGTACCCCTTCTCCCTTAGCATTAAGAAGTATCCCTCCTCACCCCCCACCCCTTGGTCAGTATGCAGTATCCCTCGTCCCCTCCCCCTTGGTCAGTAAGCAGTATCCCTCGTCCCCTCCCCTTGGTCAGTAAGCACTACCCTCGTCCCTCCCTCTTGGTCAGTAAGCAGTATTCCTCCCCCCCCCCCCGCCCCTTGGTCAGTAAGCAGTAACCTTCGTCCCCTCCCCTTGGTCAGTAAGCAGTATCCCTCGTCCCTCCCCCTTGGTCAGTAAGCAATGTCCCTCGTCCTCTCCCCTTGGTCAGTAAGCAGTACCCCTTCCCCCTTAGCATTAAGAAGTATCACTCCTCACCCCCCACCCCTTGCCAGTATGCAGTGTCCCTCGTCCCTCCCACTTGGTCAGTAAGCAGTATCCCTCCCCCCGCCCCTTGGTCAGTAAGCAGTAACCTTCGTCCCCTCCCCTTGGTCAGTAAGCAGTATCCCTCCCTCCCTTGGTCAGTAAGCCCTCCCCCCGCCCCTTGGTCAGTAAGCAGTAACCTCCCCCTCCCCTTGTCAGTAAGCAGTATCTCTCAGTAAGCAGTTACATTCTCCCCCCCCCCTTGGTCAGTAAGCAGTATCCCTCGTCCCCTCCCCCTTGGGTCAGTAAGCAGTTACCGTCCCCTGGTCAGTAAGCAGTATCCCCCGTCCCCTCCCCTTGGTCAGTATGCAGGATCCCCGTCCCCTTCCCCTTGGTCAGTAAGCAGTATCCCTCGTCCCCTCCCCTTGGTCAGTATGCAGGATCCCTCCGTCCCCTTCCCCTTGGTCAGTAAGCAGTATCCCTCGTCCCCTCCCCTTGGTCAGTAAGCAGTATCCCTCGTCCTCTCCTCTTGGTCAGTAAGCAGTTACATTCGTCCCCTCCCCTTGGTCAGTAAGCAGTATCCCTCGTCCCCTCCCTTGGTCAGTAAGCAGTATCCCTCGTCCCCTCCCCATGGTCAGTAAGCAGTATCCCTCGTCCCCTCCCCATGGTCAGTAAGCAGTATCCCTCGTCCCCTCCCCTTGGTCAGTAAGATGTTTGTGAAGTATACATTGTTTTCAGAGATACCTGAGATAACTTATACTATATCTGATCAATATCCAGCAACTTATCATGTATAAATCATGATTTTATGATGGTGGTACAATGTACTGAATGTTCTCTTCATATTTGCAGGCTGGTTATAAATACTTCCAGTCATTTTCAAAAATGTTTGATGTGAAAATAGACCATTTATAAGTTATGTGACTTAATTTATCAATACGGAACTATTTTATATAAAAATAGACCATTTATACATTGAGGTTATGTTACCTTCTTTATCAATATTTAGCTTGAACTTCATTCAAAGGACCCCACAGTTGGATAGTTAAACAAAAATCTTTATTAACGTTTGAAAGAGTCTAAACAATAACATTTTCATAGGTAAATGCCAACATTTTGTCCATAAGATAATGTTCGAAAAGTATACTAAATGAAGCTAACCTTAAAGTGCCTTCCTGCAAAATGTTAAGCTTATCACTTAATGACTGAGGAATTGCTCCAATAGGTACCATTCTTTGAATTGAACATCTTCTGTACAATTTTTTAAATTGACTAGCTAACATAATTAACTATTCGAGATATCACAAATATAAGAACATATCTTACAATTATTAATCCCTTTATAGGAAAAATCTTTTTGATCTTTTATACGGAAAATATTTCAGATAGTACAGAGAGATATGTAGAAATAAAAAGTATATACAACATGTGAATGTAATTGTAATCCAAACTCAAAATCGATAAAACAAGGGATGAATGTAAACGTATCAAAGGTTTACACAAAGACCCGGGAAAAGGGAGAAGAGTACCCGACGTTCCGAAAGAGTAAGCGTCTTCTGCTGAAACGATGACACCAGTAAGTAGTCTATACACATGCATTTTATAAATACATGTACTTTCGTACAAGAGACGACGATATTCACTTGGAGAATCAACTGTTTCTTTCTACCTCACAAGGATATAACATCAGGAAGTGTGATTATTTTATTCATCATATTTCTAGACCATCATCAAAAACACTCTATACAATGCACTTCAAATCACTTATTTCAAAGTAAGTAAATACTTCACGTGAAACATTTTAATTATTCAATTCAGATAAGTCATGCTCTGCTAAGGATACATATGTCCTGTGAATTGTCATATGTGAGTGAACATGTCAATGTTCTTATTTTTATTCAGTTAAGATTTTTTCTTGTGTTTCCAAATATAGCCTTCATTGCCATCGTAAAACAAGATTCACTACAAAAAATCAAGTATGATTTGATTTTCTTCGACAGTGTGGCGTTGAACAACTTATGACAGGTTATATAGTTACTTACACAACTGTCTGTATGTGACTTTTATCGTTTTTATCCTTGATATATGTTGAAGATCAACACTCCACCAAGCCTCACGAGATCCTGTAGGGTTAGTAGAGCTACAGCTGCCTCCTCCGTTAGCTTCCACATCTGTTCCTATCACACCGTCTAAAGCCTTGACAGCACTCCATCCAAGATAAACAGTACTTTGTGAAGCTGGCTTTCCTTTGGCGATGTTGTCTGTCAAAACATAATAAAACAAAACATGACAATTGTTCCTCGTGGCATTGTATATGTTCAATTAGGGAATCTAATCTATCACAAAGAAGAAGGAATCGAAATTCTGACGCCGTCGATTTCTGTGTGCTTGAGACAGTGCTTTTATTCAACTCAGAAGGGATATATCTTATTTGTACAACTGAAAGCACCTTTCATTGGACAATTATGATGAAATGTAGCACAACCAACCAATGAATCAAACTGTACACACTCTTTCGTCCCATTAAATAGGACTCGTCAGTAATTGTCAAGAGCTTAAAATGTTGTCGATATTTTAAAATTATTCAATATAAGTTTTAGAGCTTTTTCCACTATCTCAATTGCCTTCCCTGACGAGTCCTGGAGCGACAAGAGAGCTATATATATTGTATAAAGGTTTTTTAATAGTAAGCTTTATAACTTACAATGATATATATCTTCCGATGACCTCTATCTTCCAAACAAAATAATGAAAATAAAAGACAAGGTTTATTCCTATTTCTAAGTATATTGGTGTTTTACTTTTTTATCAAAAAAAAAAAAAAATGGAAAATGCATTTTTCAATTTGCATTCAAATTTATGATGAAGTGCATATATACATATACAGTATATGGTCCATGGGTATTTTGAATGGTTGGGAAGTTGAACTTAAACCAAAAACAACACTTCATGCACTTTTTCACATGAACATTTTTTTATTGTATCACACTTACTGATTATTGCTAAGAGTATGTAATGAATTTGATACCTTCGAGCATTTTCGAAATTGTTGGTTTGCATTGCATAATTAGCGACATTTCACTACAGGTCATAATATACTAAAAGGATAAAGAAACGCAGGGTGAACTTTAAACCAGATATTAAGTATGATATCGGGCTTCATTTAAAACGAAATTTTGTATACTTACAGATAAATTAAAGCTAAAAAATTCCAAAGTCTGTATTTTGCATCTGACAATTGGTCTAGAGGTACTAACGATTAAATTGAATGGACCCATAGGATTTTGAAATTGAAATTGAACTGAGTCATCAATATCTTGTGTGTCCGCCGTTTGCTGTGGTCACGGCCCTTATTCTTCTGGTCATAGAGTTCATGAGAGCGTTAATCCGTCTTATGGGGATGTTGTCCCACTCTTCAATCAGAGCTCTGGTCAACTGCTCTCGAGTAGCAGGGGGTGGCTGGCGCTTTCGAATCTGTCTATCCAACTGGTCCCAAAGATGCTCGATCGGGGACAAATCAGGGCTATATGGTGGCCAATCTGGTGGTTGAATGTTGTTGTTGGCCAGAAAGACTTGGCAAATCCTTGCTACGTGGGGCCTAGCATTATCCTGCTGGAGGGTTATATTATGCTGCTGTAAGAAACGGATAACATAGGGTCGGAGGATCTCATCTCTATACTTAGCTGCTGTTAAATTGCCATCAATAACAACCAATTGTGATTTTAACCCGTGTGAGATTCCTCCCCACACCATTACTGAACCGCCCCCAAACCTATCCATCTCTACAACGCAAGCGTCCGTAAAACATTCGCCACGACGTCGGTAGACACGTTGACGGCCGTCAGATCGATAAAGACAGAATCGAGACTCGTCCGTGAAGAAAACTTGTCTCCACTGCCTCAGTGGAGCTACCCAGGCCATACGACGCTAACGTCGATCTGGGGTAAGGTGTGGACCTACGTAGGGGCGACGTGCTCTTACACCAACTTCTCGTAATCGATTCCTTACAGTTTTGAACTTATAGGACGCCCATGATTTCCACGAACATTAAGTGCACTCTCAACGGCAGTAAGGCGCTGATTACGCACATGAGAGACGACGATATAGCGATCCTGACGTCATGACGTTACGCACGGACGTCCTGACCTAGGTCGATCGGCCAATCGCCCAGTTTCCCGAAGATGTCTTACAAGACGTTCTGTGGTGGAAACATTAACACCAAAGTGCCTAGCAACCTGATTTTGCAGCTGTCCTTGCATCAGCATCTGAATGGCCTGACCCCTCTGAACTTCTGTGAGTCGTGCCATTCTTAAAACGAATCAAATTCAAAATCAAATTGGTCTGTATAAAGACTAACGAAGAGTGACTTTACCAACGCTGCATGAGACCAGAACAACACGGTGCACGAGATTCTTGTTTTTTCCTTCCTCCATTTACCAGAGCTGCGCACTGTACCGTGACTAAATTTTCGATACATGACAAGGTGTAAGTTTCACTTTATTTGGAGAACGCGTTTTCAAAATATCGGAATGAATATTACCCTGCGTTTCTTTATCCTTTCAGTATATTACGCCCCCAACTTATCTCGTAAACAAACACACGTTGGTAAATAGCAAGGCAATTTGTCCACAGAATAGTTTTAGGCATACCTAGCTATAAGCACAGCGAACAGTTCGGCAAAATCGGTGCATTGATGATAAAAGTTCTCGTTAGAGATTTTAAAGGAATATTCCGTTATGGTATAATAAGATGCTTTTGATTAATATTGTTCGAAATTATTTACTTAATATGTTTCTTATGGAAATCGTACAACTTATTTTACCATTTAAATGAACATATATTTGCGGAAATTCGATCTACAAACGTTCGCGCGGGCCTGATTGCGTCATCAAATGTTTGCTGTATAATAAACCGAACAGAATGAAATACTTGTGTAAATTATAAATAAACAGAAAATAAGTTTCATCAAGTGATATATTTGCAGCCCAATGGACATTTTAGTGAACGGCATTCAAGATGATGTGTTTACCCAATACCCTGTATAGAAATTAAGTTTTAGAAGTCGTTAGAATGAGTTCTTCAAAACAGCCAAATATTTTGCAACTGCGGAATATTCCTTCAAAATAATTATTTATTTCTGACACATACTTCAATGAAAGAGGAATGATGGGACATAAGAGCAAAAGCTTACTTTTGAAACTATATTTTACTTTAAAAGTTGTTGTCAAAAATATCCGAGCTATTTTAGAGGCGACCGATACATTTCCCACTAACACACGATCTGAACGCGTGTCGCTTTTAAACATTGTATGCAGAGACATACATGTTTCTATTAGGTGACCCACTACTAGTATCCAAATCTGTGGTAATCCCACGTGTTTCAATTGATTTACGTTTTATACACCATAGAGACAAGTAGGACGTTGAATCTCTCTGATATCAATCGATAATGTACAAATACATGTAAGCTTTCGTCGATATGTCGATATATTTGTACTGTCAGCTTAACTGGAAGAAGCATAACTTGACTTGAAACCTTCGACATGTTATTGATATGGAAGAGGAAAATACTATAGACTCTATCTGTGACTTTTGGTGACCTAAGCGTTGACTTTTGATAACTTTACATTGTTATAAAATTTGCAAATGAAGCTAATGCTATATTGATTGGAATTGGAAGATCTGTTTGGGCTATGACTTTAGGTGACTGTTATATTGACTTTTGACATAACTTAACATTGTAAAAGATGTGCAAATGAAAAGCATAAGATATTGATTGATGTTGATGACTCTTTGTGCCTGTGACCTTTGGTGACCAAAATGGATGTTTTCACCACTTTTCTGAAGGAAGGTTTTGCTGTGAGTATTTTCAGTGCTGTGATTTTTAATATCTTAGAAACAAGCTCCTGGTTGTTATATATGGTTGTTCTTTCACTCATGTTATTTATTCTTCAGAAGTTACACCTACCCGCACACATGCTCCTGTTTATTGTTACCTTTGAAAAATAACTAACTCGATTGAAAAGCTGTCATTCACAACAAATCTCCATATACCTGCCCGATGCGGGAAATCACGGCAAGACATATTTACGAATATGGACACTGCTCTTTTTAATCGATTAGAAATACTGGTATCATAAACAGCGCAAAAATGATGTAATGTATTTTTATTGCAGTGTCGCCTTCATTCGAGGGGAATGTTCGTGTTAAGTGTATCAGCACCAATATATAGGGTGTTAGATGGTAATGAATCGACAGGTATGAATAAAAATCTATCGTGAATTAAGAGAGACCATGATGTGACAATGAAATGATGGCAAATACATGTCAACCAAAACATAGACCTGAAAGAATAAATTTTACTTACATGACGAATTTACAAAGCAAGGAAGTAGTGCAATACATCCTATGGTAGTAAAATGTAGGATCCAATGGTTGTTCCAGCAGGGTTTCATGCTGAATTGAAAATAAAATTTCTTTTTCCTTCTCCACTCTAGTTTACACCCGAAAATTTATAAAATGTCTTTTCTCTTACCCCACTCTAGTTACACCAGGAAGTTTTTAGCAATGAGAGATAAGGAATGAGCTGTGTAAGTATTATCTGTTTAGTGCACAATGCTTTATCAAACTGAAACATATCGAAATTGTTACGTTTTAAATACACATCTTACATGATACATGAAAAACACAGGTAGCTTGATTATCATTTAGATATGTACAAATAAAATTGAACCGTTATAAAATCAGCAAATATATGCTATGTTTGTTGTACATAATACGTGTCAATTAGAGCGATAACATAAACATGTTTTGTTTACAGTCGTGTAATTTGGTATGATAAGCAAACGGTGAGTACAGAAACCTAGATATTTCATGTATGTAGAAGATTCTAAATAACACGATATTCTAAGACAAAAAACAGCGTCCCAGATCCACCCCGTGACATATTCGGCTGGATATACACTTTAAGTCAATTTGAACAACAGTATGACAAACACAACCACTTATTATTAGAGGTGTAACGATTCACCGATGCATCGCCCGTGCCTGAATGGTATCGCGATACCTATATTATCAAAGACGAAGTAAGCAAAAAATAAACAAGAAGAAGCTTTTTTTCATTGCTGAGTTTTTATTCAATAATAATTACCATGTATTTCACGAGGATTGAAATGTGGCATTGAAATCTAAAGGTATTCGGCATTGTAGAAGTGTCTCTGATATCAGATAATTATATATTTTTGTCTCAAATGTATCGTGATACATATCGTATCGTGACCCATGTATCGCGATACGTATCGTATCATCACTACCCTGGCGATACACAGCCTTACTTATGTAATAGAGGTCATTTTTCATCTCAATGCCTCCGCTAGGAATCGAACCCGGGACCCCTGGCTTACTAGTCTGACGCTCAACCAATCGAGCTAAAGAGAAGTTCTCACTAGCCAAGTGGTATATTGCGGCTAGTATTTTACCTGGGTTACACTTATTTTCACTTAAAAATCAATATCTACCACAAAAAATCTATATATCCAGTACCGTGCATCTTATTTTGGTGTATGCGACACCATATGGAATATGGTTTAAAATACTTATTCTAAACAAAATAACTCATATACAGTGTTAGAGAAAACAGAAATAACCTCCATATCACCAAAATATATTGATGAGAGTGACTGATGCTTTATGTGTCTTCTTAATAAAGAAAAATCCGGTTTTTGGTACTAGATTTCAGAGAAAGGCCCCCTGAAGAACCAAACATTTTATCTTATTTGCTCTGGGGTTATTGTAAAAAACAGTAAATCTTACTTTATCTCACAGTAGCATATTTACGACGCGAAAGAAGCGATTAAAACTAGATACCTTTCTCCTTATCGATAGAAAATTGTTTTACCTATACGTAACTTTCGTAGACTTAAGGAAGAACTATACAAATCCTACGAGACACAAATCACATTTTCCATCTGACCAGATAAGAATCCATAGCATGTAACGCATTAATTTGTGAATAGTGACGTTAGGTAAAAGGGAGTAAAATATATCATCTTGTTTAAGGTCCTGTATTTATTATTTAACCGTTTGTTCTTCCGTAATCATAATCTTTCAAATTTTCACTTAGATTAGATGCTGGTCAATGATTGCCGTGATAATGATTGTAGTTCAACTTGATTAGGAGACAATATTCATCTAGGTATATCATTAAGAGAAATATGATGTTAATGAAAAATATGGCAGTCTTTGTTTCTCTTTGTCTTTTTTACCAATTTGTTTGTGCACGAACGGTTTCAAAAGATGCAGGTTAATGAAAATTACGACTGTAAAAACTCCCCAATAATTTGCCACAACCTGAATCTATCGAAACTGTGTTAAAAGAATTTTGTTTTAGAAAAATACTACTACCGAGTAAGTATACAGCGTACCTTGTTTTCAGTCCCTGTTATCATATGTTCATTGTTGATGCCAAAGGCAACATAAAATAACGAGCTATCATAATGCTATTTGTAAAGTGATATATTTTTTATTACAAAACTAATAGATATGATAATGATAAAGAGATATTCAAGTGCAGACATTACTTCCTGGTTAAAATACATGTACTGGAGCAAGATACTTCAACTCTCGATTGTTATTATACCACATTTATCAGAATAAAAGTTTACAATCTCTCATGGAGCAACAAAAAAGCCACATCATGTTGCATCATTGGGAGTAGGCAGGTCTATATATTGTTATATTGTTTATATAACAATGACATACTCAAACAATCCTTGACCTTATCAGATGACACGACTTTGTTCGATTTAAAATCTAAAACAACAATATATCCGTTTATGTTCATTCGAAAGTAAGTATGATGTTGTTTCCCATCCCGCTCATGTTTTCTTTGTATATGGCATCAAATTTTTCATTTTGTGCGACAGTGAAAACATTCTTCCAGCCACCAACAATTCCTGCATTAAATTTGAAACAAAAAAGAGGATATTCATATTAAACAATACCTTTCAGCTATTAACATTCTGATTTAGGTCCTGTTTATTTAACAAAACCTTTCCGATAAGTACCCTGTTACTCATTACCAAATGGATAAATTACCATAATTTTTATCAACATTTAAGATTTTGTTTATTATATGCAATCTGTCTCATAAGTACCGTATTTTCCCATTTATTAATCACTACTGAATAAATAGACTGCAAGAAATTGTTTCATTTACATTTCGACTCATTTACCTTTGTTGTAAAGCGGCAACCTTCCATTATCTCCATAATGTTTCAGTAATTCGTTTTCTCCCGCACTTGTTGCATGTATATTCTTCAGGTTTCCAAATGCCACAGTATGTTCCACATTCACGAGGAAACTTTCTTCACGCTCGACCTCTAAAAACTTGGCTATTTTGTTAATATTCTGTTTCAGGTTCTGAAATGTCAATTCCAATTTGAATAAGTTGGTGAACTAAAATAACGTTTTGCAATAAAGCATGCAATCAGTAACAAATCCACAATTAAGCATATTTCTTGTCCCAATGTCAAAGCCTAACTCAACGATTCTCAACATTAGAGTGTGTATTTAAATGCTAGCTTATCACGCATCAGCGCTAGTCATTCAAATGTCCCGCTAATGATACGAATACAGTTCTACCTCAATGCGTTAATACTTGAGCTTTGCATGAGTCCTTTAGTTGCTTGTTCTGCAAGGGAAAAATTACATAGAATAAGATCAATGACGAAGTCTCATTGTTACAAGGTAAACCCCTAATTTAGAATTAATTAAAAGTAAATGTCCACGATTTCCGAATATCTTTCGGTAACTCGTAACGATCTTCCTATGGAAACTTCTTCAATCACGATTTCAAGCTAGTCACGTAGACAATTAAAATCTTGATGGAGACGAGTATTCTATGATAGCTTGTGACCTTAAAATAGAGATTTGCTTATTAAAGATATACTCATCATACATTTCGACCGGAAGTAAGACATAATTCAATATAAAATAAATTCCGACAAAGTATCTGGGGCTTTTGTCTCCTTACAAATTTCGTCATCTATAGCCGTATTTATCAATTGAAACCGGGAGTTTAAAACGGGGGTTTAAAGAAATTTAACTCATGGTCTACATATTATCGGTGTAGTTGATGGCGTGATTAATAATGTCGACAATTTCAACGGTTTTTGTTGCTAATGTACTTCTCTTGAAAGTCTTCGGTAGATTTCAGAAATGATCACCACAGATCACAGATTTCAAATTCATGAATCCCGACTTGGTGACCACTCTCCTTGATTTTAAGCATCCGAAAATAAATATTTTAGCTGGTTAACTTTTTGGTAAAAAAACTGGCTATTTAGATAAAAAGTGCATAATATAGAGCAAATATAGAGAAAAAGAATCGTCGAAAATTTCTCTTTCAAAAGTTAAAGTCTTTTCAAAGGTTTAATGCTAAAGACAGTCAAATAAAAGATAAATGTCATTTTCGATCATTTAAACATTTTGTTCGTATGCAGTTTAAATTCAGTTGAACCAAATGAAACTTTAGCATTTTCTCATGATTTTTTCCTCAGTATCCAGGCATCATACCCTTACCCTGTAATGAAAGAGTTTGAAAAAGATTGACGCGAAAGTAACTGAGATTGTCTGCTTTTCAGGAAAAAATAAGAATAATATATGGAATTGAATTATTTCATGTCACACAAGAGAGGAGCTCATAATAGTAAAGGATCACAAGCCCTTATGATATAACTGTCGTGATCTCGCTTCCTAATAAATACAAACCGTTCAGAGTAGGTATTTCCAACCAATGTTGAATTGTCAGATGATATCCCGACAAGTTTATGATGCCAACTCCTGATCAATCTGATTACTAAAATTTGGTTTTTGATCTGAACCAATGACAATTTTCTACCTCTTTCAAATCTTCATATGTGAGATAAAGTATCTTCAAATCCTTATTCTCACATAACGCTGTGCTCCATTCTCTCGTATGAGTGAACCAGGATCCACCACATGATATGACTTCATAAAATAGAAAAAAATGAAACGAAGTTGTACTTAAAACCAAAAGCTACATAAATGCATGAATATTTTTTTAGAAAATGAGTGTTAAAGCACAGCAAAACTTTGAAAAATATGAAGGGCTCAGAAATGATATTTACGGGATTTTTGAAATGAGTTTTTCTTGAACAAAATTTCACAACTATTAAGCGAGAGATTCGATAGCTCACAATATATGGTGCATATTATCTACGAGAGCTGATTTATAAGTGACTTTTGCAAAATGGACAAAATCGCTGAAAGAGCAGTGATTCAATATTTGCATAAGAGGTCTAGCACCTAAGGATATCCATATTAATATGGAAAATCGTGCAATTAGAAAGCTCTCATTCCGTGGAGTACATTTGACAGTTGATCAGAAACACACCAATAGCGTGCTAATCTGAACCTTTTAAAAGCAGACCCTGCTAACTTTATGCAGCGGTGACCTGGTGGGACGATTATTTCAGCCAAGAGGCCAAACAACAGTCTAATCAATCCTGGTTTACCACCGCCAAAGAGGCAAATCTGTTCGAAAATAGCCTCTGTTTTCTGGAATGCTTATGGTATTCTAGTGGAAGATTATCTGCAAATGGGACAATCAATGACACATATCAAGCATCTCTTCTTAGGCGGTTAAATATGTCAAACTCAAGCGCCGCGGAAAATGCAGTAAACGTGTGGTGTTCCACCAGGGTAATGACCATGTTTACAAGTCTACACATGACATTGCTGTCATTAACGATTGTGGCTATGAATGTGTTGAGCATCGACCTTATTCACTTGATCTCGCTCCATCAGACTTTTTCCGGTATTTCCGGGACCAACTTTCGGTCAGAACCTGACGTCATACATGCAGTGGAGGACTTTCGGAACTGTCAAGAAGACTTCGTTAAAAGTGGCATTGAGATCCTTAAACATCGCTGGCAAAAGTGTACAGATATAGGAGAGGATTACTTTGAAATATAAAGCAATATTTCCGCTAAAAGTCAAACCCTTTAAATTTGAGGCCCACAACTTATCAATCAGCTCTCGTAAAACAATTAATCGGCTACGATTATTGATATATCATGATACATTATTTCAGTGAAGTTAAAATAAATGCTTATTAAAAGTATTAAAATTACATTCGTGCGTGAGGAAAGCTTCGAAAAATCCCCCAAAGTTGCCAATGTAACTTGTGCATTGAATTTGACTCATGTATGTAAAGTATGAACAAACGACATCCTTTGGATTCCGAAGCACGTAAATCAGTTTCATTTGTCCTTCCTTTGCAGCCTTAGGGATGAATGGGTAAGTAAGATGTGTAGTCAAAATCTTTGGAGACTTCATCTCATCTAATATTTCAAGATCCTGAAATTCTATCATCACTGGATTGGCTTTGTATCGAAGACTTCCGGTCTGTATCATGTTGACAATGTTGAACACCCAATGTGTACCTTAAATATAACATGTTTTTCAAACATTGGTGAGTATTGGTCTCTTCTCTCAATTCCTTAAATTGGAAATGCATACACATGGACTTTAAGAAAAATAAGGTTGCTTTAAATTATCAATCCTCACTATTTAATTATCAAAAGTCTCTCAACAATTTAACAATGATGATGTTATTGGGGGAAAACCATATATCGATGCTTCCCACTGTAATAAATAGAAATTAATATGATATAAACTGTTCCATACTTGTTTTTGATTGAATAGTGGTTTTCTTTTACCTGATTTTGGAAAGGTACATATCAACACATCATCTGAACAACAAGGTAGAGACGCCACCTTCTCAAGTTGGTCACCAACATTACCAGGAATTTCCTTGTGAAATGGTCGGCCCTGGTAACGCTTGAATATGATAGTATTTCCTTTGCTATCCGTCTTCTTTATGAATTCCATTTCAAGTAACGACAGAGGATCTCCGACTGTTATCTTCACTGTGGTATTGAAAAAGGGAAAATTGAATGTATATCGAATTATATAAAATTAAATCATGTTGCTTCCTCCATTTCTGTTCTTAATGGTAAAACAAACATCGAGTTTCTGGTTGTCAATATCTTGGTTGAGTTTGGTAATTAGATCTTCAACAAACTATTGTGCCCTCTGTTGGCTGATTTTTTTTGTTTATCTATTCGATTATCAATCTGTGGCCGAGGAGAGATCAACATATAGAAATCAATCCAAAGATATCTTCAATCACTTAGCCTTTTTTCCCATTAAAAAAAAGCAATCTATACTCATCTTATGTCTCAATTGTACTATTTTCCTATGTTCAATACGACTTTATAATCTAAAAAGCTGCATTCTGATAGATTTTTCTGTGAGACAATATCAAGGTATATAAGAGCCATTAACTAAACTGATTTTTTTCAGTTTAAGAAAAATATGACCGTAAATTACTCCTGATGTAGGAAAACATACAGGCGTGGGAGTAACACTGTTGAAGGGGTTGCATTGTTTAGGAAAAGTATACCAAATCAATTTTTTCAAAAGTGCTATTCACTTGTGTGTCTCTTATACAATCTTTTAAAACACACAAGTATTCATCATTTGGTAATATTCATAATTTCCTGTTCTGTTATAGTAATGATTCTGTTATAACTGAGGTGTTTTAGAAATTGGGGGTCGCATCGGCATCTCGTTTACTATTTAGTTGTCCTTGCGCATTGATTCCAATACGTCGGATACAATATGCAAATGCCAACAGAGGCAAATGCAGACGTAAAACTATCCTACAGGCAAACGAACGAAAACACAGGTAAACGGATAAATATCCCATTATCGTCCTTGCTTTCGAACAAATCAGTCACAGTTGTTGATTTATTTGCGTTTAGGCCAAAATTGTCATTTATCCACATGCTTTTCTGCTCAAAATCACGTTCAGAGATATATCGTGTTTGTAATTCAGCAGGGTTGTTATTCATTGGTAAATATATCCATGTGTGATATCATTTTGTTGATAACACTCCTTTGGTCCAGCACGTAATTCTTTAAATTTAGCCTTTTCGTCATTTCGTTTTTTCGCCTGGCACCTTTTCGCGTTCGACAAAACGAAAAGACGACATGAAATGTCAGGTATAAGCCACCATACTGTTGTCCTAGTGTAAGCAAACATGCAAAATTGCTTTCTCAATACTAGTATGAATGGCGCTGAAGATAAATGGTTGCTCAAACGCAGCAATTCCGCATTTTAAAAGAAAACTTCAAACATATGTGATGTTGTGTATCCTCAAAGTGACATTGCTTACTTGGATTTAGCAAGATTTACGTGTCAGGTGTCGTCGATGAATCAGAAGACGCTTACTTTTCCGGAACACCTTATCTTGTTATCCTTGTACTATTTCAGGACCTCCGTGTAAATCTTTCTTTTATTAAATATTTTGCTCTTGTTTCATTGGATTTTAGTTTGCATTATAGATATGTTGACATGTTGGTATCTCCTTGTTGTTTATTGTGTCCTATAGGTGTTTGCTTGAATTTTTCTTGACATTCAAGTATTTATTCACTACCAAACTATTGCAGTTTAAATGTTTAAAATATGACAGGTTTCACGCCAAATCAGGACCTTTCGATTGTTTCCCGATAAGGTACAATGTATTCCGAGTTCACGGAAAGTGACGAGAACTCCCTATCCTTAAACCGGAAATCAAGTACACTAGAGAAAAACGTGGTCTTTTTCCGAGTGGTTCATTACATGCGTTAAAAACCATAAACGTATATATATGTTTAATTCATTTCAATTATTCATCAATTTTAGTATGATTTCATTTCCACATTAATGCTTGAAGCAACATTATGTTGGTCAAAATGTCTTTTAATCCATTTGATAGGTTTGTATGTTCTCTGTTTTTATGTTTGATTTTTTCAGTTATCAATTATCAGCAAGCGGATTGATACTAGATATAATACGATTTTAGCCCTTTCCCATTTGGAAAACAAAGAGGTAATGAATTTAATTATATACATACTGGAAAGTTACACTGATCTCCGAACTAAGAAAACAAAAAACCTTATCATGATTTAAAGTCGTTTGCTAGTTTTAATGAAAATTGTGCATATTTTTAAATATTATATAAAAAACATATTCATTAGTGATAAAGGTAAGTATTCATTTCAACTGTTTTCTAAATACTTGTCGGATGACAATAATGCATGCTTCAATACATTCACATCGCATTACATACTATGATAAAAACATTGCGCCAAGATTGAAATTGTATCAAACAGTTTTTGCATTCTAAGTTTGAAAATGAAGACCTATAGTGCTGAAGCATAGACAGTGACCTAGAAAATAAAAATTTGCCGATTGATTGAGATGCCTAAATATAGATGGGAAAGTGCGCTAGAACAAATATATTGAAATTGTTTTACCTGAGGTTTATGTACAGTTGTCATTATATTAGAGACATTTCTGCAGAATCATAAGTATGCTTACATAGACGTTTGGATTTGTACAGATAAAATAAAAACGTCTGCTGCGAAGTGTTTCATCAGACATTTATTATCTGTGTAACTGTGTAACCTTCACCCGCGTCAATCTGTGTACGAAACACGTGATCATAACGCATATTTTACTCTCTTCTCGTGTCACCAAAGCGCGATTACGGTATGCACTCATATTTCATATGTATGCAGTAATGTTTGACAGCAGTTATTGTCTATTCCCATTTTACCTGTGTGATCCTTCCACCCGGCTACCTGTATTGTGTAACATAGCGTTTACAAATGTTCGGTCTGATTGGATTGTCTTACTAAAGGGAATCAACAACAGTTACAACTCACAACTTTCCTTTTGGATTTTAAGAATCATACTCCATGCTAAATGGTCAGCCTTTGCAAAGACACAACTATTTAGGGGACGGTTAGCAACCCCGAAACCCCACCCCAATCCCATCCCCAACCCAAACCTAGAATCCCTATGTCATCATATAATTCTATTGGGATGTGAAAACAAATTCATCAGGGATAAAGGTAAGGATCAATTTCAACTGTTTTCCAAATGCATGTCAAAAGAATGTCAAGTACAAGGCATCTATTCAATTGAATGAAACGTGGCATACATAATTAACACAAGTAAATTGTTTTACCTGAGGTTTATGTACAGTTGTCATTATATTAGAGCTATTTCTGTAGAATCAAAAGTTTACTTACAGAGATGTTTGGATTTGTACCGATGAAATAAAACAGTCCTCTGAAAAGTGTTTCACTAGATATTTGTTATCCGTGTAACTGTTGACTCACTTCACATCTCCCTGCTGCGTCTGTCTGCACACGAAACACGAAATGCACAATGTACTATCTTCTCGTGTTACCAAAGCGCGATTATGTCCAAGGACAGTAATTATATTCTACTCCGGTGTTACCTGTGTTGTCATTTCACCAGTCTACCTGTGTAATGTAATAGAGCATTTACAAATGTTAGGTCTGACTTGACTGTCTTACTAAAGGGAATTAAGAAAAGTAACAACTCACAATGTTCCTAATATATAGGCCTAATTATATAAGTGCAATAAACCTTTTGAGAAAAGTTTGATAGGATTGTGATAAATATAATCAGACAAACATCAGATAGGCATATAGACCATTGATAAAAACAACCAGCGAGATAACAAAACATTTGGACTTCAAGTTCTGTTGTGGTACAATGCGCCCACATTTTCTTGGTTATACTCTTAGATGTGATATATTCATACAAACTCCATCGTATCAAGCACCAAGAGCTTGTTAATGCTCTTCCTCAAGAATGGGCACGAAATCTACAAATGGCTGTACGGCACGTGATTCGCAGCATGCCAAGCCGATGACGTTCCGTTATTGATCACATCAAACTTCGTTTCGCGCAGAGAAACAGAATATTTCAAATATGACTTAGATTCAAAGACAGAAAGCTTTTGATCTGGTTTCCCTTATATCATTCTATGGTATGAAAGCATATGAAGTTACAACTTAGGAGTATTGTACTTCCTAGAGTTTTGAAGACCTTGCGGCTCGGGCCTATTCCTTCCCACGCAGTGGAATTGTCTTCCGCTCCTAAATCATCATAAAATGTCGTTGGAACTTTCTCTAAGTCATCCGTTTTCTGCATTGTTCTGTCATTCGATGTCACCGGTTTACTCGTTTACAAAGTAACTGTGTCGGGGTGATGAACACAATGCTTTGTTCAGATGAAAAGTCAATGATTCTGTTCTCATGAACTAAGCAATTTGGATATTTGTGCTTGTATATTTATGCCTGTCAATCAATGATATACAACTTGAATTATACAGGTCTTTACAACTTGAAAAATTGGAACAGTTCTCATTGTTTAAATCTATCAGCAGGGTATACGTTTACACCTGTTACATGTCGTTTATACCTAAAACCAAGAAAACACAAATTCCGTTTCCGCCGTATAAACACGATTAGAGACTTCTTTATTGTGAATGGCTGACAGATAATGTTATTCAAGATATCGAATGACATTCAGAGGTACACAGACTGGGTTGGTCGGACCCACTTAAAGACTGGTCGGCTCTTGCTGTTTTTTCTTTGTAAGTATAATATATGGCTTTAGTTTAAGCCTCGTCACCCAATGTCACTGATGCTGCTTCAAGTGACTGCATCATCTTTCTACCTGTTATCCTTTATTGTCCTATAAATTAGTGAGTACGATTTCTTGACCAGATTATATCATACAGGCAAAGTAAACAAGGACACCAGCCAATTGCCAATGTTCTGGATATTTATCTACCCATTACTCTAAATTCTATCGCTTTCGTCATCACATAAAACACAACAAAACAACAAAATTTTAAAATCTTGTATATACAGTGCGTACTTTAAATGAAATTCGTCAACAAATTGATTATCTGAGCGATAAATATTTTGGAATTTCACTCTGTGTGCGAAACACTTTGTGA